TAATGTGGAGTACCGTTGTCTTCTTGAAATCCGAAACTGCCCTCTGAAATCGACGTCCACTGTCCTCTATAACGAAGCCATATCCTGTAAAATCCAAAGCTGTGAAAACCGAACCATCAACAAAGCACAACCATCCAAACTTGTGTGACTGATTGATGTAGGTGCATGTGCATATGCCTCCATTCCAGCTGAGCTCCATCGGTTGGTCCATAGCATTTGGTTTCATAGAGACCAAATTTTCCAAGCAATAAAAACTAAAAACTCAGCAGCTTCTTTACCCTCTTGAATTAAACACCTGCAAAGAGAAATCTGAATAAGAAATATTAGCATTCTGTGCATCAAACCCTCCTAATCTCCATGCACCCATTGACCTATCACAATGGACTAAAATATGATCAATGTCCTTCATCTCGTTAAAAAAAAGGCATCTCCCATTGATATTTAACCATCTCTAATTAAGTCTTTTCTTTATAGAAAATCAGTTTCAATTATCAGCCACATGAAATCAATGACTTTCGGAGGAAGATCAAGATTTCAAACTATAATCCAAATATCTCCATTTAATTCTATAGGCTCTCTTCCAAAAATTTCAAATTAGTATAATATCCCGATTTAACTGTATATATTTCTTTTTTTTTTTATCGAAATTCCATGCAAGTGTGTCTTTCCTATCAAAAGAATTCATAGGTATCCAGACAATAGCTTTTTAATTGATATTTTATTAAAAATTATATTATATATTCATCAGGTATTTATTAAAAATTATAAGAACAAAAATAAAAATTCCATTTTCGCACTTAATACTAACTAGCTAACAAACTCTATATATTATTACTACTGTTATAATATAATATTAGGATAGACTCCTAACTCTTCTACAACTCTATTTCTTTGGATGATTTGTATTTCCTCCATTTGATTAATCTCTCTCTCTCTCTCTCTCTCTCTCTCTCTCTCTCTCTCTCTAACTCTAAGTAACAGATCACATATATATGGAGTCTACAAATCAAGAAATAGAGTCTCTTATATCACCTCTGCTCGTAGATGATGAGCAGCAACAAACAGGGCATAATGAAAGGGTTGATCAGAACCATGAACACACCTACACGTCTTTCTTCCATACTTGTTTCAATGGACTTAACGCTTTATCAGGTAACCTTTCCATTTCTTATTCTCAAATTTTCCCTTTTTGATGTAAAAGTCCATATATAGCGTTAGCCCTTCAAATTTTATCACTCGATCTAATTAAATTAATTATTACAGACTATAACTAGCCCTAGCAAATCAATATCTATACATTTTTGGTTTACCAGTGTACATATATTTATATATATACTACCCTAATCGAAATGAGAAACAGCCTACCTATTGAAAGTAACCAATTAGGTTTACAACGAAACTTAAAAACCTAAAATTCGATACTGATCCAATTTGAGTATCTCTAACCTCAACACAAAACTGAGGAGTATGTATATATATATCCTTTTAACTAGAAGTTTCTGGGCATGAAAATTATAAGTTACATGTGTAGATAGACACAAACAGATAAAACATTCCGAGACTGATCAAAAAGAACACGTTTCCTCTTTTGAGTGAATAATAATAATTGTCCAATTTTTCATGGATATATATAATTAAATTAAATTTCTTAGTGGATATTCAATGACAAATATAGAAGTTTATACTATTATTTTATGTATTTGACTATAAAAAATTAATATTTAAATAAAATAAATTTTGATAGACGATAAATATCTAATATTTGAATAATAAATAACAATAAATTAAAGCAATCAAAGTTGGAGAAATAGTGCACTTGACGATGATATGTTTACTAGGTTGGACACAACAACCCACTCAAAACATTTTTTGGCTGCTTCTGCTTAATTCCATCAGAACATACTTTACGTATTTGTTTTGTATTGTTTAATGTTTATGAATGTAATTAATAATCAATCATTATCATATTTTACACTTTTTGATAAGCATAGAAATGGATTATACAAGTTGAAATTATTGTCACGTTTCTTAAACCATATCATTATATTACTGATAAAGACTGATTTGGCATTTCTAATTCAATTATTTTTTCTTTTAGGGAAAATATAATTCAGTTAATTAAGTCAACATCCCAAGTCATTTTTTTTCATTAAATTCATTTTTATATCCATAAGAGGTGTGTTTGAATTCAATATATAAACTTATGTGATTAATATATAGTATGTTTAATTATCAATCTGATGTGGTCTGTTTGATCTACTGACTTTTTATAGAAAATGTATGGAGTGCAACGTCTTAAGTTTAAGTTCTCTCCATTAAAATCATCATCAATTTAGAGAATTTTATTCAAAAGGGAGGGCTATCCCTATGTTTATAGATTTATAAAACTATTATTACGAATTTTAATTTGAATGGTTGAAAAAATAAAAGTAATTTAATTTTGATGGGTCATATTAATTTTCTATTTAAATTTAAATTTAAATTCTATTAGATAAAATAAAAAAATAAAAGTATTTAAAATAAAAATTTTTTTTTTTTGAATGGGTCATATTATTTTCTATTTAATTTAAATTAAAAAATTTAAATTCTATTAGATAAAATAAAAATATATATTATATGTTATATATACTATATATTAAATATGGTAAGAATATAATATTTTTAAGATTTTTAATTTTATTGGTTAAAAAAATAAAGGTAATTTATTTTAATCGGCATAAATTCATTTCCTATTTAAATCTAAATTCTACTTGATAAACTAAGAAATTATTTTATATACTAAATAAACTATTTGTGAATTATGGTAAAAATATTATATCTTTGAGGATTTTAATTTTATTGATTGAAAAATAAAATTAATTTAATTTTGATTGATTATATTATATTATATAAGGTGCATATTAAATAGGGTAAGAATATTATCAATATGTTGAATTATTACTTCTAATAAACCTTTAATTTAATTGGCTATAAAATATTTATTATTATTTATTAAGGAATATATTTTAAGATTTATTGTTTGATATATAATAAAAAAATAAAAATCACTAGAAATATATATAAAATATAAAATTATTATATAGTGCCTTATATTAGCAAACCATTTAACAAGTGAAAGACAATTTATTTTCTAAAAAAGAACAACCATAAAATTAATTATATGTGGATAACTTTAGCAAAAAGTAAATAAAAATAAAAATATCAAAATTATAACCGATACTCTAAAACAATATTAGCTATATTAATTATTATAGTAGCTATATATGTGTAACATCTATAATATAAATTCAAAACGTAACAAATTGAGTTGATCCTCACTTGGAGAAAATTTATTATTTATTATTTTATAATTTTTTTTATTTTGCAAATGCTCTTAGATTTTAGTAATATGAATTTTTTTCACAATATTATAATTTATAATATATTTAATTATTAAAAAAATAATAGAAAATTATATATATATATATATAGATGTAGATGAAAAATTATATATAAAAATTAAATTACATTTATTTGCAACGAGTGAAAATCAATAAATATAAATTAGGTGTAACATTGGTTAAAAAAAAATAATTAGAATAAAAATTATGAAATGGAGAGAGTAATGAATAATAACAACAATAAATTTTCAATTATTAAAATAAGTAATCAAATATGTTAACACTCTTTCGTTTCTAGTCATATAAATAGAAAGGAACCCTAATTGGTGATTATCTAGCTTTTTTCTTCCTCTAATTAATTAGTATTATATAAATACAAATTTAAATTTTATTTAGTACTATATAAATGCAAGTTCACAAAAATAGGAAAAAAAAAAAAAAAAAAAAAAAAACAGATACTAACGATGAAATTTGTCATTTGGTCCCCAGTACTAATAAAAACGTGTGGTGATGGTTGCCTCTCTTATTTTGTATGGATGTGATTTGTCACTGAGTGTAAGGTATGGCTAAGTGATACAAATTAAGACAACAAACAAAAGTGTCCTATGCTGCACATGCAAATTAGTAAGAGCTATATGACATTAATGTATAAACCAACGATCGGTGGGACGAATAGTTCGGCATTTTTTATTTTTTTTATTACGTGAGCGTTTGATTACTATATAAGTTAAATAATATTAATATATAAATCAACAAATGTTAGAATGAAAGATTTGATATTTTTTTTAAAATGTGGTTGAAAATTTACTCTTATTAAATGAGTAAACACTCGTTCAAAATGCCTTATCTTTTAGTGTGAGCAGAATTTAGTTCCAGGGTTGGAATATAAAGCTTATAATTTAACTATATTAACTAATTTATATTTTACTAATTTATATTTAATATTTATTGGCTTTATTAACTTACTCCTTTTAATTTAAAATTCATTTATAAAAATTTTATTTCTTTATAGGTTACTCATATTAACAAGTATGACGATTTTTCATTTTTGACTAATTTACAGATTTCAATAATTTTTTGAATGAAAAAGACGATAAAATTTTTCTCATAACAAATATATTTTAAAATAATTACACTCTCTCAAACTGACTAGACATAATTTTCATGTGTTTAAGTTAGCAAGAAAGTCTTTAACCATTCACACTAAAAAATTGTGAAAAAAATGCAAAAAAAACTTCGAACTGGAAAAATCGTGTAAGATTTGCATCTACCAAGTGGGAAAAAAAAAAAAAAAAAAAAAAAAATTGCATTAACCTAAGTGGGAAAAAAAAAAAAAAAAAAAAAAAACAGAGTTCACGCTATCCATGTTTATTTCACAATGCAAGAAAAGGAAGGGCAAGGAGGAAGATGAAGCAAAAAATAAGACATTTTAATAAGAAACATGAAATAAATGGTATAATTTTTGCACCCTTTGAAATTGAAATGATTATAGAAGAAAAAAAAAAAAAAAAAAAAAAAACAGAGTTCACGCTATTCATGTTTATTTCACAATCAGAAAGGAAGCAAGGAGGAAGATGAAGCAAAAATAGACATTTTAAGAACATGAAATAAATGGTATATTTTGCACCTTTGAAATTGAATGATATAGAAGGAGACAGATAAATTCATGGACACTGTCCTAATGAGTATTTTTTGGCCTTCTATATGTAAGTCTAAGTTCAAAGGCATAGAGATTTGCAAAGGTCTCCAATAGAAAAATAATAAGTAGGGCCAGCTCAAAACTTTCAAAGCAGCAACCTTTATTTAATAGAATTGAAAGAGACTTAGTCCTCCTCTATCTGCTCAAAACCCTTTTACGCTTTTTCTTTAAGTTGCTTATCTTGAATTTCTATGGAGGCCAATGCTCAAGATGGGTCATTGGCTGTGCCTCTCATTGTTGGTGAGGAGCACCATAGCCTAAGCTACAAACTGAGAGATACAGAGTCAAGTTACAATCATTCTAGTAAAGGAGATACGTCTTTTTTCAAGACCATTGTCAATGGACTCAATGCTCTATCAGGTTTTGCTCCTATTGTACAATAGATTTAGCTAACTAGTTCTGTTTCTCCTTTTCTTTTCTGATAGATAGATTAAACCTGATTCTGTGTTAGGTTAAGCCTGTGCTAGAATCATTATTTAGCTTGAAATTTTTTTTTTAATTTTTACATGTTATAATTGTTTGTTTATAGCTAATATTGTGGTTTTTGCTTTTCATTTTTCAGGAGTTGGAATACTTTCAACCCCATTTGCAGTATCATCAGGAGGGTGGTTGAGTTTGAGCCTACTATTTGTCATCGCCATTGCAGCTTTTTACTCAGGCTTGTTGATTAAAAGATGTATGGAAGCAGATTCTGATATCAGAACCTATCCCGATATAGGAGAGCGTGCTTTTGGCAACAAAGGAAGAATTTTGGTATCCGTTTTTATGTACATAGAGCTTTATTTGGTTGCCACAGGTTTCTTGATTCTTGAAGGGGATAACTTACAGAACTTATTTCCAAATATGGAAGTTGAAGTTGCAGGATACCATCTTGGCGGTAGACAAACTTTTGTCATTATTGTTGCTCTTATTATCTTGCCAACTGTTTGGTTAGATAATTTAAGCATACTTTCTTATATATCTGCAAGTGGGGTTTTAGCTTCTGCTATTATTCTTGTTTCGATTTTCTGGGCTGGAGCATTTGATGGAATTGGATTTCAGCAAAAGGGAACAATGCTAAATTGGGATGGAATCCCCACTGCTGTTAGTTTATACGCCTTTTGTTACTGTGCACACCCAGTTTTCCCAACCCTCTATACTTCTATGAAAAAGAAGCATCAATTCTCTAATGTAAGTTCCCAAACAAGATTTGGTTCATCTTTCATAAACTTGACCATTTTCTGGTTATTGAATTTTACTTGACTCTGGCATTTTTCACTGCAGGTTCTGCTTATTTGCTTCGTCGTATGCACTTTCAGCTATGCATCAATGGCAATAATCGGTTACTTGATGTTCGGATCAGAGGTTCAGTCGCAGATAACCTTAAACCTTCCAATCGGAAAGTTAAGCTCAAGAGTGGCGATATACACTACTTTGGTCAATCCTATATCCAAATATGCATTGATGGTTACACCAATAGTGACTGCTACTAAGAATTGGTTTGCATCGTACTGCAAAAATAAGCCATTTAACATATTTATCAGTACAGTTTTTTTGATCAGCACTGTAATTGTAGCACTTGCTGTCCCTTTCTTTGGCTATCTCATGTCGCTAGTTGGAGCATTCTTAAGTGTCACTGCTTCAGTTATACTTCCATGTTTATGTTACTTGAAGATTTCAGGTGTTTATAGGAGACTTGGATGTGAATTGGTGTTGATAGTGGGAATTGTAATTTTGGGGTTTACGGTTGCAATATTTGGCACTTACACTGCCCTTTTGCAGATTGCAGGGCATCTGTAGTAACCTTTTGCTTGTTGTAGGCAGTTGCTCTAAGTAACTATATAATTATTGATAATATTATATAGATCAGAAATTTCTTAAAGGAAAATGATGGTTGAACTCTTATGCAATGAGATCAGTATTCGATCTAATTACTAATATTTATATGCATAAATATAGAGTTAAAATTTAATAAGTCAAACTTTTTTTTTCCTTTTTGCTTTTCAATTTCAATGTTCTTATCCCTAAAAACACAATATTTATATGGATTGACATTGATGTAAAGGGTAATTTTCCTTCTATGAACTGATTTTTTTCAAAAAAAAATTCATATGGATTTTGCCTTCCAAACAAAGAATATCGCAGAGCACATTGGAAAAATTCCTCCAATTTCCACACACTACATTAGACCAACAGATGGCGATCGATTAAGATTAATACAAGTTCAGCATTTGGATATGCAAGTTCAGTCCATCTAGCAACTGGTAGATACCTTCCCTGTCCTCCTGGCAGTTATACCCAGAGAAGAACCGATGGACTGAGCCAGCTAATTCAACACAACTCTCTCCACCTTTCTTCTTCAAACCACCATCTCTCATTACCCTCCTAATACTTGCTGCTTTCTCCCACATCCCTGCATCAGCATACATATTTGCCACGATCACAAAATTCCCAGTTCTCCTCGGCTCTAATTCAAGCAACTTCTTTCTCACCTTATTTCCTACCCCATCACTATCATAAACATGGTGAATACTGCATGCACTAAGCAATGTCCTCCAGATAACTGGATCAGGTTGGAAAGGCATACGCATTATAAAGTCATAAGCTTCTTCGAGACGGCCTGCACGGCCTAAGATATCAACTAGGGCACCATAGTGCACCATCATTGGTTTGATTCCATATTTATGCTCCATTTCATGAAAGTAGCGAAATCCATCATTTACCAAACCAGCATGACTACAAGCACAAAGCACACCAAGAAATGTGACATAATTTGGGCGTATATAAGAGCTGTTTATCATTTCAAGGAAAAGTCCAAGGCCCTCTTCAGCAAATCCATTCTGAGCTAGCCCTAAAATCATTGCACTCCATGTCCACACATTTTTCTTCTTCAAACTATCAAAAACTAGCTTAGCATAACCCACAGCTCCACTTTTTGCATACATATCAACAAGGGCAGTACCCAATTGACAATTCAATAACAACCCTCTTTCAATCACTTGAGAATGAATCCATCTACCCAAACCCAAATTCCCCATTTCAGCGCAGATTGCAAGCATGAGCACCATGGTAGTCTCATCAGGCTCAAACCCAAAATCCCTCATTTTTACAAAATAATCAACTGCATCTTCGAACAGCAAATTCTGGACACAACTAGTAATAACCGCATTCCATGAAACCAAAGTTCTTTCACACATTTCATCAAACACCTTCCGCGCATCCCGAATTTTCTTGCAGGAACCATAAAAATGGACCAAATTATTGTTGACATACACATCACAATCCAAACCATTCTTCACAACATCAACGTGCACTTGCTTTCCTTCTTTGATAGCAAAACAAGTAGCACAAGCTTTGAGCAGAAAAGGATAAGTCAGGTAATTGGGTCTAATTTCTTCTCTTCGCATTCTACGAAAAACCCATATGGCCTCTTTTGGTGTATTGCAGTCAGCATAGCCTCTAATGAGTATATTCCAAGAAGGTGGAGGCAAAGGTACAGAGTTAATTGAGTGATCGAGGAGAGACTGGGCATAACTCAAGTTCCGTGATTGAGATAAGGAACAGAATCGAATTAGTTCAGATATGAGAAAGGTATCATGTTGCAGACCAGATAATTGTATCTGGGCGTGAACTTGAGAGAGTTGTTTGATTGAGGAGCACAGCTTTAGGAGACACAGGCATTGGTGTTTTATGGAGAGGAAATTTGAATTTCTGTCTACGGGTTTTAGTAGCCGAACCATGCATTTGTTCTTGCGCGGGCAAACACCAAATTGGTTGGAGCTCGGTAACTCTAGCTCAATTACGGATTCCTATACAACTTCGACACTGGCATAGTGCTCCTACGACTGTCGTTATTAACTATTTCAAGTTAAACGACATTCCATTGCCAAACAAAGTAAGAAAAAGGCTGAAAGCCTTCCGCGCCGTAACTTTGGATTTCATTCACATGCTGTCCTTGTCTTTTATACCATGCATAGTTGTCGTTTACCCTGGAAGGACCCAATTCGAAGAACGAAACGACATGCCATGTATAAGAACCTGGATTACTATTATGACTATTTCTTATAATTGTCTGTTACAGTATTAACTATCTAAATCACTACATATTTACATAAGTCAGCTAAACATTGATAATTTCACGTACGGAGGTTCTATGTACTTTGTTTTCAGAAACATCAGTAAATTCTGAAAGAATTGCCCTGAACTCATCTCCAGTAAGAGTCTCCTTTTCCAGTAGCACCTCCACTAATTTATCAATGGCCTCTCGGTTATTCCTTACATGTTCCTTTGCAATCTCATATGCTCTTTCAATTATGTCTCGAACCGACGAGTCAATATCCTCAGCAAGTTTTTCAGACAGAGAATTTCTAGCCAACATTCTTAGTACAACATCACTACTTTGAGCTGCTGGTTCAGTCAACGCCCATGGTCCGATTTCCGACATGCCAAACATTGTTACCATCTGTAGTTTTAAAAATTAGCTAATTAATTCTGTTTTTTCTTGTTTTATAATTGTTTTTTTTTTTTTTTTTTTTTTTTTTTTTAGTTCTCAATTTCACTATTCTCGGACAACTATAGTCTGAGGAACTGAGAATTTATTTTTCAAATAATTAATAATTCACTCTAATGGATTATTTAGCACTATTCCTCTCAAATGCGAAGAATGCACTCGTCACGAGCATCATCTTTGGTAGTGGATTATCTTAAGTTTCATCCCTTCATTTCCCCCAACACAAATACTATTCATTATGGTGAAGTTCCTATTACGATGGATGTGCGTATTCGAATTAAGATTAATACAAGTTCAGCATTTGGATATTGCTACAAGATGTACGTCATTCTCTTACGCACACACTGCGTGTTAGAATAGACTTCTGTAGCCCTTGGGGATCCTTCCTGCTGGCAGTTATTATATTATGTCCTCAGAGAATTGACATGATGGATATCTGAGCGCCACTGCGAGAGTTCAACGACCCACCTCCTCTCCATACCTTTCTTTCTTATACATATTCCACATTCTGCGATGTATCCGTCAGGCATCTGGATCTGGTCTGCGTCTATACTTTTTTGCATTGCTTATTCAGTCGCCCATTTCCGTGTTGCAGTTAGCAAATATGACACATTAGTGTTGTGATGCCCCACGGATACAGGGCATATATTCACGACGTATGCGTTCCTGCTCTAGAGCTCCGACTTAAATTCTTTCTAGAGCACTTACTTTTCTCGACCAGGTTATTATCCTACCTTTGGTTTCTTAGTTTTCTCACTATTGCTCACTTTTCTTATAGCACCATGATGATTAATTACTGCATGCACTAAGGTTTCTAGTGGTTCCTTTCCTTATTATATAGATCTTTGGTTCAGGTTTGTGTAAAGTGTCAATTAATTCGGCCCGAGTGTTTATATCACGAGTTGAGGAATGGTGCATATATGCATCACTTGGTCACGAGTGACGGACGCTGACTATCTGGGCCTCATGATTGAATCAACTGTCTGTCTTGGCAGTGCTGGCGCCTCACACTAGTGGCAGGCCATTCGCTAGTGCATTTTTGGGTTTCTCGTATTGCGCCTATCTATACTGTGAGGTAGACTCTGGCTCACCATATTCAGTGATAAGTTGGAGACGATATATCCATTCATCGATTTCTTATTCCCACCGAGCATCTGTTACTCAAGTTCAGCGAGCCACGAAGTGAAAGTGTGGTCATCGTATATGTCAGGACTGGTATTCCCGGCAGTGGGCGGGGTTTGTCAGTAGAGGCTTGTTTTTTTGGAGTTCTATGTGGTTTCCAGAGAGAAAGTGCCCCACATTGTGCTTCCCTCTTTTTTCAAGCAATATGATACACATATCTTGGTATCTGAAGTCTTACATGGTCCTCTTAAAAATCGACTCTAACTCTAATTATTGAGTCTTAGTTCTATGTGGCGACCATATTTTTTCTTACGATACTCATAGGATTCATAGAACTTAGCTAGACATTCTTCACTATGTCGCGCATACTACTTTGTACGCAATTTGAGGTAAGTCTAAACAGGGGCCAAGTAATTCGCGATGTCATGTCCAAGGATTAGAACAACTATTTTCGAATAGCACATCTCATTTTTTCAATTCACTTTTGAGATAATTGAATTTCACTCAGACTCATCTCACCACCCAATATCCACGCACTTTCATGCGCAGATTGTGCAAGCATCATGATGCACGCATGTATAGAGTCATGACACTTACATCTAGGGACTCAAGCCCAAATAATTCACCTCTATTGGTATTTTAGCTCTAATAATTATTTGAATTATTATGCAACTGCAATCGTTCTATTCACGACAACAGTGAGAGATTACTCGGACCGCACACTAGTTAAATTGTAACTCCGTCAGGATTCTCACATAGAAGGACTTCACTACGCTTCTCTTTCAATCACTATATTCGAGTCATAACAGAGCATTACCTGCATCGCCGCATTTTGGTCTCGGCAATTTTTTATTGCTGTTAACATCCATATATGAGAAGTGGAGAGCAAATTTATTGTTGCGACATAAGTTTCACTGAATACACACAGAGGTCCTCATGAATCCATGCATGTCTTCTACCGCTAGTCAATGACGTAGGTCTCCTTGCCTTTCTCTTGGATCTATTGATCAGCGAAACAATTGTTCAGCACGACAATTTGCGGTGTTTGCAGCAGGAAAATGGAATGTTAAGTTGGCACATCGAGCTTATTAATGCGGATACTCATTTTCTTCTCTTCTTCAGCATTTCCATCCGAATAATTGTCACTATATGGCCTTCTATTATGGAGTGTATTGTTCGGATGCGTACCAGCTTACTGATGTCAACTCCATAATTTGATGCAGTATTATTTTCTTAAGGAAAGGTTGGGCTAAAGGTTACAGCAACGTTGATTGATTGAGTTGTGAAGTACTGAGGGCAGATGATCAGGATGGCATATTACTCAAGTATCAGATCGCATTTGAGATATCTCTTTAGAGTTACACAGAATCGAATTCTATGTCTCAGCATAGTAGAACGGATAGTTCTATTGTATGACAGACACTCAACCGCAATTAAATACTGTCTTGAGTCTTTGCGCGAGTTATGAACCTCTGATTGTAAATTAGGTATCTATGATTTCGTAAGGAGCACAATCAGCTACTTGATGCGATCAGTTACATCTAAGGCATTGTTTGTTATTTTATGAGGAATAGACACTATTTGAATTTCTCGCCAGGATGATCTTTATGGTTATCAGTTGAGTTATTATAGTTATGCGCATGTATACGATTAGCCATTTGTTGATTTATCATCTTGCTGTTGCGTCTGGGCAAATCTACGCGCAACCTTGAGTTGTGAGAGACTCGGTAACGTCTAGCTGTTCAGTTACATAGGGATTCTTATACAACTTCGACGGCGATGCGCCTCGGTCATGAGTGCGTGGCCTACCATTTTAACGACTGTCAGTTTATCTTTATACATAATATTTCCAACATTGTTTACGAGGAATATAGAATCATTCCACCAATTGCCAAACAAAGTAAGAAAAAAGGCTGAAAGCCTTCCGCGCCGTCTTTGGATTTCATTCACAATGCTGTCGCTTTTAAGTGTTCTTTTAAATACTTCTACCATCGCTATAGTTTTGTTCGTTATTGACCCTGTTTGATATACAGGTAACTTAATTCTTGTAGACAGATTAAACTTGATCTTATTGCCAAGCATGTTATTTCTTTTACGTTTCTCATAGATGCAGAACCTTGTTTACTTGATTCTATTCTTAGATATATTGTACTAGTTTATTCTTATGTATAATTATTAGTCGTTACAGTTATTTAGACTAATATAATTTAGCACTAGGCAATAGTTTATGACATAACCTCAGTCGTTATAATAATCATTTGATAAATTATTGATCACTGTTATATACAGACAGAGTTACTTATGTTACTACTTTTTGAATATTTCAGAAACATCAGTAATTCTGAAAGAAATTGCCCTGAACTCTCTCGCAATTAAGAGTCTCCTTTCCAAGTAGCCAGCCTCCACTAAATTTTATCAATGGCCTCTCGGTTATTTCTTACATGTTCCTTTGCAATCTCATATGCTTCTTTCAATTATGTTCCTCAGAACCCGATCAGAGTCAATATCCTCAGCAAGTTTCTTTCCAGACAGAGAAATTTCTGCGCAAACATTCCTTAGTACAACATCACTACTTTGAAGCTGCTGGTTCAGTCAACGCCCGCAAATGGTCCGATTTTCCGAACTATGCCAAAACAATTGTTTACCATCTTGTAGTTTTTAAAAATTAAAGGCTAATTAATTCTGTTTTTTTTCCTTGTTTTTATTGTTTTTTTTTTTTTTTTTTTTTTTTTTTTTTTTTAGTTACCTGGTAGCCATTTTGGGTGTTTGTTTGCATCCACCTGCCTGCACCAGTAAGTTATCTGGTTCACACAAAATAACTTCCTCCTGCTGGCTCTAACCCTCCAAGTCCTCCACTATTCTAGCAAATAGTTGTTTTTGGAGATGAAAGTGGCAGGATCTTCACGCAGGCAATGAACCATGTTAGTCCCTCGAGCCTGGCCTCGCGGAGATTAGAGTTACTTTTTGAACTGGAATTCATGACAGGTTTTTTTTTTTTTTTTTTTTTTTTTTTTTTCAGATTACCTGTCTAGCAATTTGAGTGATTTGTTGCAAATCACCTGCTGCACCAGTAGTTATTTCTGGTTCACCAAAAATAACTTCCTCTGCTGCTCTACCTCCAAGTCCTCCAACTATTCTAGCAAATAGTTGTTTTTTGGAGATGAGTGCAGGATCTTCACCAGGCATGAACCATGTTAGTCCTCGAGCCTGGCCTCGCGGGATTAGAGTTACTTTTTGAACTGGATCATGACCAGGAGTCAATGTCCTGTAAATGAAAATGAATATAAAGATCAATCAAGATTTAATTTGTTTGGAGAATGAAGAACTAAAATATGTTATATGTTTGTGCTTTAATGTAAAGAGGAGGCTTACGCGCAAACAGCATGGCCAATTTCATGATAAGCTACCAAGATTTTGTTTTTTCCATCTGTCATCTTGGTTCCTTCCATGCCTGCTACAACTCGATCAATTGAATCATCAATCTCTTTCAGGGTGATTTTGTCTTTGCCTCTTCTACCAGCAAGAATCGCAGCTTCATTCATTAGGTTTGCCAAGTCTGCTCCACTAAATCCTGGAGTCCTCATGGCAATGACAGACAGAGAAATATCATTATCAAGCTTCTTGTTTTTGCTATGCACCTTTAATATCTCTTCTCTTCCTCTAATATCTGGTAGCCCAACACTTACCTAATTAACAAGCAAGACCTTTTCATGAATTTTCAATTCATGAATATAAAATAATCTGCTGTAATTTTTTATCATATTAGTATATTTGTATATGCTCAAGTGAAACCAAACCAACCAATGTGCTTGATTCAGAAGCATTGTACCATAAGGTTACCAGTACAAACCCAGCCAAATGTTAATTAGTTGGAATAAGAAAAAGGAAAAAGGAAAGAAATAAGAGAATTTTACCTGCCTGTCAAATCTTCCTGGCCTAAGCAAAGCAGAATCAAGAATTTCAGGGCGATTTGTAGCAGCAATAACAATAACTCCACTGTTACCACTAAAACCATCCATTTCAGTAAGCAACTGGTTTAATGTTTGTTCTCTCTCATCGTTTCCACCACCAATGCCTGTCCCTCTTTGCCTCCCAACAGCATCTATCTCATCAATAAATACTAAGCATGGTGAGTTTGCCTTTGCCTTGTTGAACAAATCCCTCACTCTTGAAGCTCCTACACCAACAAACATCTCAATAAACTCCGATCCTGAAAGCGAAAAGAAAGGAACTCCTGCTTCGCCAGCTATTGCCTTAGCTAGTAATGTCTTTCCAGTCCCAGGAGGTCCTACTAATAAAACCCCTTTAGGAATTTTTGCTCCCACTGCAGAAAATTTCTCTGGTGTCTTGAGGAATTCAACAATTTCTTGAAAATCTTGCTTTGCTTCATCAACTCCAGCAACATCATCAAATGTCACTCCTGTATTGGGTTCCATTTGGAATTTGGCTTTGCTCCTATTTTTCAGCATCAATTATAATTTAGACATCAAAAAAGAAATTAAAACCTACTTTTGCTACAAAAAAAGGGGAAAAAAAAAAGAGGGATACTATACTGTATATACATATATCTTTATCAACTTTGATGGATTGTTTTAGTGATACTATACTTGTATACAGGATAGTGAAATTAGGAGCCTAATTAATAATAAAAAGAAGGAAATCACCTTCCAAGTCCAAATGGTAAGTTGGGGCCTCCAGGACCAGGCGTATTATATGATGACCTTAACAACAAAGAACCAAGCAAAATCAAAGGAAAGCCAAAGTTCCCCAACAAGTCAAGCAAAGCAGGGACCCAATTAACTTGCACTGGAAAAGCAGCAAAATCTACATTTTTCTCTTTCAATTTCCTCAACAACTCTGGTGGCAACCCTGGTAATTGTATTTTAACTCTTTGAATCTTTTCAAGTGTTGGATTGAAAATTTCAGCAATTGCTACTGTTCCATTCTCAAACAAATCTACGTTCCTAACAGCACCTTCATCTAAATATTGCAAGAATCTTGAATATGACATTCTACTTGAAGTTGAAGCTATTGGACTCTCTGGCTCAGCTTTTGCAGGTTGAGCAATAAAAGAGAACCCTTCAGTTAAGAGACCTAAAGAAGTGCCATTTAGTAGCTTTCTTTTACTTAATTTAGTATCTAATAAATTTTTTTGACAAGGGTTTTCTCTATTAGCAATTTTAGAGATGTGGTTATTCTTAGAAAGGTCCTGAGATTTGCAGATGGAACTGTGGGGAAGAAAGAGAGATAGTGCAGGTGACATGTTTGTTAAAATGTTGCTTTGGTTCTTATGAAGTGAAAAGTTGGTTGGTAAGTTCAATTTATATTTTGATGGGAATGTTCATAACTAGTTGTTTAAATAATAAGAGAGAGGATGTTTCCAGTACTTCAAATTTGGCCTTTTTTGTGTTTTGAGTTGACATTGATACAAGTTGGTTTTTCATGAAGGGTCTAGAGATCAACGCTTATGTACAAAATTTATGGGCCCGAGTTCTCCTTTGAGAAGTCTTTTATGTTCATGACATGGAAAGAGAGGAAAACACAGAACTTATCTTCTCCTCAGCACAATTTGAAGACCATACACTTGGAAGTAAAAGAAATGGATAATTTGCCAATTGGATTTGGGTTTTGATTAGGTTCTAAAGCACATTCCGAAACGGTGCCACGTTGAAATATTATTTCGTGGTTATCGATGCAACTAATACTGTTTTTCTATTTTTTATCATTCGTACGTTATAAGATACATTCGAATCATTGAACTCTAAATTAAGATGATTATAAATAAATGGATTGACCTGAGTTTAAAGAATTCGGCTACTTTAAATAAGAGGTCAAGTGTTTAATTTTTGTGGATTGAGACAATTTTCATTATTTCTCTTATAATTCGATACAACGCGAGCAAGATTAGACTTTACCCAATAGGCGAGGGCACCTTTTATATACCAAAAATTAAGATGAATACATTCTACTTGGTGATAGGATCAATAGAAGTAAAATGCATTTCCATGGGAACTTTATTTACAAAACTAGAAATTTGTTGTTGTTGAGATAGCTTTACTTGAATTGATTAAAAAAATTATTCAGAGGGTCGCACATCCTTTATTATACAAGAATGAAATGAATATAAACTAAAATGGTCTAAAACAACAGATTTGTTGAGAATTATTATTCTTTTTCACTATCTGGTAGATATCAATTATATATGTACAACCTACGTGTATATTTCTATGCTCTAGTGAACTATATACAGCACAGATCACTCAAAATGCATAATCAAATACTAATCTCTATTACCTATGTGTTACAAAATTAAACTGCAGTCTAAAGGTGGAATTCTCTGCTCTCTATGTGGGTGCATTACATCTACCTTTCTCTTTGCAAGTTTATTAAGCGCTAGAATTTTGTTTTGCTCATTTACCTGAACAGCAACCAGGCTCATTTCCTTCTTGCAACTTCTGCCATAGGCAAAGCATCTCTCTAGGGCTTTGGTAGTGAGCAACTACGTACCCATCCTTGCACCCCTCATTGTAGACACGATCTTCATTTATATAACTAACCTGCAAATTCCCTTTCTTCATCTCTGCTACCCACATTCCCATAGCAACATCCTCTAGTTTGAACATCTGCATGTATGCATTGAGATATGCAAACTCTAACTTTTAAACTCGTTCTTGTGATAGTCAAACCGATAATGAAATATTATGGTTAAGGGACAGTAAACTAGAATTACAAATTGACGTACTGATTCAGTTAATCAAAATGCAGAAAAAAAAAGATAGAGATGGATATTAGATAATTTTTACGACGTATTCATACCTTTAATTGACCTTTTTTGTGCCTCCTGTAAACAGCTTTTGCAATGTCTTTTGATACCACATAGCCAGGGCCATGTGCCCAAGGTGGATAATAACTCTCAGGCCATTCCTTCATGATGCAAAGAGGGGTACTAAGAGAGCAAACAATCTATACGGAAATATGATACATGCAAGAGTGTGTGAATGCACACACACGCAGTATGCTTTATTTAATCTGATTAGACGTAATGCAATTACCATATGATTATAGTAAACATGTTCTAGACATTCAAGACAGGCAATGAATAGTACATTTAAACTTGACATGCGCTTATATGCACTTCGTAATTCTCCTTCCTATTCCCCCATCCAATTTTTCCTATTCATTCTATTACCAAACCTGCTCCAGCAGATTCATCTAATCTTTTCACTTGGAAGCTAAGTTGATAAAAGTATTCATATGCCATAACATTCATATATGATATAAACAGGCTGGTTCTTACTTCATCAATTCAGTCATCAACCTATGATACAAATACAGAATTTCTTAAAAGAAAAGTAAAACATTACATTATGAGCAAAAACGTAAAGATTTAAAGCCGTAAAGGAAATTTCAAACCTTAATGATTGAAAACAACATTGAAAGGAAAGGTAAAGAATGTATAATCTTTTTATATATCAGTATTTCCGAATTGATTTTTTAAAAGCCAGTATTTAAATGGCCAAGACAAGGGCCACAGCAACTATCAGGCTGACTAGAAGTTCTATCTAGTTCCAAAAACGCAGACAGCATGACTTCACTAAGAATACCAAAATCAATATTTATAATAACAATCAAACATCATCTGGCTCAAGAGTATTTTCTCCTTATGAACTTTAAAAGATGACAGTTATGTTAGAATAATTTGGTTTTACTTAAACTTGAGAATCTATGCACCAGGGGTCATGGTGAATGTTTTACAACTACTCCGTTCCAGTTAGACAGAATGAATATAGCAGAGTTAGGATTTTAATCATTATATGTTTATACTGCCAATCAATTCAGCTGTATTGATCAATCTAACAAACTGATAGATGTTACACTGAAAGTTACCTCAATGCTGATATACCATTTACTGTTAGGATTCCGATGAGGCTGTGCATTATAGTTGATCAGACCATATAGAAGCCCATGCGTGACATTTGTTCGTTTCAAAGAAGTTAGCACTTCATCCACTCGAACAAATGCATCATCATCTGTTTTCATGACATATTTCGCTGAAACAACCTCTGCCTGTCAAAAAGACATAATGAGCCAACAAGATAGCCTTTTCTACTTCCATAAGGAAGTGAGAACTTACCCCAAAAGTACATATTGCTATGGTCTTCCAGGTTATTAGACCATAATAGTCAACAAAAGGCATCAGCTGAATGTCTCCATATGTCTGTAGTTCATTCCATAGTTGCTCATTCACCAGCTGGTTTTTATGCTGCAAATATAAAAAAATATGATGTTTCCAATGTGTACTTCAGTTACATGAGCTAATCTTTCCAATGTGTACTTCAGCTACACGAGTTAATCAAGAGAATTTGATGTGAGAACCTTCTAGGATCTAAACTAGAGAAGATATTCCAAGTAACTCAATAATATGTATGTGGTGCAGCTAAACTGAATAAGATATGAATTTCATGTGTAGCCTGATTAAAATAAAAGGGAAAAATGGCTCTTACCAGACCAACAAAAAAGCGCACTGCAACTGCTCCTGTCTTCACTGCCGGGTACTGCATCCATGTTCTACGAACAGCCATCCTGCGCTCAAAATTGTTGGCTGTAGAAAAGACACCAATGAAGAGATCCAATGCCTTATGTGATGGCAGTTCAGTTGACTTCAGGGACTCTAAATCAACAATGTGCTCTGATTCTTCAGATGAGGGCAAGCCACTGGCCAAGACAGAAATTAATTTCAAGTCTCCAGATATCCTTACTTCATTAATAAGCCATGGCTCCAAACTCTGTGAATATCACAATACACAAAAATTAAAATGAGAAAAAACAAAGCAGTATTTGTTCAAATAAAATGTTTTAAAACTAAGAAACAAGAGTATACTTCACGGTAAGCAAAAGATGTTATGTGCTTTCCATCAACTGTCATCTGAATTCCTTCTTCTCCCACCCTAAGTGTCATAACTGACAAATACCCTTGCTTAAATGGAAAATACCATCCAGATCCAGATTTGGTCCCTGACATCGATGACCCTTTAGAAGTATTTGATGATCTACTTGCAGCAAACCTATGGCTATCAATTTTGCCCACAATTTCATTGCATTGCATCAACTCATCAACTGTCCATTATGAGAAAAAGGAAGCTGAGAACTCAGTAACATAACACAAACCTAAAAGATTATCAAAGAACACAAAAGAGAAGCATGTGCATCCATAGTTATGAATATATGTCCCAAGTATAACATATTTTCTCCCAGATTTAGTATGCCTCGATTTCCTTTGACAGAAAAATATGGCTAGGAACTGGGAGATGTTGCACACAAAATGTCAGATGTTTTTATACTATTTTTGGTTTCCTAACACCCTTCAAGATCCTTAGGTTGCGTTCTATAGGATCAAATGTCAATTTCCGTTCATTTGAAAGCCTTTTCTGGATGCCCTAGTGGTAATATTGATGCCTTCTCCATATATTAAGACCCAGTGCTGGCAAGGATACAGAGGTTTTGGACTTAGTAATTCCGAATTCCTGAAATTATGAGGAAAAATTGATGCGAGCATCCCAATGAAATAAAAGAAAAAAAAAAAGATCAAACAGTAATCTGTATTCTAGTTGATTTTAGCAATTTTGAGACATCACTACTTAACAACTGAATATCCTTCCAATTGGAAAAGGCAAATTAACAAAGTCACAAAGAACTTGTTAACAAAGAATTACAAATTCATTTATCAGAGTCTAAACCTTATATTATTTCTAAAGTAACTACGGTATGGACACTTTAGTGTATTAGTGTAGTGACTTAAGAAGGTAGGACAATTATCAATACCTTTCTTATTATTTGTTGGAACAGGTTGGGGGCACCGCTCCTCTTCACCCCAGTCATGAGCTGCCGTCCATGTGTTTTGGACAATCACAGGATTCTCAGTTACCTTATCACCTAACAGTCGAACATTGTAATGCAGAATAATAGGAGGCTCTGGCTCTCCTGGAAGTGGTTCCCCCGATAAATCAATCCGGAAGCTACCAAGAAGACCATTAGGAATGCCAATTATAGTAATTGCAGAGCCCTGAATAAGCCCACATGGTATTTGTAGCTTATAACCATCATCTCCTAATTCGGTGGTATTCATTTTATTAAGAAAATGCGGACATTGTCTCTCCTTCACTTTATGAAGTGAATTTTCATTAGTATCACCTTGTTCCTCCCTATTAACTGACTTCATAAGGCTCTCCCAGGCAACTTGAGCTTCTCGAATAGCCTCTATTGCATTAGGTAAACCTTGTTGTGAATAATTGATTAGGTGTCTCATATGATTCCAAGTCAATAATGAACTTTGAACTTCATGAGAAAAGTTTCTATCAATAAAGAGACTAGAGACTAGTTTTGCTGCAGAAGTCGTTTGATTAACAGATTCTGGGGTACGAAATGCAGGTGGAGCCCCAGCTTCAATCCATTTAATAGGATCAGATAAATTGACAGCAATAGGACTCGGCAATGTACTTTCCCCAGGTCGACTTTTCATCATACATTCTCTCAAAACTAATAGTATAAAGAAGAAGCCAATGAGAACACCCCAGGTAGGCCAGATCCATTTCTTCATTTTCATTTAACTGAAACCCTTTTACTTATATCAATTTTTTGAAACTCGAAGATTGCCAGCAAAAACTTAAAATAACAATCTCCTACACTGAACCAAATCAACAAATGTTTTGATTTCTCAGTTTCGTCCTCGATCGACCTAACTCATACACTATAATTCGGAACTCAAAGTTGCAAATTCCTGAACTTTATAATGAATGCAGAACAGCACAGTAGATCAATTTGAATTGCCCTGCATTGCACAGAATTCTGTGATCATGTAAAGGAACAAAAAATAACTTAAAAGGGAAAAAAAAACATTGTAATAAAATATACGTCACGATAAGGAATTCATAAATAATCACTAGTTGGTAAATTTGGAAAGGCAAGAACAACTGAAATCTGAAACCAATTGTATTGATAAACAAACAAATAAATAAAAAGCTCCACAACTGCCATTTTTGACAGGCTAACTAAACATAAGAAATAAAAAACAAATAACCCTGTCCAAGAAGCCAAGCAAGCAATGAGTAACAGAAAGTAACTAAAGAAAAATAATAATAATTAACGCAAAAACAAAATGCTAATATAACAGTAGTAGTTACAAAGAGAGACATACCTGAAAATGGAGAGATTGCGAAGAAGGAAACTAAGTGTGGAAAGAGAGAATGCGAAGAATATGGAAAATGAAGTTTCCACATTTTATTTTTATTTTTTAAAACACTTGAATTGAAGTCTACGCCAAGGGCGGTTGTTGTAGATGTTTTCTATTGGCCTTTTTTTTCTTCCAAGTCTTTGTTCCTCATATATAGGTTTTGGAAGACAAAGTACACGGCCGGCATTTTTGATATTTCTGTTGTCCTCTAAACGGCGTCGTAAGAAATTAACATTTTCTAAATTTACACAGGTATTTTCACCAGAGATAGATTTTTTTTTTTTTTGCTGAAAAAAAAAAAATAAAAGAGTCTATCGTCTATATATTTCTACGTGTGAGACTATAGTTAAAAAGAAAGTGGTATGGCATCACCTATCAACTAAACTAATGGAAACAGGTAAAAAGAAAATTAAACTAATGAAAAGTGTTTTTTTATTAAAATAAAAATTTTTCTAAATAAAAAAAAAGATAAATAAAATTAATTTTTTTAAAAATTTAATTTTTATTGATTTGATTTATAAACTACCGTCAGAAATCCTATCCAAACAAATCTTATCCGGAAACAATATATGCAGCCGGATAAAAAGGCAAAGCTGTCAATTAGTGCTGGAAAAAATCCATGTGCCACTGTTCTTTTTTTTTTTTACTGAGTTACTTAATTAGCTAAATTATAAAAAGAAATTAATAAAGAAAAAAAGGGTCTTGGTGGCAGGCCATGGGCTAACTATAGCATAACCACGATTGGCCCAAATATGGTAATTGGATCACAGCACAACATTCAGTCTGACGCGTGACACAAGCCCATAACGAAAAAAAAAAAAAAAAAAACCACCATATATAGGTTTTGGAAGAACAAAGTACAGCGGCCCGGCATTTTTGAATTATTTTCTGTTTGTGCCTTCTAAACGGCGTCGTAAGAAATTAAACCATTTTTCTAATTTTATAAACAGACGGTTTTTCACCAGAAGATAGATTTTTTTTTTTTTTTGCTGAAAAAAAAAAAAATAAAAAGAGGTTCTATCGTCTATGATATTTCTACGTGTGGCTATTAGTTTTAAAAAAAGAAAGTGGTACATGGCAAATCACCTATCCAACTAAACTTACTAAAACCTAATTGGAAAAGGGGTAAAAAAAAGAAAATTAAAACTAAATGAAAAAGTGTTTTTTTTTTATTAAAATTAAAATTTTCTAAATAAAAAAAAAGAATAAATAACAATTAATTTTTTTTTATAAAAATTTATTTTATTGATTTGATTTATAAACTACCCGGTCAGAAAATCCTTAATCCAAACAAATTCTTTATTCGGAAACAATATATGCAGCCGGATAAAAAAGGGTCGGCAAAGCTGTCAATTTAGTGGCTGGAAAAAATCCATGTGCCTACTGTTCTTTTTTTTTTTTAAACTGAGTTACTTAATTAGCTAAATTAAATAAAAAAAGGAAAATTAATAAAGAAAAAAGGGTCTTGGTGGCCTAGGCCAAACATGGGCCTAACTATAGCATAAACCACGAAATTGGCCCAATATGTATCTGGATCACAGCACAACTACATTTCAGGTCCTGACGCCGTGTACCACAAGCCCTAAAACGGAAAAAAAAAAAAAAAAAAAAAAAAAAAAAAAAACAAAAAAAAAACAAAAAAAAAAAGAAAAAAAAAAAAAAAAAAAAAAAAAAAAAAAAAAAAAAACCGTAATTAGAAACTCGAACCCAAATATGATAAGAGGAGAAAAGTCAGAAGTAGAAAATTCTTCCCATCTCGTATTCATCGTGTGAAATGTAAGGACCTTCTTATAACCTGCGTCCTTATAATTTGGACGCCCATATTTAAGAGTGAGCTTGGGTTTCTACTGTAGTACTGGAGACCATTATTTTTTAAAAATACATTTTTTTTTTTCTAGAAGCTCATAAAAATATACATTTTTTTTATTATTAATTCATATATAATTGGATGCATGTGATTGGGATAGAAATCTAAATAAACCTATCTTATATGTCTAAAAACTTCATTATCACGGTGCAATTTCACTGAAGCTAAGTAGTACAGATTAGTAGTTTTAAATTCTTGAAGTCAATTGTGTAATTTATTTAACTTGTTGTTTTGGGAAACAACAAAAATTAAAGATAAGGCAAAAAATTATATTACTATTTCTCAATTGCTTCCTTCATGCCTTTTCTTGCATTTTATATTATTTCAATTTGACAATAACGTATTCATATGATTCTCCATTCTCTAACCAGGTGCTATGGATCTCTTAATTTGTAGCTAAAATATATTATTGTTAATTAATTTAGCAAAGCATACAACTTATCCAGATAATATTTATAATCTTAATTTGTTCTACATAATCTAATTATGCATGCTCAGCAAAATTAGTTATTTTAATAACTATTAGTTATCAGCTGTTTTATCAGCATTTCATTAAACGTTAAATGAAATAATTTCACGAGTTTCCTTAAATCTCAATTGTAAAGAATAAAATTGTTACCGAACAATGTGAACAAGTCAATAAGTGTTTGTATATGTATAAAAAGTATGGAATTAGATTCAAATCCTAGTAAGAAAGAGTATCTCAAATTTAGAGAGGGAAGGAGAGTGATAGTTAGGGTTAGGTAGTTAGTTAATGAGAGATGAGGTGGTAATGCCATTGACTTAATTCATGATTATCCATAGTACTCTCTAATGATGCAATACCAGAAATAAGCCATGACGTATTACTTAACTTAATTTTGTGTTTGGCCTTTGGTGGTTTGTATTTATTTGTACTTTTCTCATTTTTCTTTTTTATAATTACAAATTTGTTCATATGTCTACAACCGTTAATCTTTTTATTTTTCTTTGTTAATTTTCAAGCAACTTGCTCGATCCAGTTGGTACCAAACTGACACATCTCCAACTGCCCTTTCAGAATTAGTTAATTAATGTCTCTGCAATTCAATTAATCTTCTTATAAATATTGTATTGACATGCAATATAGTTATCTAAGGAAAGGGAAAACCCAGCAGTCTCTTTCTCTCTCACTTTCTTGATGTTCATTTAAATTTTGTAATCTATGTCATCATTGACCATGGTGATTCCTTCCTTATATTTTTCCTCTATACTCTATTTAATTTTTTTTAGTAAAGTTTAGATATGTATTGATTTGAAAATTCGTCAAATTATTCATATTTCTTGAGTGTTTTTAGTATTTTCTACGTAGGATTTTAAAATTTTATTTTGTTTTCCATTTTTTTATGAATTTGTTCGTTTTTGTTGAGGAATTTTTATGTCTTTGTAATTTGTTGTCTTTTTATTCTCATTTGTTGATTCCCTTTCATTAGAGACTTTAGATGTTTAAGTATGAGTCTTCTATCATCCAATTTAGTAGTGCAACATGTAGTAGATTTGGTGGTTTAAAATGCTCCATTGGCATCAAGTGTAGCAAATTCTTATAGACAAAGTTGTAATTTTTTTTTTTTTTTTTTTATTGTTTGTCTATTATTTTTTTTTTTTTTTTTTTGTCATCTGATTTGGAAAGAGACTAATTTTTACCTAACAATCTCTTTTAACAATATTATCTCCAAATAGAATATTTTAATTATCTATATTTGTATTTTTTTTTATTTTAAAATATTAATGATAGACTTACCTTTATTCATCGAGAATAACTTGTCTAGACTTAATCTATGGATTCACTCATGATCAAACCAATATATAATTAATGAACAAGAGTGTTTATATTTATTCACTAAGAAAAAAAAAATAAAATGAGAATAATTTTTAAAAAATCTCTATTTTCATTGGTTTTCACCAATGAAGTTAAAAGAAAGGGAAAGATAAGGTTATGGCTTAGATAGGATCCAAGTAAGCACAGATGTAATGTATTGTTAAAACATAAACAAAAAACGTTAGTCAAGGGTTGCATCAATTATTTTCTAAGCAAAGACTAGTCTATCTCGACAAGAAAGCGAAAAGAAATCCCTAAATAATTAAAATCTAACAACTGATAATATTTATAATAATGATGATTAGAGGGTGAGTTTCAACACCTCTCTTTCCTGGTTTCTTCATCTTCATTAATGACCCTACACTGATTACGTGTCATCATCATATTCAACAAGTTTATATATACGCTATGCTAGTGAACGAATTAAGCTACAACCCCTTGCTGCACTTGCTAAAAAACTCACTAAACCTTCCCAAATATTAGTAGTTAATTAACTAATTAGAGATATGATGTGAGCTTGATTAGAATTAATGGCTGTCCTTGCTTCTTGTTGGTTGATCATTGAATCCATTATCATCCCAAATGGATTTTTGAAGTGGTTTTATTTAAGCTTCTATATCCATCCTGTTTTTCTTTTCCTTTGCCAGATTTTTCTTTGGCTTAAAACACTATTGAAATGGGTTTTAATTTTCTTTTCTTACCCTTTCAAAATCATTTGTTTTCTTGGTTTATTTATTTTTGAGTTTTTCAAGAATTGTGTCATCTATGTTTTTTCATTCACTAAAATGGCCAATAATAATGAAGCCATAGAAGAAGAAGAAGAAGAAGAAGAAGAGGTTGAGAGTTTTGCACTTGCACAGAATTGTAATGAAAAAGAAACTATTGCTTTTTACAGTTTTTCAAGTATAATAGCACCAATTTCTTGCCAAGAAAAAGTATTCCAACTTGAGAAAAGTTATGGGTTTGAAGAGGGTAATAACTTTGAGGATGATCTTCAAGTTTCATATGGGGATAAAAATATAAAAGAAGAAAGATTGTTTCTTGATGAAGATAAGAGTACGATAAGTGATTTATCTTCTATTTGTAGTTCTGAATCATCCTCTACTGTTTCTTTTAAAGTGGAGAGTTTCTCATATTGGAGACCTCATTGTATCCTTGAACCATCTACAGAGGATGCAGATTTAAATGATGGCATGTCATCCATTTGTAGCTCTGATTCACCACCTGCAGCCAACAGTCTTGACTTGATTGAAAACCCACCATTGATTTTCAGCCCTAATTTACTGGCTGAAAATCAAGATACAAATGAATCACCAGCAATGGAATTAGAAGTATCTAAAATTGGATTTGAAGATCAAGATTTTGATGCATTCTATAATAAATACGCTGAAAGAATGAGATGGTTCGATGTCCTAAATTACGAGCGAACATGTGGAATAAGTGTGTATTTATCTTCATATTATTTTAGAAATGCCAATGTTAATTATATTCTTGAATTCATCCCTCAAAAGTTTGAGTTTTAATTAATGTTTATAGTTATTAATTTAAACATGAAAAAAAGAGTAATTTATGATCTAAATTCAAATAATATTTTAATTTCTTCATTTCTTTCTCATATTTAACTTGATGATTGTAGGTACAATCTTGAACAAGCAAATAGGTACTCCAAATTCATTTGAGAGTATTGAAGATGAGGATTTCTCTGTCTCCCCTTATATGTCATGGGATAAAAGAGCAAGAAAGAGGCTTCTAAGAAGCATAGAAAGTGATTTTGAACTTGTTTATGTAGCTCAATCATGCTTGTCATGGGAAGCCCTACACCATCAATACAGAAAAGTTGAAGCTCTTGCAATCACTACCTCTCAAAATGGGATATTTTCTCATCATGTGGCTGAAGAATTGCAGAAGTTCAAAGTGCTTTTGGAGAGATTTATGGAAGATGAAAGATTTGAAGGCAAAAGGGTGTGGAATTATGTTAGAGGAAGATTTTCCTTCAAGAGCCTTCTTCAAGTCCCCAAGGTTTCAGGTTGCTACCTAGTTTATAAAAGTCTTAATTAAATGAGTTAATTATGATTATTTTAGCCATTTCTTAATTGATTGTGATGATTTTGTGGCTCTTAAAGGATTTTTTGAGCAGGCAAAGGAGGAAATGAAAATAGAAGGCATAAATGTTAAAGAAGTCCTGAAAGCCATAGAGAGGTGCATACTAGTTTTTTGGGTATTTGTAAAAATTGACAACAAAAAGTCTTGGTGGAAATTCAGAAGTTCCTTATGGACGTATCCACCTGTGGAGGACCCTAGAGATTTGAAATTATTAGTTGATCTCACTAGAAATCTCCAAAAGGTAATTTCTTTCTCAAAATTATAAAATAAGATTGGTAATGCAATGTACATTTTTGATAAATTCATAAATACGTTATTAATTAGGCTAATAATTTAATAATAAAATACCTATTTTGAGTGATTAGTCACCATATTCGTTATAGTCCTCGAGCTGAAGTAGTAAAGTTCGTACGTTGGAACATTGAAGGCATTATATGGCCACAGTGTTAGACGTGATGCGTCTTAAATTTCTTTTCTGGAGTTTTTCCCTCCAATATATCTAAAAAAATATCTAATTTGAGCATTTTCTTTAAACATCCAAGAAATGAAAATTTAGTTATATGGTTGAATCTGACTTGTATGGTGTAGAAGGAACTATGGTTGAAAGATTCACAAGGAAAGCAAAGGTGCTGGTTCAGGAAAGTGGTAAAACCCTTGGAAGAGTCCCAAAGAAAGGATCTTTTGTTTACAATGATAGACATAAAGTTGGTATCAAGAGTTCTACAACTGTCTGTAATCTCCTCGACCCAACTCAAATGGTGCCAAGAAAAGCTGGACAATATTGAGTTCAAAGAAGGGAAGATTGTTAGGGCTTGCTCCTCTGGCCCCTTGTTTCCTCCTTGATGTTCTTGCACAAGTGGTGGAACCCATTTTTTTTAAGGGTTTTCATTTAACCAAATGTTTGCTCCACAAAAAAGATTATGTATTTTTTTCTTTTAAAGTGACTATTGTATGCATGTATATAGTGTGTATAAATGAACAGTTGTAGTGTATATATAGCTATCAAGTGGATCTTGTAATATGATTCCGCAACTTGATCTATGGCTTATGTGTTATACAGTTTGATGAATTTTTTTAGTTAACAATAGAATTATTTTCAGATCATTGTAGCATTTAAGAAGGTAAGCACTTATGTTTATATGTATACGTATCTAGATATTTATTTATTAATTCAGACTTTAGATTGAGATTTGAAGTTGGATTTCTGTCTTATTTTGTATTGAGAGCAATGGATTTGAGTCTCTAAATCTTCACAACTTTTTTAAAACGTTTTAGCAAGTCAAATTCTCTGGTATTCTAAATTAGCACATAATGGGGAAGGACAGATAAATAAAAGATTTCTAAAACACCTCTAATCGAAAATTAAGATGATCTAAAAATTCATTAAGCTTATAATTCAAGTCAAAAATTTAACATATATAATTGAATATAATATAACTAAATAGATTAAATAGATAATCATGAGTTTCAAAATTTTGAATTCTAGATTTTTTGATAAGTTTTTTAAAATTTAAATTTGTAATTTTTCAATAATTAATATATAAATATATAATTATAATTTTTAAATTTTGAATAGTATATATTTTCCTAAAAAATAAATAATAAATAATGACAACCCACCTAGTAAAAAAAATTAGTTAGTATGAAGAGGATTCAACTTCCTCATAAATAAGTAGGATCGAGATTGCTTAATCAACTGCTATAAGCAATACATGATTTATTATTTAATTTTTAAAATATGTAGATTACTGATTTTAAAAAAAGCACATTATGAAAAAGTTATCTCCCAAGTAAAAAATTTTTTGCAAACATGTTTACTCCAAGAAATACGTTACCTAACACTGAGCAAACAACTTTACAAAATGTTTCTTTCTTTACTTGAATCATTGAGGTCACAAGATATTTTTTTCCTTATTTTCAAATATCTTTCACGTGTCAAGATTGAAAAATCCCACCACAAAAATCAGCATGCTTTCAATAACAAAAAGTCATTTTAACCCACGATTTGATAGCCAATGGAAAATGACACTGCAAATTGAAATTTGAAGATATAATTGAAAATTGAAAAAAAAATCCATTTTTTTTCTTTTTCTGAACTTAATATTTTTGTCCTTATCACAAAAATAGTGTGTTAATGCCACTTGGCTTATTTTGGGTCGTTTGAGGCCCACTCTCTCTCTCTCTCTCTCTCTCTCCAAGAAATTGCGAACCAGGTTGTATGTGTGGTTAGCTAATGCTAATACGAATTTGAAAACATGTCCTGCATACATCAAACAGTCACTTCCGCTTGTTACCAATAAAAAAAAAAAAAAAAAGAATCACTCCTGCTTCCAATTTCTTGGCTAATTTGAGCCTCAAACTGAAACAAGACTCTCTATGATTTGTTTTTTTGTTGGTTCTACTTCAACCAAACTAGAGAGAGATTCTTCTGTCCATTTGTCTATGTTTTGTCCTTCATTTCTACTCTCTGTCTCACATAACTTCGCTTGCTCTTCATATAATTGCCGCATCAATATTGAAATCTTAACTTTCTAAAATTGGTTTTTTTTCCTTCTCTCAAATTTCTTGTACTGGGTTAGTCGTAGTTTACACTGAGAAAGGTCCCAGCTTTGGTGAAACCCGTATTGCTGCGTCTTTGAGGCAATTTATCAAAGAGTAAAATGGCATCTATAGGATCACTTCCTTCTATCCTTGAAACCAAAAGGGAAAGTTTCATCCTTCTCCACGGCAGAAGCCAACAGCGGCCCAGATTCCCCTTTTTGTGGTATAGACCACAAAGGGCTTTTAGTTTTGCTGTTTCTAATGGTGGGTTTTCTTTGAGATTTAAGCCTGTGAGAGCTACTGCTAAGGAAGGTGTTAATGATGATGGATCAGATGATCCACTTCAGGCTACGATTGAAAAGAGCAAGAAAGTCCTTGCTTTGCAAAGGGACCTACTTCAGCAGGTGACATATTGATAATTATTATTGTTTGCAATGGTATATTTTCAGTTTCTGTTTAAATCATGCTAGTGCTGTTTTTATTTGTTTTTGGATTTAGATGATAAAGTTTCTGTTTTGATGGTTTGTTTACTTGTTGAAGATGAAGTTTGTGAGAGTGATGGAATTGAATATGGTTGGATGCTTAGATGAGAAGCCAGTTTTTGGAAAAGCTGTGTGATTGAATGTTGGTTAAAATATTTGATGGCCCCTGTGAAAAAAGTAAGCTTTTCAATTTTATATTGAACAGCTTACTTAAAAGAAAATCATATGTCCATATAAATTAGAAAACTAGTTGGCTTTCTAGTGGCAAGCCATGCTGCAACGGTAATTATTAGGCTTCCAGTGATCAATTTGTGAACATTGGGGAATCTTAGTACCACATTTATTAATTAGATGAATACGTCAGCTGAAATATATTTTTCTAGAATAGAAACTCTTAAATGTGTAGTGTTCAATAGAATTTTAGCTGAGATTAACGAAAATTTTCTCCCTGGCATTTCACGCGATTGGATTCATGTACTCTATTTAGGCCTATGTTTTTTAGCAGCTCCACGCACTGATAATTGGTAAAGGAAACTAACCTTTGGTTGGTTGTAATAGACTAGCTCTTGAATACTCTGTATAGATGGCCTATTATATGTGATCTATCATCTATGGAATATTCTTCGATAAGCTTACATCATTCTCTTCCATAAGCTAGGTGGCTTGATAAGAATTTGATGGTCTAAGCTTGAACATAATTTCAATACTAAATCAATTTCTTCTCCCCTACTACTGAAGGACCTAAATATATTGTTGCTTGTTATATATTATGTTTTAGTAACAAACAGTCATATCCTTCCAAGGTCCAAACCACTCTCATTTGAGTGGTTTCTTGGTAGTCAGTATTTGAATTTGAATACTGTTATTGAACATGTACATCCTTTTGCAGATTTCTGAAAGAAGGAAACTAGTTTCTTCTATAAGTAGCAGCAGTTTTGACCAAGAAATAGATAGAACTTCTTATGACCAGAGGGAGAGCTCTTTGCAACCAGATAATGCTTCAACTAGTAGAAAAAATATACTTGAACAACAAAATGGAAATGGTGGCATTGTTCCAAGTAGCTACGTTGATTCAACTGCAGATGAGCTACCAGAAACTGCATCTTCAGCTGTTAGTAGAAGTTATTTTAAAGGGGAAGAGGAATTTGAACAACCTAAATCTCCTAAAACAGATTCCTCTGTTAAGAACTCTACCAAACAGCCAAAAGATGCGAGTTCTGAGAAATCTTTTCTCACAAACACCTTAGAAGTTTCCGTTATAAATGATGAAAAGACTGAAGGTTCAAATGAATCCGCTTCACCTGAGGTTAATAATGTTGGAAGTGATTCTATGACTGAACATGCAAAACCCCCACCTTTGGCTGGTGCCAATGTCATGAATGTTATTTTGGTTGCTGCAGAATGTGCTCCATGGTCTAAAACAGGTATTACATCTTTGTGCAGTGTGTATCTGAATGTTCCCTTTAATGTATCATTTAGAGTCACACAACCTAGGGTTCTCACAGGTGGCCTTGGAGATGTTGCTGGGTCTTTACCTAAGGCTTTAGCTAGGCGTGGACATCGAGTTATGGTAATTGAACTCTCCTTCTCCGTGCATTTTTTTTTTAATTGGGGGAGGGAATTAAAACCTGGATCTATTGCCCAGTTGAGAGATGCACTGTCACTGGGCTGTGCCTGCAAGTGCTTCTTCTATACAATCAACAAAACATGAGAGGAGCAAGATAAATGAAAGAGAATATATTTAGAAAAATTCATTTTTAAACCCCTAAAATTGTCTTGTCTATTGAGTCTGTATACTTTCCAATTTAAGTTAATTGATTGAGGACTTATTTAAAAGCATAAATTAGAAAGAAAAAGGAAAGTGATGAGAATAAATTATCAATGCTTTGTAAAACCATTGAAAAAAATTCCATTGTGTTATGAATTTATACTGCTGAATAGACAAACTTCAAAAAGTCCAAGGGCACAAAGAGGAGTTTTTCTTTTCATTTCTTCTTTTGTTTTCTAGCTTTAATAATTTGCAAGATGGAAAGATACTGCAACCTTTTAATTACTTAAAACTGTTGTTAATGAACTTTCAGATTTTCTTCAGATTTTTTTTATTATTTTTGTCAGTAAGTCAATGTCCTTAAATAATATGAAAAGTTTATGGGTTCAATAGAAGACAGGGGCTCCATAGACAAAATTCAAAAAGTTCAGAGTCTCAAAAATGAATATTGGCTTTTCTGTGTGTATTCCAAAATGTCCCAAACTGAGCAGTAACGGTCCAGAGAAATTAAAACAACCTTGAATTTAGTGCCTGAAAGTTTCCTTTATGTTTTATGAAAGTGTGAAAAATTATTAGATTTGGCCTTGCATTGAGAGTCTCACGTTAAAATACTTTGCAGTTTGAGTTACATTAGCAATGCTATTTATATAAAAATAACAATAACAAAAAAAAAAAAAGAAAAAAAAGGAAAGAGTCTTTTCTTGCTATGTTTGAAACTGCTCAACATTGCAATGTATTAGTTTAGATATTTGGCTGTTTGATTTATGGTAAGATGTTTTCTTTTGGTTAGAAGTGCAAAATGATACTATTCTCTCATTCAGGTTGTTGCACCTCGGTATGGTAACTATGCTGAGCCTCAGCTTGTTGGAGTTCAAAAGAGGTATAAGGTGGATGGGCAGGTGTGCAACTTTCACAGCATTTAGCTATAATTAACTTGTCATGTTGTTTGAATGATATGAATTTGTCACATTTCAATCATGCAATAATCTCACTTTGCAGGATCATGAAGTTTCATATTTCCATGCGTTCATTGATGGTGTTGATTTCGTATTCATCGAATGTTCAATGTTTCGTCACATGGAGGGTAACATATATGGTGGAAACAGATTGGTAAGATAAAACTTTCTTGCATCGGCTTAAAGTGATTGCGTACCCACTAGGAACTTCAGTTCTATGTCTTAACATAAATCTTTGCAATCTCATGTCACCTTTTACAACTCTAGTACACGTGTTTATATATGGTTCCCCAGAAGTCGATTAGACATGTCTTGCGGCTAAAAGAACCACCCATAAGGCTCATCCCCAGATTAATGTAATATGTAATGCAAGTAGTCTTATTTGTTATTACATTGTGATGTCTCTTGGTTAATTGGAATTGTCATTTTAAGATTTTGTTTGGTAGAATTGGTTTTGTGCATACAGTTGAAATTTTTTTGGATTGAAATGGAGAGGACTTGGTTGTAGAAAGGATGCCAGAGTCATCAGAATTGTGCTTTCCTTGTGGGTTTTTGCATTATTTGAATGAAGAACAGTGCCTGCATGTTTAAGGGCCAGACTTTCTTTTGATTTGTTACGAGACAAGTGGTTTTCCTGATTTCACAATGGAGTTCTGCTTTGGGGGCTTTAAGTGCCTTTTAAGTTTTTTTTTTTTTTTTTTTGTTCAGGACATTTTAAAGCGCATGATATTATTTTGCAAAGCAGCTGCTGAGGTACTTTTTTTAATCACAGACCTAAAGCATTATTAAGAATGCCCAAGTGCCGATTTGACCGGTCTCAATCCTTGCAATTTATGCCTTTATAAGCTCTGATAATGCTATTTTTTTCTATGATGCAGTGTGGTTAAGAACAAGGAATAAAACCAATATGTTAAAGTTGATGACAAAACTAGGCCCCTGTTTTGTTTTTTCCCTTTGGACATGGACCGAGATGTATTCGCATTCAACAATTTTTCATTGCATTTTAGGAGCAGAAACCAATTGATTAAGTTGAAAATTAAGCATATGGCTTAGGTTGAACCTGTATTCTCTTTACTTATATTTGGTAATCAAAACCTCCTGCGGAAAATCCAGCTGCTATTGTGTCTCACCAAATTCTTATGTTGGAAACAACTTATATGAACTTCTGGGTTTACATTTAGATATCTTTTAACACAATTATGATGTTCTGGACTATCTTTATGTTCAGGAAGTTAGATTCCTTAATGCATGTATCCAGATATAAATAGCAGAGGATAACATAATATTGAGCATAAAAAAAGAGAAAAAGAAAAAACTTGGTTGTGGCCTTGTGGCATGAGTGAAAAAAAGAAATTGATTGCACCTTACTTTCACAGTAGAAATGACATTACATGATTGTTCTTGTTAACATTTAAGATGGCTTTTTTGAGGTTGTTTTCTGTTTATAAACTATTTTCCTCTTATCTGTTCAAGTTTCATCAAGAAATTGTTGATTTCTAGGTTCCTTGGCATGTCCCATGTGGTGGAATCTGCTATGGGGATGGAAATTTGGTTTTCATTGCGAATGATTGGCATACAGCATTGTTACCAGTGTATCTAAAGGCATATTACCGGGACAATGGTTTAATGCAATTTACACGATCTATTCTTGTAATTCATAACATTGCTCACCAGGTTTGTTTGCTATTCAATATGTTCCTTTTGTTTCACTGGAGCATTGATGTTTCACCTACATCAGTGGAATTATTTTTGTTTCTCTAGCTGAAAACATTTTCTAATATTGCTTCAATAGTATGAATGGTGAAAGAAATGTGCTTAAGTGGGTTTTGGTTTGTCAACGTGCATCATCGTATTTGTGATAAATGTTTACATAGTCACAAATTGGCATGCCTTACAAGTTCTTCCTAAAGAGAAGAATCATCATGTGACCTTTTCCCCCAACTATTACCAAAAGCAGAGTTGCGTATTTACTTGTTTTTCATGTTTTCTTAATTCTTACATGATCAAGTATTCCCTCTTCATTAATACTCACTAAACACTTTTGAGAATCTACTTCAACCTCAATTATAGGAGTGCCTGCCAATCTAAAGAGCATGATGTTCACCTTCGATATTATATTGTCCACTCGTTTCATTATTTTATGACTTGCGTTGGACCATTACTCTTCAAATGACTCTAGGGCATTTGATTTGTAACCTTAGTTATTATTTTACATGTGAGCAATGTGGTGAGTGGAGAGCTGAATTTCTAACCAAACCCTTTAAACCTAGTGAGACTGTGCAGACTAAAAAATTGTTGGGCAACTTGCTCAATGTCATGCAGAAAAGAACAGGTTCTGGAGAAAGGAAAAATTGGAGAATCAATCCTACTGTATCTGACATTACATTTAACATCATGAAGTTATTTCTTCGGTAGGGATACTGTCAAAAATGAACATAAGTGCATATGCCTACATGATTTGATTGCTCAATATTTATTCATGTAATAGTGTCTCAGCCTAGGCCTATACTAGTTATTCTTCAACTTTAAATTCATTGATGTGTTACAGATCTCTTTATCTGACAGATTGAAACTTTTACCAGTCTTATAGCACTGAAATTTTGCATTGCATTTAGGGACGGGGTCCAGTGGATGATTTCTCTTATGTGGATCTACCAGAGCACTATATTGACATGTTCAAATTGTATGACCCAGTTGGTGGTGATCACTTCAATATCTTTGCAGCTGGGCTTAAGACAGCTGATCGTGTGGTTACTGTTAGTCATGGATATGCCTGGGAGCTGAAAACGTCCGAAGGTGGTTGGGGTCTACACAGTATTATAAATGAGAATGACTGGAAATTGAGGGGCATTGTTAACGGAATTGATACGAAAGAATGGAACCCAGTGCTTGATGTCCACCTGACTTCAGATGGTTATACTAACTACTCTCTGGAAACACTTGAAACTGGAAAGCCTCAATGCAAAGCAGCCTTACAAAAGGAGCTTGGCTTGCCCATCCGTCCAGATGTTCCTGTTATTGGGTTCATTGGAAGGCTGGATCATCAGAAAGGCGTTGATCTCATAGCTGAGGCAATTCCATGGATGATGGATCAGGATGTGCAACTAGTCATGTTGGGCACTGGCAGAAAAGACTTGGAACAAATGCTTAAGCAATTTGAGAGCCACTATAATGATAAGGTGCGGGGATGGGTTGGTTTTTCCGTGAAAACAGCTCACAGGATAACAGCTGGTGTGGATATCTTGCTCATGCCTTCAAGATTTGAACCTTGTGGGCTGAACCAGTTATATGCTATGATGTATGGGACAGTTCCTGTTGTGCATGCTGTTGGTGGACTGAGAGACACAGTACAACCTTTCGATCCATTTAATGAGTCAGGGTTTGGGTGGACATTCGATAGTGCTGAAGGAAGTAAATTGATACATGCATTGGGGAACTGCTTGTTTACATACCGAGAATACAAGGAAAGCTGGAAAGGACTGCAGAGACGAGGTATGATGCAAGACCTCAGCTGGGACCATGCTGCTGAGATATATGAGGAGGTCTTAATTGCTGCCAAGTACCAGTGGTAAGTGCAGATGCTTTTCCACTATTCTGCCCTTTTCACTATCTGCATCAGCTTGATGCGATATCCAATAGGCCCAAATTCTATTGGAGAGTGGACCTTCACGATTTCTGGATAAATATTGTTGAAAAATAGTTTGTACCATGTTGCACTCTGGGGGTTAGGCAAGGAGGCAATCGTTTCCATTGCTAGAATTAAGCAGACTAGTTGACCTTTTGGCATATATCATATAGCTCAGATGTAATCTACTCGCAGTCATTCAGAAATTGTAATCCTTTCTAGTTTTGGCAAACACTTTGGTCCTCGTACTCTCTTTTATCTGAAACTCTGTTTTTTGTCTTGAACCTTACATATGTAGTTAAGGTAGTACCTGAAGCAGTTAGTAACTTGGCAAATATTGAATCAGGCATAACCTGAAGCAGCTTTACCATGTACATTCAAAAGGCATACACGTTTTTTATTTTGAATCATAAATCAGGTGAGCATTAGTATGATTGGACGAGTTCTTTCTTGAGAACTAGTTTTGGCTCATCAATCTTAACTCTCTTCAGTAATGTTGCAAGTCAAAGTGTGACTCAGTAGCATTTGTATCAGAACCAAATTGACCCGTTGGTCCAGCCGGTTGCACTGTGAGGAATAATGGGTCGGTTCAATTTGTTGAACTGCATGGTTTATGTTAGTAATCTTTTGAGTGTCAAATAGTTAAGAAGTATGCTCTCATACATTTAACTACATTTATATTATTTAGTTTAGTTATTAAAAACCGGTAGTTAACCATTAAACCAACTACTAAATCTTCATTTTTAATTTTTATGGACGCGTAAAGATATATTTGCTTCAAATGTTTAAGCAGCTAAAAAATGGATGGTTAGACATCTGCTTCCATGGATTCTTCAATACAGGCAATGGCTTCTGACTATTAATGCATGCAATAGTCAAATTTAAATTTACGAGTATAATCAAATTTAAGATAATTTTTCAACCAAGGTGGTGCTTACAGCTCCAACATTGATTCCTTTGCCATTAGACATTCTGGTCGTCTCATTGGCTGCCTAAATTGCTGCTGACAACGTCGTCTTAGAATGAAAATCCAAAATCAAACTAATGTTTCACAAGCATGCTCAAACATGGCAATTTATTGTTCATATTCTACAAGCTAAAGAAATCAAATAAATCTAATAGTAGACATCTTATTAGTTTCTTAACGCTCAACAGAGTACTGATGTAACATTCAATCAATAAGAAATCTCCATGACTGTTTCAGATTTGAAGAAAATTATATCCCACATAATACAGAAAATGTGGGTATACATGAATATTGACCCCAAGCCACACATACAAGTATAACAAACCATATCAGCCTGCAAAACGTTTTTTTGGGTTTGGATTGCAAGCTCTATGTATAAGAAACTCTTCTTTCTCGATCAAGTTGCAAATAGGAACGAGTTGAGAATAGCCCGGCAAAGCCCCTGGACAAGCAACCTTCAACTGCACACGGAGATTTGGTAGACCCCATTGGACTATTATGTTTAATGACTTCCATGCAATCACCAGCTGAATTACCCGGTGGATTATCCTCCCAGTTCAATGGTCTGCGAGATTTCAGCCTGTTTCTCTTCGAATTCGACATAAGATTAAGGTCAGTATATTCTGTTAAATGATAATCTGACGACTCCATTTCTTCATTTTGAAGATTAGGCAACTTCCTCTTCAGACCAGGAGTCACTTTCAACCCTGCAACAAAACCAACAGTATAAGCACTTATACTCTCTTGCATAAAAGTTAAAATTGAGAGAAAAATTGGAATCAAAACTGAAATTTTTTTGCCAAGTGATACCAGGAAGAGGTTCTTCAAATACACATGATTGAGACTCTGAATCACCGCAGTTACAGAAAATGTTGGAATCTTTGTTGGATCCTGATATCCTGCCAATAAGATCGATTGCAGGTATTAGTTTCCAGTGCAATTGATAAGAAACGGAGATCAGAAAAACCCAAAAGAATTTTCAATTTTCAACATCTGGATTGACTTCTACAGTTTTTGTGTTGCACTGCTGCGATGGTAATAGAAAATTGGGTTACCATTCTCTCAAAAGGCCTCCTGGAGTCATTATTTTATGGGCCAAATTTATCACTAAACTTTCTATAAGCCATTATTTTGTGCAAACATGCTCCATCCACTATCACACATTGACAGTTCGTATAACATGGGAGAACCAAAGGCATGAATTGTCCCAAAAGTAAAAATTAAACTGGAACTGGCACTTGCTTAACAATTCCCCCTTGTAAGGAAAATAGTTGACTTTATGCGAACTCATGGCATGTAAGGACTCATATTGATGACCTAATTATGATATCAAAATGCTATGTTAAATGAAGACGAAATTGATGTCACAGCTAATATAAGCTTAATGTATTTTCCCTAAAATTGAAAGAAAGAATGTAGTTGGATTCCTCTCCCCCAAGACTCTACAAATTCGGTTTCAAATATTAAGAAAATTGACGTCCGAACAAAAGCTAATCAATACTTATAAAATCAACCAGCAGTTTTCCATATTCCCAAGTACCAAACTAATATCACCCAATTCTGAATAGAGAGGGAAATGTCAACTATTTTAAGTGTCAGTTTCTAAAAAAAAGTAATCAACAATTTCTAAACACAGAAAATGTTTAAAGAGGGGTAAACTACTTAGTGTGAACCGTTAAGACTGATCAACTACACAAGTTTCAAGAAGATTAATCAGAGATAAGATATGGATGATGATAGCTATAATTTCATTTTTTGCCAAGTCATGCTAGACTGTGTATAGATTTTATGGGCGCATTTGATCGCATACACTTCTCATTTCGATCATTTACTCATCTTCAATGTGTTCATTCATCCTTTATGTCGGTGGGGACCATCATTTTTATGCTTCTAATTGTAACTCTCTTTCTACTAAGACCATGAATTATTGGTACCAGAATAACTCAATTCTGCAATAACAAACCAGGACCAATTCAGTTTTAAGCTTTATGTGTCCACAACCTAAGACAATATATTGGTTTGGATACACAGAATTGAAATGAGCTACTTTAAGAGACTGTAGGTCATTTGCATGTCAAACAGATTAAATATCCCAGTCATAAAGGTATAAGAAAAGCAAAATACTGCAGGCACTCATGTAATACAAGGAAGCAGATCACTTAACACAGTGTGCTGTAAATTAACAGCAAGAATTTGTGATAAAATGGATAAATCATTAACCCTTTGTTTGGAAAGGAAAAATTTTTGTTTTTGGAGGAAAGAATATATATAAGGAAAATATCAAGAAAAAGGATTTCCCCTTGTTTGGAAAGATTGAGGAAAATAAGGAAAATATGCACTATTTTTCTCTGGGCCCACAAAATTAGAATCTTTCTTAAATGGAGAAAAAAATGACGAATGAATTGAGAAAATTGCATTGTTTTAATGTAAAATAGATTTCATTATCCTCCTTCCTCCATTATTTTCTTTCCTCTCCTTCGAAAATAAAGCCTAAGGGAAGTCATCGAAATTCATTGAAATATTGCAGAGGCTATCAATATAAAACAAACCTGTACATATGCTCAACAAAGTCATCTATTAGGACAGGCCATGCTCCTGCAAATGAGTATAACAAGAATAAATAAGCGAAAATTACTTCATAGTACCAACAAAGAATCGATTTCGCAATATTTAATCCAAAACAGAATAAACTTGTACATTCTCTTCTAGAACTGGGTGGATGTGTGCAACAACCGACAAGGATGATGATATTAGGTTTCCTTATGAAACAAATAAACTCCAATATTTCAGATTATAAAACTTTATGTAGGCATGCCACAATCATCATGTCATGATGCAGGGAACGCACCAACAACGATAATAGAAAATATAAAATAAAATAATATATAGAAGTAGAGAGAAAATACCATTTATTTCAATGAAAGAAAATGACTATGAAACACATGCAAAAGCATAAAATCCAAGCATGATATTGGACAAAATAACACCAAGTAAGTAGTAACCAAAGATAGGACAGGTGCGAATTATATTCATGATTAGTTTTAATAATGTTTGTCTATTTATGGTATCTCTTTTCTGAAGCCTCTGATAGAACATCAAGGATTCAACACTTCGTAAGTAAAAACATGCAAAACTGGTAACAAGCAAACACAATTTTGATAAAACAATTTATTCAACATCACTAAAACCTCCTTTTTTAATCATATAAAAATTGATATATTACGGACATGTTCATATAAATAGAAGATATGAAGCATCTAAAAAAAGATAAATTAAGCATCAAAATATAGCATATGCGCAAGTAGCTTAATTTATAGTTGAAATTTTAAATAATTGTACCTTCAGGATCATACCCTTCAAGATTTTCATGCACGCATCGGCTAAAAGCTAGAACTTGCTGCCACGTGTCCTCAGAGATATTATGTCTCTGATTTTCCTAAAATTTGTCAAAGAGATTAGTTGGTTCAAAAGAAATGCCAAAAACAACAGGATAACAAATTATATTAAGAAAACGACAAGGCAATAATTTTTAACAGCCAACATTAATTCCATGTCCAACCAAAAAGGCAATAATATCAGATTAATAGACTTAAGCAGAATGAATGGAAACACGTGCTAACATTTTACAAAGCACTCCATTCAATTGACACAGCTTAAGATAACAATAGATAGAGAAAATCTAAATCTGTGGTCTGGCTAATATAACTGATACCTGGACAAAGTCGCACCATTGGTTCAGCAACCGAAACCTACCGGCTAGAACCAGCCTCCATGCAGTAACTGCCTTGCTTACCGCTGCAAAGCATTCCAGGAAAATAAGACACCATCGAATCAAAAATATGTTAAAAAAAGCAAGCAAAGAATAAGCAAATTATCCAAAATCAAACAAACATATTTAGCCCATACATCCTGAAGAATTAAAGAGAAAAAGGGAACTTACTGATATTCTTTTGACCATTTTCACGGCACATGAAGAACACAAAATCATAGAAATGTGAGTATTCAGAGAAGTCCACCTACCGGAACGAGGAAGAAAAAAGAAAGAAGTACATGTTAATGTCAATAAACACCAATACAAGCCATTCTTAAAAAATAAAAAAAAATTTTGAGAAATGGGAGGGGTCAGTGAATAGTTTCATCAGGCACATAGCATATGAACTTCAAAATAAATTCAGACTCACCATAAATTCTAACTTTGACATGAGCTTTGCAAGTTCCTCAAAAATTGAAATCCTGTCAAGAAAATATGCCCGAATAACTTTCAGGAAATTGGAAAAGATAAAATACGAGGGTCTATATGGCCCAACTGCTTTGAGAATGAGGCTTAGTTACGCCAATGAGTTTGATATCAAGTAGCAATTTTCTAATCATATACAGGATACATGATACTAATCGGGGATCAATGGTCTTGCATAACAATAGGGTTAATTTCTTAAAGTAGGAGTTGTGTTCAAGACACTTGGACAAACATGCCGTACTGCACAAATTCTATTACTTACATGCTAATTTACCAGATACAGAGTTATCAATATAGACAACTCATAAGACAACACACAGATAAAAATGGTTCAACCGTTAACCTTACTGACCCTAATAGATTAAGTTTATTTGTCTAACAATCCAGGCTACATGCTACTCATGACACATACTATCAGTAATCCAAGAGTCTTATCCTCAGAAAAATTCCAAGCAGCTCATAGAAGATGAAATGATGAATACCTTGTATGCACCCTCAATTCCACAAATTTTAAAAGCTGAGCCAATGCATCCCTTGAGAATTTACAGTGATGCATATCATCATCTTGCTCTTTTCTTTCCCCCTCGTATGATTTTCCTGATCTAATATCTGCAAGAAAAATTTAGATCCAGCTAAGTAAGACTTTCAATAGAAATAAATCAATTGTTCTTAAACAGTAATATATTAATAATAGCATGCAACTAAAAGATGCAAAATTTACAAATTGTTTAGAAAACCGTACTGCATGTACAAATAAAATCCATTGACACAATGGGACAAAAATTTGTTTAACAAAAATCCAGAATAAAGATAACAAATTTAAACACCTACATAATATAGATTCTCTCATAATTTGCATAATGGCAACTAAACTAAGCCCGATATTCATACTTTACATAATCCAGCTAAAGGAAAAATAAAAATTAACAAAAAAAAAAAAAAAAATTCATTGAATCTTAAACAAAAACTTAAAAAACAAAAAGATATCAACAAAATTCAAAATCAGAGCTATAAAAACATAATAAAAATAAAAATCCAGACTTTATTTCAAGTAAAAAATCTGAATAATTAGCTCACTATCAAAAGAAACACAAAGCAAGAAACCATCTAAAAAACATCAAGACACAGTTTATGAAAGAAATTCAAAATTGATGAAAAATCAGCGAAGCGGGTGAAGTTACCGCAGTAACGCTGGTAAATCTGGAAAATATCAACCCGATTTGAATCCGGAAAATCCATTTTGAGATAAAGCAAGCCGGAAGAGGGAGATAGAGATGATGTATAGGTAGAAGCAAAAACCCTAGATTAGAAATTAACAAAAACCATGTACAACAGGGATGGTGGGCATGGTGTCTCTTTATCTGGCTATCTCCCTCTGTCTCTGTGTGTTATTTGCGTGTCAGTGTCTTACACTATTACCGTTTTACGCTTTTTGGGATGTTTTTTGTTTTCACGTTATTTTATGAAAGGACATGAATTTCTATTTTATCAAAAAATATATATACTAATGTAGTTATATAGATACATATAGAGAGAGAAAATAAAAAATTATAATTATAATTAATTTAGTTAATAATTTGGAAAGAGTTAAAACTATTATAATTATAATTAATTTAGATTATATATAGATACATATGCTTTCACTAGAAAACAAATAAATTAGTTAAACTATTAGCTACTGATAATTAATCTAATGTTAAGAATGGGAATTAATTTTTTTCACAAATTAGAGTTTGATTTTAGTAGAAAGTATTCTAAAAATTACACATCGTTGGTTCGATTCAATTTGAGTGTATTTTTTTATTGAATTTTGAATTCGTCATTGAACCGTCGATTCCAATTTAATTCTTTAAACCAACAGTTCTGAGTTAATTTTACATCATAAAACGATTCGGTTCAGTTCGAACCAATTTATAAAATTTTAATAAAATAATTTAGATTTTTTTTATTAACTATTCAATTTTTTAATTTTCAATCTAGAAAGTTAATTTTATATTACTCGAAACAAAAATGAAAAATACAATTTTAATTAACTATTCAATTTTCCATTATAAATTAAATAGTGAAAAGATAATTTTATTCAATTATGAATTAAATAAATAATGAAATATGAAAAATCAATTACGATTAACTCTTCAATTTTTTAATTATTAATTAAATATGAAAAATTAATTTTGATTAATTATACAAAAACAAAAATGAAAAGACAACTTTAATTAATTATTTAGTTTTAAATTTTAATTAACTATGAGAAGTCAATTTTGATTAAATATTAATTTGAAAAAATGTAAAATCAAAACCAAAATTGCATAAAGCTGGGAACGAATGAGCAGGCCAAAGTGTCTTGGTGGGTTAGGTTTCAAGCGGCTCCATGAGTTCGATCTGGCTATGCTGGGGAAACAGGCTTGGTCTCTTATTTCTTCTCCTACTTCTCTGGTCTCTCGGCTTCTTAAAGCACGCTACTTTCCGAATACATCTTTTCTAGAGTCCTCGTTAGGCTTCAATCCCAGTTTTCTTTGGCATAGCTTCTGGGCTATTTGAGATCTGTTGAAGACTGGTGTTTGTTGGAAGGTGGGTTTAGATTGGAACATTTTGGTTTGGGATGGTTACCGAGCTCTCCTTCATCTATGATTTCCACAACGAGACCTGCTTCTACTGATGTGCTAGTGGTTTCGGATCTCATTCGTGATAGGCAGTGGGGTGAGCCACTGATTGCTCAGACCTTCAATGAGGATGATCGAGTGCAAGGTGTTTATAGGTCACTTATTGTTATGCCATGGCTGTCCCGTTCGCTTACCACTAGCGTATCAAGGCTCCTCCTAAAGCTCTGAATATGGTTTGGCGAGCTTGTAATGGCGCTTTACCTAGTTTGGATTTGTTGCAGCAGCGACTTGTGCCTGTGGTGAATTTGTGTCCTCTGTGCCACGCTACTTCCGAGTCGATCTTTCATGTTTTGATTTCTTGCCCTTTTGCTAGATCTTGCTGGGCTCTGACTGCTGTGCGCGGTGTTTCCCTCTCATTTTCTAGTTTTTTGGACTGGTTCTCACGGATTCTGGGGCATTCCTCGTTGGATGATGTTTCTATTGTGGTTATGCTTTGCTGGTCCTTGTGGCAGTGTAGGAATGAGGTTGTCTGGCAAGCTAAATCTCGTTCAGCTGCTCAAGTTGTTCAGGGGCTCTGTCCATGTTGCAGGAATGACTGTCTGTGTGGGTTCAGCAGGGGCCTTCGGCATCTGTTTCTCATATTATTTCCTGGGTCAAGCCTCCTATTGGTATTCTTAAGTTTAACGTTGATGCTGCCATTTTTCGCGATGGTTTTATTGGCCTGGGGTGTGTTCTTCGTGATTCAGCTGGAGATTTTGTTGCAAGTCTTCAGAAGCGTGTGCGAGGTGCCTTCTCAGCCAGTGTTGCTGAAGTTATTGCCATTCTTGAGGCGTTAAGTTGGATCAAATGTCATTCATGGTCTAATGTTGTTGAAATCAGATGCACAACATGGTTTCAGCTATTGCTGGTTCATTTTATCAATATGATTCTGCTTTTGGTTCACTTATAGCCGATTGTTAATCTCTTTTGACAGAGATATCTAGTGTTGATCTTTGTTTTGTTCATCGATCAGTGAATGGTGTTGCTCACAGTCTAGTTTAGGCTTCCCATTCTTTGTCTGGTCAGATTGAATCTTTTGGTTCACCTCTTATTTATATTGTTAATACTTTGGGGCTTGAAAGCCTTTAGTAATCCAATCCTTCCATTTTCTCAAAAAAAAAAAAAAAAAAAGGTTTTCTTCAAGAAAAATAGTGTAAAAGTCAAAAGTTTAGGGATCTTAATATATTTTGCCTTTTTTATAATTGTTATAGTAGCTCCTAATTTGTAATAGTGAAATGAACTAGAAAAAATAATTTTATTATGGTTACCAAAATATTATGGATTAAGGATATTTTCACAGTATTGCAATTAAAAAATAAAAAATTTATAAAATTTAAAATATAATTGAAGATTCAAATGTAATATTTTTCAAGGTTTACGATTTTAACCGTAATTTATGCCAAACTTGGGATGTAGATTTAGTTTTGACAAATCACTATATTTTTCTTATAGTTGTTAGATTATGAATTTATGAATAATAAATTAGTTACTACTTTATAATAAAAATAGAATTCCAAGTAGGATTTGGTCTCCGCGGAACTCGTAGAATGACGTGGCAATAATTCACCGCCATCGGCCCAACGCGTCCAATTAGTTACCCACTCCGAAAGTATTCTCACCAGACCGCCAGAAGGAGTATAAACCGCAATCCCTGATGTCATTAAGATTCTAGATTCTTCCGTAATCTCCTCATTATGATTCTGCACTGTACATTATATGTATATATAAATCCCCTCTCCATTTCTTCCTCAAACACTCATAAGTTTTGTTCTTTCTCGAGCGACTACTGTAGCGATGGACGGTAACACTAACAGCACCGGCACTGAACCAAGCGTAGCGGAGTCCGTGGCCAGAATTAATTCTCTGGCTATGGTTTTCATGCGCCTGATTGCAGAGGAAGAACAACAACAACAAGCCATCCCTCAAATCGCTATCTTTAATTCGCCGACCAGCTCCGTCGCCTTCTTCCAATTCCCAATTGGCGGCGACAAATCTGGGCCTTTACCGGCATCGAAAGAGTCGATAGACGCGATGCCAAGAATAATAGTGACTGAAGATCGCGTTGAGGACTGCCCAATTTGTTTGGACGAGATGAGTATCGGCGGCGAGATTCGGGAGATGCCGTGTAAACACGGATTTCATTCCGGTTGTATAGAAAAGTGGTTGGGTATCCATGGGTCGTGCCCGATTTGTCGGTTTGGGATGCCTGTGGAGGATGATGGTGTCGGTAGTGAAGATGGGCAGCGCCAGAGAAGGCCGACGACTGGTTTCGGTTGGATTATTACTAATAATTTTATAGATTCTGCCGATGCTGGGCCTTTGTCATCGGGTTCGGATCCTGGGTCAGAGAATTCGGATTCCAGTGGGAGGTGATGTTGACTGCTGTTGGTCAACCATGCGAAATCACATCATAGGTCGAGTTCTATATTATTAAAAATTTTCTTGAATATAGACATTCTTTTTTTTTTATTTTATTTACTCAAAGAATTACATGCACATAGTGAAATACTTGGATTTACTGGATTTTTTTATAGTTTTTGGAAAAGATTATTTGATTGTTCTCCAAGAAAATTAAAATTCTTTTTTTTTTTAAATGATAGTGAAATACCTTGATTGAGAAATTCAATTTGACCACTTGATTCTTGAACTTAATATGTTCTGTTTGGATTAAAAGTTGTGGCAGTCTGCAAGTGACCTGTGATTTAACATCTTTTTACAAAGAGCAAACTAAAGATAGCCTCTCATTCTCAGCAAAAAAAATTGTGGCCATTACTCATTTTGGGAAATATAGTGGAGCATTAACCAGCAAAACCAAAGCTACATTCTAAGAAGTAATTGGTGTAATTTTATAAATACAGTATAAATTTAAGGGAAACACATAATTTCATCTCCGAACAATTTTTATAGCACCCATTTGACAATGTTGCACTTTTCTCTATTTTAAGCGAAATATACAATGGATGGATAGATAAATTTATGTTTAATCACAATTTTTTATTCAGATTATATATTAAAATTTTACACTAATAATATGCATGCATTAATTAAAAATAATACCTCCATCCATAATATGCATCTATGTAAAGTATGTAATAGTTAAAAATAAGAATTCCTTGAACTACTATGAAAAACAATTCGAAATGGCAAAATTGAAATAAATATTTTTGTAATATTTTAAAATATAAAATTTGGAGTAAATAATACATTTAACAATATTTATGACATCCATGCGTAATTTCAGTCTGCCCGAAATCCTTGATTTCGTTGTAGTTGTTATTTAACCAACCTCTATCGGCTAAAGTAGGAAGTAACCAATACCATGTTTTTGCCTCTTTCGAGAAAGATGCTTTGTTAGTGGAGTTGACATGTAAGTTAAAGTGATGCCTCTTACCTAATCACTATGTTAAATTGATTTAACTAATCACTACTGATCTCCTTGATTGAACGTTTCTGATTAAGCTAGTTAGCAAAAGAAATTCAACAACTCAGCCTTTGCACGTGTCTGGGACACAGGAAAATTGTTTTAGAATTGCTTTATGTCTTATCCTTCAGAAACCATTTGACATTATCTTAAGTTTCTAATTGTATAAACACATTTGTAGCTGTACATATTTCCATAGGCCTGATGATACTCGCGACTGAACTCGTTTGTTAACAAGTCAAGTTTGAACTAGCCAAAACTCGAGTCATCTGCATATCTTATTAAATGGGTCAAGCTCGAACTAGCCAATGTGTAAATCTTAATAATCATCCCCTGCAAGTTTTCATTCCATCTAGAAGCTAGCCAAAAGAGATAGATTGTTTGCAAATTTGCTTTACCTTTCCTCATTTTTCATTCTACTATTAAGTGTCGAGTATCTATGCAATAGAGCTGTTCTCAAGTTTGTATCTTCTATCGTCTATGTTCACAGATCAGGCCAGCAGGAAAAACCCTTAACTGCCAAACAGATGAGAACAAAAGAATGAAGACTTGTTCAAATTGTTTCCAATTTTTGGTCATCTTCCTTTTTTTTTAACCAGAGTCATTAAATTCAATCCAATGACATAGTCCCTTGTTTGAATATCTGCCTCCCAATGTGACCTAATCAGAGAGGCACACTAGGAAAAAAGAACCAATCTTTGAATATACAGTTGAACTCGGCCTGAAGGGTCATCTATTCCTTAAAATGTCCATAGTTATAAGAAAAATACAAACTCCAGTAAAAAGTCTTCAGAAACAAGATATCAAATAAAATAGAATACCAAAAGAAAGGTGAAAAAAACCAGAAATGGTTAAAACAAGACTACAAATCAACTTAACTAACATTAATAACACAGGAGTAGTTTTTCTTGAAGGTCAGTTTGCAAAAGCCTTTGTTTTTTGAAAGACAGAAACAGAGCAGTTAGCACATAACCATCAATTATGCTTCATGAAGTCCATTAGAAAGAAAATGTTCTTGTGTTAACTGAAAGTACGTAAGAAGGATGTTGATGAATCAAGAAAAGATCAAGAAAAACAAATCAGTACTAAAAGTCACATGCAGCATGGACTTAAGAACTTCACATATGCAATCACAAGTCTTTATTTCCATTATATGCAGTTAAGCACTTCTGATTCTGAATACAAAGACAGGTAAACAAGTTAATATTTCAGTGAAATAAACTGCTTTTCAACTACAAGGAAATTTTCCTGAAACCAGTAATGCTTCATTCTTGGGAAACGGTGCTAGATCTATTTGTTTTTTTAAAGAAGAAAATGGAAAAGAACAGAAAAAAAGAAAGCCGTTGAAATTAGACAAGTCATTTCCTTAACAACTACTAAGTATTGACATCTATGGATCATTCTACTTTAAGGATGCATCAACAAAATGCAATGCATACCTGCAGAAGGAACAAAGAAATTAAGAGATCACCTTCAATATAAAAGAAAGAAATTTTGACCAAATGTATTAGTGACTAAACAAAATTTGGTTTATAATGTCAAAACTTTAGTTACCATCAAATTGAACTTGTTTCTACAATCACAGTTTTTGTGGAAAAGCAAGTCACCAGCACTTGAAGGACATGGTCTTCACTTCAGTCAGGTATAATTGATCTAATCACAAACTAAATGAAAATCCTTTGGCTTTTTTCTAATACATGCACCACCTTCACATAATTTCAGGAGATTTCCACAACCTACCTTGAAATTCAGGAGATTTCCACAACCTACCTTGAAATTATTGCCCTTAAGTCTTACTCCTCTTTCCACTCTTTCTATTTTCTATTTTCTAAGTTATACTTGTGACATGCCAAATCTGAATGCATTACTTGAAGTCCCCTTAAACAAGCAGCAGCTAAATTTCTGCCGAGCAGAGAATGAAATTGATAGCAACAAATACACAGCATACACAAGTTCAAAACTACTAACTCAGTTAGTAGAAGAAGAAATCTTATCCATTATAAATGACTCTAAATCATAGATAGAGCTCCATGATTTACAGTTAATAGTCATCCAAAGCTTCCTGAATAGCAGTAACATGATCCCTATATGAAAAAGAAAAGAACAGCCACATACTATCAATCATTCAAACTAGAAGGATTGGATGTGACATTTGCTTTCCTTTTATCCGAACTCAAGTCCAATAGTTATCAACACAATAACATGCTACTTGATCATGTGTTAAAACTAATCATAAACTTTCACAAAAAAGGAGTCAAAAATTCAGCAAAAACTATTATACAATCAATCTACTGCAAAAGTAATCTAATAAACTGCAATAATGAATATTTATTTAAAAGATAAAAAAAGAATCTAAGACTGTAATTGAAAGAAACGATTAATATATAATATCCAAACAAAGTTAATGAAAGAAAGGATTCTTATATTCTCCACTATAACCAAATGTGTATATAATCCCTTACAAATTATTGGCATGAGCTTATTTAAGGACAAAGTAGCTCCTGAGAAGAACGATAGGAGAAGACACTCCTCTCTCCCTTATGATTCTACCCCTGTATTGGTTATATCCCTCCTACAAAATTAAGAAATAAAACAACTCCTACTTCTTGATCTTCTTCTGCTTCTTTGGTCCCGGAACTTCCAATCTCCCAACAGAACATCCACACCTTGCTCGAAAAACCAGAACTGCTCTCCCATTAGGTGGTGCCATTTTCTTCAGTTCAGCCTCCAATTCACGATGGTGATCACGAGGCAATTCAAATAGCCCCCTCTTAACTCCGTCTTTAACCAAAGTACCATTAGAATTCTTCACACACTCCTCTGTCTCCAGCTGAATATCAAATTCAGCTGCCTTTCTTAGGCCCTTGCAATTTGGATTCCCACATTTCCTAGCTGTACATATAAGTACTATCCACACAGCTATTGCAGCAAAAAAGGTACTAATCCCTATGGATGCATATATCATTGGATTTCCCATAACCTCTTCTTTGACCACATAATGAATGGCACCGGCAAATTCAATCAAACAGACAATTGCAATCTTGCAATAAGGAAATAACAAGAACCCACAAGCACAAATAACAGCAATCAATATCACAACATCAACAATAGCTGATCGAGATCGATCACAAACAGGGATATTAGAACAATTCAAATTATTATTATTTGTCTTCCTATTCTTATGCACATGATTATTGTGCCTTGCTGATTTTGGATGCAACTCATTAGAATTCACAGAATTTGCCATGACTGCTGTTGCTGATTGGTCGACGGAGTTGCAGACCGAGATTGAACTATGGAAATAGACCATTTCAGATAAAACCCAGAAAAATTTGAATCAACCTCAATCTTCTAAACGAACCCACCGATGTTAACCAATCCAAATCACAAAAACAAATTAAACTCACCAATCTACACCCAAATCAGATCGACCCACCTCGTTAAAAATCAAAAAGAGCAAGAATTCACCTACTCTTCAAGATGAAAGGCAATGTTTGTCGGTGACCAGATGTGCAGCAACAAAGACGAAAATTATCAAACAGTAACATACAATTCAAACAGAAAACTGGACTGAATCCAAAATGAAAAAGCAAGAGACTAAAGAGAGATCCTTGCTCTGTAAATTGGGTTATCAGGCCGGCTAAGAAGGAGCCAAGCCAGAGAAGAAGCAGAAAGGACAAGGAAGAGTCATTTAACGCGGTGTGTTTTTTAATATATATCGCAATCGGTTTCTAAGCTTTTTGATTATTAACCAAATGGCAGATTACCATATTGAAGAGGCTTACACACGCAAATGACCAGTTGGAAACGAAGCGTTACGTGGGCTGACATGGGATGGGCTTCCTCATGGCCTAATGATGTGTCAATGATTTGGTGGGGTTCACTATGGGCTTGGCCCACTTTTTACTTTATTATAAATAATTTAGCCCTTTTTGCATCTTATAGTATAAAAATTGGGATTATTTCCATTAATTATGACATAATGTTCATGTTTAATAACCTTTTTAGGGTTTTTGAAGTTTGATGATTGGAACTTATGTGCCTTTTGCATGTATAAGCCGTGATTCACATAATAATTAATTAGCTAGTTAGTTGAAATAGTTGTCTATTCTAATTGTAAATCATCTATTTATTTATTTATTTATTTTAGTTTATTACAAGTGCATGGTTTTTTAATATTTTTTAAAATTTTTTTTAAGCATTGAGAGAAAATTATGCGTGTATTAACAGTAAATATATTAATATTAAGATAAATTTAAATTGTCTACTCTTTTATTTCACATTTATATTAAAAGTAAGCGCAAAATTTTTTTTTTATCTCTTACATATTATTGTTCAATCATGGTATCATACATTTTATTATTATTATACTAATTCTTCAATCTATATAAATATATAAAATAGAAATAAATTCACAATATAAAAAGATTAAAGTGCATAGCTAACGAATGAAATGTTGTTTAATCAATGTGGCTAAATCGCAAGCAAAATGATTTTTTGATGTTATTTTTTAATTTCAATTTATTTTAAATTGGACATTAATTGAGCGAAAATTAATATTAATATAATAAATTGGAAGGCAAGAATAATAACATAAATAATAAAAGTACCTTAAAAAACATAAATAAATAAATTCATGCAATGTTATTTGAATTCATAAAAATAATATAATAAATTCTAGGGACGACGGATTAAAATAAGCGTGCAAATGGAACAATATATCAACTTGTTATCTGACTAAGGCAAGTAACTGATTGCAACCATTTTTCTTCATTTTGCTGTTAAAATCTTGAAATGATCCATGTGAAAACAAAAGAAAGAAACAATGGAAAATATCCATTTTTGACCCTTGGTTTGTTGTGCGTTTGGGTTTTGAAATCTAGTCAAATTAAAAAATGATATTCAAAATTTAAATCAAACCATGAAGTCATGAATCATTATTCCTCTTGTTGGCCATTTACCAAAGTCTTCCATTGAGGCTATCCACCCATTGTTGTTTTGTCTATACCTCCACAACCTCAACCACGCGAGATGAAAAAAAAAAAAAAAAAAAAACCCAAAGTCTTCCTTTGAGGCTATCCACCCATTGTGTTTTGTCTATACCTCCACAACCTCAACCACGCGAGATTGAAAAAAAAAAAAAAAAAAAAAAGTATTTCAAAGTTAATTTTCAATTTTAATCCATTTATTTTCGAGAAAATTATTAATTGTATCTAACTCTTTTCAAAATTTACTTTCTCCGTTCCTCATTTTGTTTTACAATAGAAAAAAAAAAAAAAAAAAAAAGTATTCAAAGTTATTTTCAATTTAATCCAATTTATTTTCGAGAAATTATAATTGTATCTAACTCTTTCAAAATTTACTTTCTCCGTCTCATTTTGTTTACATAGTTTGATAAAACACACAGATTTAAGATTCAGTCAATAAAAATCGTTTTGTCATTTTGCTCATTTTTCCCCTTAACTCATTAAGATATTAATAAAAGTTATTCGTTTAATGAACAATTATAAATGTTATTATGAGAAAATTAATTTTTTAAATATATAAATAATGAAACTTTGTAAATATTTTAGAACATAAAAAAAAAAAAAAGTAACAAACAAAATGGGAAAGAAATATTATTTTATCATAATCTCTAAATGTGATGAAACCAATTCTAATATATTACATCTATTATTTTTAGAAATGCAGAGTCTCAAGTTTCAAGTTCCTGGAAGTCTATCCAATGCAGAGACTGTGCTTAGTTGACTTCATTCATTATATATAATGAGAGTAACCCATTTTTCTTCTAGTGCAAGACTATAAGCTAAGCTATCATATTCTTTAAAGGAAATATTAGCCTGCTGTGTATAGGTCCATTTATATCCAGAGCACAACTAAAAAAATTATTTTAGAAGAGTGAAATAATTACCCACTAGTGCATTATAATTTGTCGAAGTATTCCCAAAGACCAAAATCTGCAATCAAAAGCCACCTATTTGTGCTAGGCTAGCCAGTCTTAATCACTTCTATTGAGGAAAAGAAGGAAAAGCCCAATCTCATTAGATTTAAAGTCTAAGCCCAAAACACAAGCCCACGCTTCATTTCCCATAACTTCTAAATTCTAATTAATAATTTCCTCAACCACCAAAAAAAAAAGAAAAAACACTTAAAGATAAGTCTTCTAGACGTGAAATCAACTTCATTAATTATATATATTTTTGAAGTTGGCATTGCCTGTCTTGAATATGGGTGATAGATTGATATTTAAATCCAATTATCCAATTATTTAAATTTCCAAGAAACAATAATCTAATACTAGTATATTACATGAAAGATGTGCTCAAAGCATATTCTTCTGAATTCTAGTTGGCAGTACTTATTATAAAATGTACTTTTTCTTTTTAAACAAATAGTACTTTTTAGTTTTATGATGGAAAATGAATTTTTAGTACTCTAAATTTGTTATTTTTGTGGACTTATTTTTCTGAACACCGAAATAATAAAAAGTTATAAAAAATATTTTATTACAAGTTATTTTAGGGAAATAAATGGAGCCTCGTAAGTAAGATAATTTTCTTTCTTCTCATAAAATTTTTAAGATTCGTCTATTATAAAATAGTTTGTATTAGTTCATAAATTTAAAATTACACTTATCTCGATATAAAAATATTAATAATAACTACAATTATGATTACTATGATAAATAGCAAGATTTTTTTCACACAAGATTGATTTTACATTAGAAAAATTTAAATTTTTTATTTTATTGAAATTCATCCAATTATTGAGATGTCTTTTAAAACTAAAATGGTCATAAATTAAATAGTTGACTCTTTATATTGACATATTCTCTTTCATTTTGAAAATAAACATATCAACTTATTAGTTTAATTACATTCAATTTATATAAGAAAAATTAAAATATTCATCTCTAATAATTCATATGCCAGAACTCATAAGACCTTGACACCTTGTGAGCAACATATAATAATAATAATATAAAAACAAGGTGAAAACTCTCAACATGATCATTACTTGATACGTTGCATTTATTACTTTCATAGAAAATCCAAGCAACCAATCTCTAACATTTTTTTAAAATTATTTGATGACGTGTCATATATTTTATAATATTTTAATTTTTTATCTACTCGAACACCAAATAGGAATTTCACACGCATAAAGAAGAAGATAGACATCAGCTTTTTTGGAATGGACACGTGTCGATTCCAGAGCATATTTCCATTTAAGCAGGAAAATGCTGAGCCACTAGAAACAGATTCTTTCAGGTTGGCTTGCCTGCCTTGATGTTTTACATGTGTGAGATTTGTGGCACGTGTTTACTGATCGTGATTCCAGTGATGGAGATCAACGGAGATTGGTGCTAGCTAGGCTCTGGAGAGATAGATCACTTTTTCACTTTATCTTTCTTTTTTGTTGATGGTTGGTGGGGCCTACTTAGCATATGTTTTCTGACGTGGCGGAACGCTGTGTTAATTGAATGACTTGTAAGCTATTAGGGGGCCACGGTGGGGTCAAACCCACGTGGTACCAATGACATCAGATATTGACGTGGATTTCTATGAGTTTTCCTTTATTAACTTTTTTTTTTAATGTGCTTTACAGATCTTGGTTTTCTCCGCCCTTAGATTTTGAATCAAATAACTCGCCGATAAACGGGCTTATCGCCGATCAAGTCCAAATTCAAATGACTTTTCTTGTATCGTGTTGATCATCTTTCTTTTTTTTTTAAATGATCTTTTTTATTTATTAAGATGCTTAGTAAGTCAAAGTAATATTACGAGTTATATAATATATATATATATTTAAAAAAAAAACAACTCTCTTTCCTTAACTACACAACGTGATATTTTCCTTTTAGTTCATTAAATTAGTAAAAAGGTTATTATAATTGACAAGACTCGAATTCAAAACGTCTCACATTTCACATAAATAAAAAAATCAAGAAAATTAATTTGTACTTCCAACAAAAAATAATTCTAAAATAAAAATTTGCAATCACCAATTAGTCAATTATTGTGTGTTTGGCCCACCAACAAGTACTTTGTTGTTGAGAATTAAAAAAAAAAAGTTACATAAATAAATGAGTTTCACAAAAATTTATATAATTTACTTATAAATCTAAATTTTGTATTTAGTATGAAAAAATAAAGAATCAAATTCTGTGAATTCAATTAAATGGATTTGAACTGCAACTAAATCAAATTCTACCAAAATAACTAGAATTTCCAAATCAATTTCACAAACTTAAACAACCTAAATCTTTATGACAAAACTCTCCACCCTAATTTCTAAAATTTCAAGTGGTGTAGATTCCCATGTTTGCATTTGTAATTTACAAAATCCAACGTTGTAAGGCTTATATAATTTAATTTTGTATCATTTTATGGAGGTCATGGATCAAATCATTCATTTATGTGTATGACTAATCAAACACATGTTATGTATACAGGAAAAAACACGACTTATATTTTAGTACAGAAAGAGTAGTTTTAAAGACGTAACACAGTTAAAAACACTATTTTCTTAAAAAAAAAAAATAGGATTACAAATTGAGACAAGTGAAAAATGAAATTTAACCGTATAATTGTGGGATAGAGAAAATAATGAATCATGGTAGTTTTTCTTAGATGAAAATTAGTTATTAAATTGGAGTATATAGATTTTATATTAAATATAGATGAGTCTTATCCATATTTTCAATCTTCTGAACTCATGTAATTACCTCTCTCTCACACTCTTAAATTAATCGGGGAAAGAGTAATGAAGAAAATACTTAGATAAGATAAATGGAAATTTAGCCAAATTAAGAAAAAATTTATTTGTGATGTAATTATTTTATTAATTATTGTTTAAAACTTCAATAGAGAAAAAGGATTAAAAATTATACTATTATGATATTTATTTAATAATTTACAAGAAAGGCACTGCATTAAATTATTCAATTCAAAACCCCTTGTTGGGTTCTTGAGATATTGCCAACACTATCCTTACAGCCAGAGCAATGGGCCAATTTACATTTTCATCCACATAATATTAAAATCAATTTAAAATAATTTTTAAAAATAAATAATAATATCAAGCTAACTCGGCGATTTTTTTGGCGAGGAAGCGTTGAAAGAAAGGGAAAGGAAATGCTGACTAGGACTGAAAGGAAAGAGTAGAGAATCAAAAAGAGGGAAAGAGAGTAAAAGAAAGAAAATCTTTCCTTCAAGGCCACAAAGAAAACTTGTGGCTAAGAATCGCTTCTTGTTGCTGACGTGGCAACACCTACCTGCCTAAAACGGATCAAAAACGTAGAACACAAAGCAATCTGACTCGAGACACAAAAAAACACACTCTCTCTCCGTCAGATCTCTCTTTCTCTCTCTAGAAAGTTTAAAGCTTTATTGGCAAATTTTTTACTTTTCTATTTTTAATTTTAATTTTTAGTTCAGTTTTGGTTTAACTTCGAAGGAAAAACAAAAAAAGAGCAGAGAGAAAGGGAGAGAAAAAAACAGAACAGAGCAGCAGAAATGTCGGAGCCAAAAGACCCGGCAATCAAGCTATTTGGAAAGACGATTCCTTTGCCAGAGATCTCTCATGGAGGTACTGGTACTAGTACTGCTTCTGCTGCTACTAGTGGTGGTGGTAGTATTTCTATGGATGATGATAGTCAAGATCAGGACCGTCCAACTTGTGCAAGTTCTTCACTCGAAGAGAGCAATACAAAAGGAGGAGATGGAGAAGAGAGAGAAAGTGATAAGGTATTGATTTTGATTTTACTTGATTGGGTACTTGGGGTGTTTCGATTTTTTTGATTGACCCATTTCTGAAGATTGGAAGTGTTAATGGGTAGATTTTAATTTATGGATAAAGTTGAATTCTAGGACCTGTTTTGACTTGGGTAATTTGATTTCTGTACCTTTGATGTGTCTTTTTATCTATTTTTTGGATTTCAGTTTCCGGATGCTTAATAGCCCATGTTTGAGAATATTTGATTTCTATAACTATAAGCAATTTAGTATCTAACAATATATTTGGTTTATGTTCTTAGGGCAAATCTTGATTCTTTTGGAGATTGCAGGTTTTTTATATATTTAAAGGAACTTGCTGGATGACTCCCAGCAAAATCATTATTTGATTGGAGGTCATTCAATTAGATAATGTTTTTACTAGCTGGAGTTAGATCTTCAATGGTTTTACTTCTTCCATCCGTGCCTTTTTTGGAAAGCCCAATATTTCTTCGTTCTTCTTTTTTTATTTTCTTGTTCAAAATTTGGCTGCTATTTTGAATTATGTATAGGCTGGTATCGGTGTTCTCCTGATAATTTAGGTTGTAAATAGGGTTTGGTGCTGCATGTTGTTCACCTACCTCTACTTATCGCCTCCTTGTAAATGTTTCAGTCAGAAATATTACTTTTCAATGGGCATGTGATTATTTGTGGATGTGCTTGCTTCCTTGTTGTTAGGAATTGTTTAGATCAATTTATCTGTCAATATATTCTCATAGAAAGTGACCACCAACTAAATTGTTGTTTCATCTTCCAATTTAAGGAAAAAGTAATGGCCTGTTTTTGTGCTCCATTTGGTTCTACCGATGTTTTAGGAAAGAAAAGATCTGTTTATGCTACATGACAAATTCAATGCAAAATCCAACTGCTTGTCATTCATTAACTTTGCTATTCTGATGTAGAAATGCTTGAATCTTGACATACCTAAGAGCTTATTTCAATTTTGATGTGCCAGAAGATATGACCCATTTTGTTCCTTCTAGGTGATTGGAATAGAATGAGTTAAGATTCAACTAGCAGTTAATGGGGAAATAATATTATATTATAGGCTTAGTGGTCATGGAACAAATAAGTCAGAATTCACAACAATTCATTAGGCTCTTGTTTGCAAAAATCAAGATCAGATTGAACCCAAGTGTCTTACTGTCTTGTAAAGAACCAAGCTTGGTAGCTGGTGATGATTTTTCTGCGTTGCATTTGCATATTAGCTTTAACTTCTAGCATGTCTTCTCTTGTTTATACCTGTGTTCATTTTATGCATCTGTATTTTCTAGTTGTCTTAAAAATGACTTCTCCAAGCAAAGTGCAAGTGTCATTTATTTTCTTGGGAACTAGCTGTTGATACCAATTTTTTTTCCCAATTGTTGTTGTGATCAATTCAGGATGCAGGTGGAGAAACACCACTGGAGAGTAAACAGGAAAATGGAACCCCGACTGTGACTGCAGAAGAGTCGTCAAATCCGGATGCAGGGATAAGTGACAACCCTAAAACATCTTCTGTTGAGAAAGACAACTCCACTTCACAAACTTCAAAGACAGAGGAAGAACAGAGTGATACAAGCAATTCACAAGAAAAGACTCCAAAAAAACCTGACAAGATCCTTCCATGCCCTCGCTGTAATAGCATGGATACCAAATTCTGTTACTATAATAATTACAATGTGAATCAACCACGACATTTCTGCAAGAATTGCCAAAGATACTGGACAGCTGGAGGGACTATGAGGAATGTGCCGGTTGGTGCTGGTCGTCGTAAAAACAAGAACTCAGGTTCTCATTACCGTCACATAACTGTCTCTGAAGCTCTCCAGAATGTTGGGACTGATATTCCAAATGGTGTTCACCATCCTGCACTCAAAAGCAATGGAACAGTCCTCACCTTTGGCTCAGATACCCCACTTCATGAATCAATGGCTTCTGTGTTAAATCTTGCAGAAAAAACTATGCAGAATAGCCCAAGAAATGGGTTTCATAAGCCTGAAGCATTAAGGATTCCTGTTTCTTATGGAGGTGTAGGAAAAGGGGATGATAATTCAAACGGACCTTCAGTAATGGCATCAAATTCGAAGGATGATGCAAACAAAATTGGGTCACAAGAGACAATGGTACGTAATGGCCAGAGCTTTCAACCTCAGGTACCGTGTTTTCCTGGCACTCCCTGGCCTTATCCTTGGAATTCAGCTCAGTGGAGCTCGGCCACCTGTCTTTCGCCGGTAACCCCACCTGCCTTTTGCCCTCCAGGATTTCCTATGCCATTCTATCCTACAGCAGCTTATTGGGGTTGCACCGTACCAGGCACTTGGAACATGCCATGGATTCCTCAACCGTCTTCTCCAAACCAAACTGCAACCCAAACTGCAACGAGCTCTGGACCTAACTCTCCAACCTTGGGGAAGCATTCAAGGGATGAGAACGTGCAAAAACCAAACAACTCTGGAGAAGAACCAGGAAAAGAAAATAATGCTGAAAGATGCATTTGGATTCCAAAAACATTGAGGATTGATGACCCTGGAGAAGCTGCAAAAAGTTCCATATGGACAACACTTGGGATTACGAATGACAAGGTTGATTTTGTTGGCGGGCGAGGATTATTTAAGGCCTTTGAGTCAAAAGGTGATGAAAAGCATCGCACAACTGAAGCCTCTCCACTATTAAACGCCAATCCTGCAGCATTGTCTCGATCACTCAAGTTCCGTGAGAGTTTGTAATTCGGGTAGCATACAAACTTGAAATTTGTTTTTACATCCTTGAGCTGCAAACAGATTGGCGTAATTTGGACCAGCTATGTAAACTAAAGGGTCGTATTTAATTACAGGCCTCATTTGTAAGTATCGTTTATCTTCGCAGTCATGTTAAGAGGAAGAGCATAGGAACTAGAAAGCCATCATAGCTTAGGAGAAGTAGCCATGCACTGAAGTACTGAACTATTCATCTTTTTTGGTTGGTTGCCAGTCCAGGCAGATGCTTTTTGTTTCGGGTAGATGGTTAGCCAAGTTCGTGTACATATTTATTTATTTATATATGATCTATATATAGAATGTTAAGAGATTGAGAGCTTAGGGGCAAAGTTGAGTTTGTGACTTTGTGCAACCATAAGTCCCATTTGTACTAAAATAAATTTGGGAAATGAAAATCCAGCTCCTTTTTGTTGGAATTTGTTCTGTTCTCCTCATTATTATTATCAAACTGCCAAAGACAGAGCAGGTATCTTCTGTTCTGTCCTAACCTTTTTTGAAAGGTCAAGATATAATTGCATACTGAATCTGAGAAATTTCAGATACAGATATCAGATAGCTAATGTCAACTGTCATCAGCTATATTAGATTTGCTTATGAAATAAATGCAGCAGCAATGACAGGCTACAGAAGTGAAGACTCTTCCTTTGTCTTTTTAATTTCCATGAGAAAATCAAATAAATAAATAAAGAAAATATCCAAGAACTGAGTTAATTTTAATTGAATGAAGCCAAAGAAGTGAAATGTAAACATACCGAGAAAAAGGTAGGGACTTGTCACTTAAATTATGAGACAGAAAAGTTGATGTAGGCCCTTTCTTTTGCAGATAAACTTGAATTCTTATCAGCAAAAAGTCAGGCACCTTTCTTTTTCTTTATACCCAAAGAATCCAAACAGCCAGCATCAAAAGGTTGAAAGTTTTATCCTAAAGCTCTACCCTTTTTCCCCCTCTTATTTTCTTGTTACGTTTTTTTTTTTTTTTTTTTTCTTATTTTCTTGTTTACGTTTTTTTTTTTTTTTTTTTGCCCCCTTTTTATTCTATTTAATAAATTGATTTTTTATAATAGACCATTTTATTATTTTACTATTAATACGAATTTTAGACTAGCTTCTATATCTAATGATGTGAATTTTTTTTTTTTTTTTTTTGCCCCTTTTTATTCTTATTTAATAAATTGATTTTTTATAATAGACATTTTATTATCTTTACTATTAATACGAATTAGACTAGCTATCTATATCTAATGATTGAATTACATATTTGACGACCTTTCAATCACTTATACCTATTTATTTTATAGAGTCATTTAAAAATATTCACTATTTATATTATTTTATTTTTTTCCCTGAATTTTCGTTATTAAATTGTAAATATATCCATTAAGAAAAAAAAAGTGAATTTTAGTTTTAATTTTGTTTGTCATTTTTTTGAACTCCTATTTAGCGAACAAGTTGCAAGATTTGGTCCATCGAAAGGACATTTAGATTTTTTTTTTTTTGAAAATTATTCTTAGGCAAAGTTTGGCCACTACTTTTATTTGCCACGAGCTAGCTGTTGTTGTGGGGTCCAATGCACGTGATGCCATTAAATTTCTTGGCTTTCTCTCTTTGGCTTCCCTTTCCTTCCTCTGTGTCCTTTTCCTTCCTCCTTTGGGTGGAGGGAAAATTTTTCTACCTCCTTTTTAAAATGAACATATATCTGAAAATTATTAAAGAAATTAATAATTTAGAAGACCATCAAAGGAGGTGATCTTTTTATGTTTATAAATTTGAATTTTTCAATTGCTAAACTCTTCTCTAATTAAATAAATAGAAAGAAAGAAAGAAATTATTTGAAGAATAATTTGCAAAAAGCAATCTAATTATGATGTCAAATTCAAATTGCTATTAATTTTAATAAATTAGATACTCATTATTATAAAATAAGAATAAAAAGATTGATACTTAATAACTAAACAAAACAATTATTTAGATAAAAAATGAATTAATATTTTATCTATTCATATTTTCCGAGATTTTCATAGGTGATTATAACATATTTATATTAGAATTTGGAATATTATTCTTAAAATTAAAATTATTTACAAACATTCAAAGATTCAAAAGTTACGACAAAATCAATGATAATTTGACTAAATTACCCTTTTATCTCGAAATTAAAAGTAATTCATGAACATAATTATTTTATCTAATATAAATAAGGATAATATTAGAAAAACATCACTGATTACTCTTTAAAACATTTAAAACGAGTTATATTTTGAAACAGATAAATAATTTTTTTTTTTTTCTGATACGTTATTTGGATTTTCTAAGTATCCAAACAGATTACAGGGTTAGTAGTGCATGATGACTCTGAGATCCATTATCCTTAGAAAAATAAAAATAATAATAATAAATAAAACAATATGGCCTTTGTAATGGTTGTTAAATCAAAATGATGCTAAACAAAAAGCTTCAATTTTGGCTAGAAAGAAAGGCACTTTCAACTTGGCTTTGCCACCCAAGCTAAGTGCAATAACACCTAACTTATTAGTATAATTAGTTATTACATCTAAAGCAGTGTGCTAAAAAACATCAACTCTATTTGTTTATGCTTTTCATTCTAACATTACAATTAAATAATTAATTGTGTAAAGGTAAACTAATGGAGTGAGATTTAAAAAGAAAAATTCTCCAACTTGTATTACTTACAATGTCATGCTTATGCTTCCCATTTGGAGCACATGGAAGGCATTCCAAGAATTTCACATGCTTATGCACATATATGCATAAGCATCTAGCTAGTTTACATATGATTAGCACTCTAAATTATGCAATTAAACCCACATGAACACTTAATCGTGTGGAGTTGACTAGAGTTAAAACATGAGATTGGACCTTAATTAATAAATATGAATCCCTTCAAATGTTATAAGTAGGCTTAATACATAATAATCTTGTACATTTTGCAAAAAATTTTGTGACATCCTCAATTTTCATTTTGAACTATTGAACACTTCAACTTATAAAAGTACACTTGTTAAACATTTTAATTGACCTAATTAACACTTTAATTTATAAAATTTGATCGATTAAATATTTATTGAATAATTAACAATGTGAAAATTATTGAGTTATATCCACATATCAAATCAATATTTTACATATGAAAGTCAAAAACCTTAAGAGTTTATTGCTTCTAGCGTAACGAGGTGTGAAATTATTATAAAAAGAGAAGTAGAACTTCACAAGGTCGATTTGATTTCTTTTGTTAAATTTTAGGGAGTAAATTATGTATTCAACCGTTATATATTACACCAATGTTATGAACACGAGTACATTAATTTGTATAGCACTTCCCATGAGTAAAATGTCTTAATCCAATATACCCAGGAACATGATTAGCAATTTAGCATGCGTGGACAGTTTTCATGATTAATACTCGGCATGCCATCTTATCAAAATATAGATATCTCATCTCTACTAACTTGTGTAAACACGTCTATAGTATCGTTAACGAATCAAACAATTGAGAATGTGAATTTTTTTTAAAAATTATTATTATTATTTTTCCTCACGTGTATGGTTAGAAATACCTTTATTTTAACAATAAATAAACTTTCACTCGCTTGATTCATGAGTGAATCATAAACCGGATTTAGACAATTCAAATTTAATATTTCACATGACACCTTATTTTCAACTTATCTCTATATTGAAAATTAAATCCTTTAGTTATGCTCTCAAAATATTATCTAAACATTCTCAACGACTTCCATTTTATTATTAAAATTGGCCCTAATTGAATTTATTGGACAACTAATTAGACATGTATTATATGGACATAGGTTCTAATTTATGTATTACATGGACATAGTTTCAAAAACTAACTATGAAGTTTATAACTTATGATTCTGTTTACATTGATATTTCGATCCAAAATAACATATTTTAGCTAGCAATTCATAAAAAATTGGTCCCTAAATTATTATCAAACTAATAATACGGTTTCTAACTTATGATTTTGTTAACGCTTTGATTTCTCTATTTTGGATCAAAGGACATCTTAATAAAATTATAATTTAAAGATCTCATAGTTAATTTTTGAAAAATAAATATCATTATACTTTAATTTAACTATAAACTTAGGGACTAATTTATTATTTTCCCTTCTTATATTCCCCATGATGAAGTGAGTGTTATTCATCATCCTTGATTGTTGTCGTGTCTCCTTCTGAGATTTGCTATTTAAAAGAGAGAGAGACAACTACCTTGAGTACCGTCTAGTCATATATATAATTAATTCTATTTCAAAAGAAAAAGAATATATGAATTTTCGCAAAAAAAGAAAAAGAAAAAGAAAAAGAATACATGATGAGAAATGAGAAATTAATAAATGTTTTTGTCTTTGTTCAATAATGTTTTAGCATTTGACTTGTTAGAGTCATTCCTAAAATTAGGCTAAATAAAAAGCTTAGGGTAGACTCTAGACAAACAAACAAAAATGAGTAGCCATCAAATTGAAAATAAAGCTCAACTAAGAAAAAAAAAAAAAAAACAAAAAATAAAAAGGTCAACTAACCATTTTCCTTTTCCATGATTTCAGAGCAAGTAAGCTTTTACTTTAATAAACTTCTTTTTATCTACAAATTTTATGTTTTAAGGATATAAGTTGACATATGAAAAATATATTTTTAATAATTGACTTTTATTTTATGAGAATGAAAAAATGCATTGTTAGTGGCTTCAATTTAGCAAGCATTGTTTGAAGGGAATTGCTATAGCTAGATTAATTATTCTTTTATTTAATATTATATTAACATTTAAAATCGGATAACTATTATTAAAAGATTAGAATTAACTAATTAGTTAGTTAGCTTGCATAGTTGTAATATTTAATATTATATTAACACTTTCCATAATGTTTAATCCCTAGATGGAAACATATCTTCCTTTTTTTTTATATATTTGGTATTTTATTGTAATTCCCCTGAAATGTAAGCACTAAATTAAAATGCATCTTCTTCTGTAATTTTCAATACGGGGTCCTAACTAATTGGAGGACTATAAAATGAAATATATGCTAAAATGAAAGGAAAAAAAAATGTATAAAGAGATTTTTGGTGAAAAATAAAAGTTTGAGGGCCCAAAAGTACCAAAATGGGCATAATAACAAAAAAAGAAAGTTATTGACGGTTGTTAAGACGAGTGGTTCAACAATTTTATCCTTTAATTGAGGCCGATGATTCAATTCTTATAAATAAAGTAAATATTTGCTTGAATCGCGTTATCCCTCAGTAGGCAAATCCAACACGAGCAGAATTTAATCCCAGTGTAGTAGGCGGAAATACCCGTAGATAATAAAAAAAAAAGAGAGAAAATTTGAAATTTACGAGACATCCTTCCCCCAAAAAATGTCACTTTCATAATACAGCCTCTAATTATAGGCAGTACATTTTCACAAAACAAATTTAGACAAAGCTTTAGTAGCCAAAAAATATTAAAGTGTGCTAATTGAAAATGAACTGAATTTGTATTGTGTGCATTAATTTAGGGGTCCTAACTTCAGACTATGACATTAATATAATTTTTGAATATGTTTTTAAGAATGCACTAATGGCCTGCAGAGATAAGTATAAAACAGACAAAATCCTGCCTGTAACCAACCCAGAAAATAAAAACATTGTGAAAAGGAAAGGAATAAAGATCATTAAAAAAAAGATAATAAGAACAGCTGCAAACAATAATAAAAATAAGAAAATGATACAGCATGACGACTGCAACTGCTAAATAAAGTTAAAAAATAATTATAATAATTAAATAAAAACTTTTTAATATTAATTATAAGATCAGACTTCAATTAGCCTTTAGGATTCCCATCAGCCCATCACTAACTTCATCAAAATATAGCTTCCAAATCCAAGAAGTCCATAAATCAAACTTTTCTTTTTTCAAAATTTCTTGCAGTAAACAAATTCAGTTTCTTAAAGGGTTCTAAGTATTGGGTATAAATAGGATATCTCTCTGCACACTCTAAACTGAACTGGAAAAATAAACACCCACTTCTTATTGTAGCTTTTTTGGCTCATTTATAAATATATATTGGTTCTGTAAACTGCCAAATTCTACTATATATATATATATATATATTTATCTATATATAGATATATATATATATATCTGATTCCATATACACATATGCAAAATTGGTATTAAAAGGTCGCCTCCTTGGATCTGTTGCTAAGGTGATTCCCTAGAAACCTAAAATCTGTCCTTAAAATCTGAAGCCTACCCATTTCCCAATACCGTGCACGAAATAATGGGTCGGTCTCATTTTCTCAAATCTCTTCTTGTCTTAGCTTTTCTGGTCCTCTCTTTCTCTCATGGTATATTTCCAAGTTTTTGCTTCTTATTCTTTTTCTCTTGTGGGAATTTTCTTTTCTTTAGTGCTTTTGTTTGATGCTTTTGTTTTTACGAATTAAGGTTCTAGCAGAAAAGTGATGGAGACAGTTGAAGTTGGAGATTCTTCTGTTGAGCCGGAGGTTGGTTTCTTTAATCTTTGTTTTTGCCTCCTTTTTGATTTTTTATTTTCATTATTATAAATTTTTTTGTTGTCTTCTGTTTGTTTTCTAGGAAATCGTAGGAAAAGCAAGGGAAATAATTGAAACAGCGGATTATGAAGATCCAGGGCCAAATACTAATCCTAAAACTGGCCCTATACCTCCTCCACAACTCTGATTGAAGACTTAATCATATACTAAAATATGTTATTATTTATGTTCTTGTGTTTTCTTTTTTTTTCTTAATTTCTGTTTAGCGAAACAAAATCGCTTAAACAAAAAAAAAAAAAAAAAAAAAAATTTTCTTAATTTCTGTTTTAGTGAAACAAAATCGCTTTAAAAAAAAAAAAAAAAAAAAAAAAAAAAGAAGTAATGTTTCGATATTATGATGATTAGTCTTCTTATAGTTTGCTAAACTGTAATTTATGAATAAGATCCTTGATGTTATATTATTATGAGCAAACTTTTGCTGTCTGTTCTCTTCTCTTGTGCTTTTTTCCTCGCATTATAAATTAGCTCTGCTGCATTATAAAAGTTAGGAAAGAAGCTCTTCTTGGGCCTCTAAAAGGTGGGGTTAGGCAAGTAGACTGGTGATTTACCAAAGAGAATTTGATAGCAAGGAAAAAAAAAAAAACCTTTTTTCTTTTTAAAATTTAACTTTCAAGTATGAAATTTATTTCATAAAATTTATAATTTTTTATTATTTAGTCTTTACCTTGAATGGATACACATACAATGCAAATATTTTTAACATTGTTGATTGAGTTGCTATTTAAAAAAAATTGAGGGAAAAATATATATTTTGTTTAACTTTTTGTTAATGTTATAAAAACAGGTTAACACATCAAGTTTACATTTTTGCATTCAAGTTCTAAGCAAAAAAAAGAAAACTCCAAACCCAAAAAAAAAAAAAAAGAAAAAGAAAAAGAAAAGAAGTTTAATTAAGCTAAAAAGGGTATTTGAATTTTATGTAGCCATTGGTGTGTTATTGGTCTCATGGATAGTGCTAAGAGGCCATTCAGAAAGGCCTGCCCAAAAGGTAAACCAGGCCCTCTTCTTCCATACCCAGTCCTGCCCTTGATTTTTCTATTTTAAGATTGGGCTATAGAATTGAAATGGGCTTAGTTGTCATAGACAGTAATGCTCAGGAAAGGGCCCATCATATAAAGGTTTGACCCAATCTAGCAAAATATCCAGCTCAAAGACAAATGATGATGATGATGATGATGATGATATCATCATGAATTTGAAATTTTACAATAATTATGAAATCTATGAAGATATATGAATAATATATTAAAATTTTCATATTATACGTATATTGAACAATTACAAAAGTAGAAACAAATTATATATATATATATATATATATATATATATATATATATATATAGTTGTAATTACTTGGAGCTATACCTAATTGCAATTATAGTTGTAATTACTTGGAGCTATACCTATTGCAATTACAATTTAAATGTATTTTATCTAGTTTTATTGTAATTACGTACTTGCAAAGGATTCATAATATTTATTATATTATAAGGATTTTTATATTCAAACGAAATAATTTTCTGCCAATCAAGTGTAATTTGATTGGTCTTTCTACCTTTTATAAAAAATGTAGAAAGTAAAATGTTTTAAGTTCGAGTTCTCTCCACCACAAAAATTATTATCAATTTGGTGATATTATTGAAAGGGAAAGACTGCCGCTGCTATATAGCCCACAAAATTATCCTGGTCCAGTAAACCTGTTATGTATAAAAAAAAACATAACAGTTATCTGTGTATATTTATAACTTAGAAAAGCAAAGAAGTATTTGGTTGGAATTTTATAATTATTTATTTATATTTTTATACTTTGAACGAGGAATTCTATAGTTTTTGAATTGCGAGAAAGACCAATACTTAGTTCTTTTAACAAAGACCATATCCATTTGATATTTGATAGGAAAAAGAAAATGAAAAGTAATTTGAATTTTTTATTTATAAAAATAAAAAGTAAATTTAAATTTCATTAAAGACTCGTGTACTTTTAAATGTATGTTTAAAAAATATTATTAAATTATATTTAATTATTTATTAATAAGATTTTTCAAACTAGAGAAACATTTATTTTTTTAAGAAGAACAAAATATACCCCTGACCCTGAGAGACTCGTAAGATTTTCCACGAATTTACAAAGGAAACAAATAGGTGAATGTTTCCCACAAGTTATTCACCAGTAGACACCTTTTTTAACGTCTAAAAAAGTTCACATCAGGAAGGCTACTGCGTGGAAATTGCACTGATTATATAAAGTCAAAGACATGGAAAATGCAAGCCAAGAACTAGCAGCCCACTCATTTTCTTCTTTCCAAGAAACTTCAAATATGTATATATGTTACCGTCAATTGACAAAGCCCATATGAAAAAAAAAAAAAGCATATTCTTGGTTATTGTCAATTACTCAGTTAGATATAAGACAAGAACAAAAAAAATAGAAGGAAAGCAGCTAACCTAACCTAACCTAATACCCACTTATTTTCTTTGAAAAAGACTCCAGCTAAAATTTCCAATTATGCAGGAGTAGAGAAACTTCGCTAGGAGTGTTTTGGCGATTTCTTTATGTTTCTTCTTTTCTTGCACCTTCCCATATTTAAATGGCTGCTGCACTACACAAGCACCTTCCTCCACCTCCTTTGAAGGCTGACCTTGATGCATTCAAATACCGACTAAATTCCTTACATTTGTTTCCTATAAATAAATTCCTCTCTCCCATTTCATTCTTTGACAAACTCCTGCAAATATTTGTATCTTTCCGTTTTGCCTTCTTTCCTAAGCTAAAAGCATATTTCATTTCCTCTAGTTGGAAGAGAACAAAACTTAAAACTTGTATTTTTTTTTTTCTCGTATTCATATAGTCGGCCATGGCTCAAGATAAATCAAGCTTCTTGATAAACCAGCATAAAGCATCATATAGTGATATATCATTTACATTGCTGGACATTCTTTTATTTGGTGTGTTTTGCAACAAGTTCAGTGGCGTACAGAAATTTTTTTCAAGATTTTGGTTCTATATTATATCCCAACTTAGTTTCAGTAATTCCAAGGTGTGGGAAGAGAAGAAAAATCAAGATTCTTTTTCTTGCTTTGATAACAAGATAGATGATAGGAACATCAGCAGGGAAGAGGTGGAGATGGTGATGGGTAATTTAGGACTTTTATGCAGAGCAGAAAGCGAGAAGCTTAAGGATTCGATGGGTTTTGATGAGCTTTCACAGCTGTTTGATGACAAGGAACCAAGCTTAGAGGAAATAAAGGAAGCTTTTGATGTTTTTGATTATAACAGAGATGGGTTTATTGATGCAGAAGAGTTGCAGAGAGTCCTCTGCAAATTGGGATTGAAAGAAGGGTTTAAGCTGGAGAATTGCAGAAAAATGATCAGAGCATCCGATGAAAATAAAGATGGAAGGATAGATTTTAGAGAATTTGTAAAATTCATGGAGAACAGCTTTTACGCTGCTTGAGAATATCAAAAGCTCACAATTTTAAACATCTTGCACCTCCTCTCTCTCTCTCAGATATCTCTTATTATATTATTATTTTGTCGTTGTTTCTATGTGATACTAATTACACTGTATAGTTTCCATAAAGCAGTAAATCAAGATGAATATCTCAAAAAAAAAAAAAAAAAAAAAAAAAAAAAAAAAAAATCAAGATGAAATATCTCAAAAAAAAAAAAAAAAAAAAAAAAAAAAACAAATTATGTAGAGAAAATGAAATTTAACTCACCAATCATTTTGATAGAACATTCGTACGCCAAAAAAAAAAAAAAAAAAAAAAAAAAAAAACAAATTATGTAGAGAAAATGAATTCACTCACCAATATTTTGATAGAACATTCGTACCCACCAAAGATGCCACATATCTATATCCAATTTCGAGCTACTGGAGTCAAAAAAATCTCTTATATGCCTGTAAGGAAGTAACACCTTTATACTCAATTTCTAATGAAAAGCAACAGCAACAACTTACAGTTAAGGCAAACATGCAAAGTGCTAAAGACATTTAATTTGAACAACTTACACAATTTATCATGCTTCTGGGGACCTCAATATCTTCAATGCCATCAGGTTGGCGTGGAGGCTAACATGAACTCAGCAATCTCTGCATATTGTCTAAAATGCAAATTGCTGTTTATGTGCACAACTGAATAGTAACATAAATTATCTCCAGTTATCTGCACAAGAACAGCGTCCATCTTGGAAATGATTGAAACAATTTGGACCTTTAACAATTATAATCCTATTCGTGACCTTTGAAATAAGTTTCACAGCCAAGTGGCAATCGTCACACATCCTTAACTATTACAAGGACTGGTGCTTCTGAAGGTGTTCTAATAAGACCATATGCTACTGCCAACTTCTCACTGTGATAGATAATGATCCTTTTGCTCATCCTCTAGACCATGCATTACTGAACCAATATCTGGAATATCCTTGTGGTTTGATCATAGACAATAGTTCCTTTTACCTTTTCATAAATCTCATCGTGCTCTGGATGTTTAATGTCTTCTGCAATGAAAATGGGTGAAATTTCTTATTTCTGTCCAGGTTACATCAGGTGCTTTCTTGATGCTTTTGTCCCTCATCAAATTATGAATTTTGGCAACTCCATCCCATCTCTTTGTCTTGGCATACATATTAGATAGTAGTGTATATGTTCCCACATCATTAGGGTCCATCACCAAGACCCGGTCTGCAATCTGCTTTCCTAAACCATAGTTTCGATGGACATGACAAGCAATGAATGAAGTATGCCAGGTAACAACATCCGTTTTAACAGGTGTAGCCCTCATAAATTCTGAGCCTCATCAAGTCTTCCAGTCTTGCTCAGAAGGGCAACAATACATTTATAGTGCTGCAAACCAGGTTCAACACCTCTCTCTTTCAACAGGTTCAAATACTAGAAACCTTCTTCCGCCAGACCTAGATGACTGCAAGCAGAGAGAACTCCAATAAAAGTTACATAATTAGGTTGCCTTCTCCAGATAACACTAGAACACCTGAAGAGCTTCCTTATCTAGCCTATGATGTGAGTAACCATGTATCATTTGATTCCAAGTAATGGTGTCTCGATGTGTCATATCTGAAAATACCTTTTTTTCTGCTTCAATGTTGCCCCCCTTTGCATACAATTGATCAAAGCATTTCCAACAGTAACTTAATTCTTAAAACCTGACTTCTCAGTACATGCATGTAGCGAAAGTTCGGGTCTTAATGCAGACAAGCTTGCACTAGCATTCCACAACACGGCAAAAGTGAATTTGTTTGGTCTTGCATTATCAAGTTTCATTTTTGAAAATAAATTCAATGCTTCCTCAAAGCATCCATTTTGAAAATAAGCAGCAATGGTTGCTGTCTACAATACCGTATTTCGACTTTGCAGCCTATCAAAAATTCTTCTCGCATTTAAAGGTTCTCCACACTTCCATACATATTGATTGTACTAAGCTAACATATGCATCACTATCAACCTCTGTCATGCATTTGCAAACCCAATCGCAAATCTACATTAACATCAGCGACGCTATACCACTCCACATTCTCACTCACCATCCTCCTCAAAATCTTTACACCCTCCTTCAGACAACCCTTTTCTAAAATTCCACTCAAAACTGAATTATAGGCATAAATATCATTTCCAGGCACTAAATTCCAAATCCACATATCTTCTTGGAAACTCAAACACTTTGAATACATATGTACGAGAGCATTCCTTACATTACATATTGATGAAACGACAGTCCAGTCTTGAACATACAGCTACGACATTATTGACCTTCCTCGACTCTTTTACTACCAGAACAGGAAGCCAAAGCAATTGCCAAAATATATTCATTTGGGTCAATACTATCACCAGATATCATATCTTTGAACAATTTAATCACTTCTAATAAGAACCCTATTATGTAAATAGCCAATCATTACTCATTAGAGCACTCCAAGAAACCAGTTTTTTTACGCATTCCATCAAACAATTTGCTTGCAATCAAAACTTCATCACATTTTGCATAAATATTTATCAAGGAATTCATCTCAAGTGAGTTGCTTTTGGTGGTTTGATTAGTAATTGATTAAATGGGCATAAAATTGTTCGACCAAATTTAAGGCTTTCAGCATCGGCTGACACTTCTTCGAGCTTATTTGGATTGAACATATACATGGCGCATTGAGGGGCGCATAGTATTTGGTGGGACATACATAAAAACTTACCCAAACTGAATTTTCAGCTTATACGCACCGTTTTATTGACTAAAGGAAACAGCAACTAAAACCCATCTCCTCGAGCAAGCCCTTTGGTCTGAATTTAGATGAAACATCTCAACCCGTGTCGCGAGATGATGTTCTTGTTATCAAAAGGTTTATTTATTTATTTTTTTTTTTGAAATGGATAAGTGGTTTATTAATTGGCTATAGCATCAACAAGGTGATGAGACAGACCATTTCACCAAATTTGTCATAAAATGAGATGCTCATTAGCATATCTATGTGCAAATACCACTTGCACGTTAGTGATCTCTGTAATAAGAGATACAATCCCAAACCCACTACTATCAAAAGGTTTAATTTAGTTAACACTGTGATGCTGTTTAAAATTTAAATTTTTTTTATATAAATTACCGGTATTAAAATCTTATCACGAGGAATCACCCAATAGAATTCAAGATTTAGTTATTGTTAATGTTGTTCGCCTCTTTCTGCAAGTGTATTTAGTAGGAATCCAACACGGGGGCTTTTCCCACGTGCCCTTACCAACTGAGCCGCATGGGATAAAGTTTTAAAGTTTAATTATAACTTAGTTTTAAAATTATTATATTATATATTATTATATTATATGATATTTTAATCCTTCTGAATCTTATTACGCCCTCGAACGAATCTTTGAATTGCGTTTTGTATGGTAGAAGCCCATTTCATATTCGTACATGGGCCGAAACAGACCTCCTCGCAATTACACTCATTGCACATTTCTAGCCCGCTAAACTATTAGTGAACTACTTATCAAATACAGTTCATAGATATTAATTACACCATTAGTTTATTAGTATTTTTTTAATTTTCAATTTAGTGATTAAAATTTATTTTTCTATAATCAATTGTTTTGAACAATTTTTTTTTCAATTAGAAGTATTTGGTCTGAATTTAAAATGAATAAATTTAATCAATAATAACACTACATATCAAACCTCTATTTCAATTATAAATTTTTATGCCGATTATTTTTTTCTCCATTCTATTTAGAAAAATTTTTAATTAATTTTATTTCATTTTAAAAATAAATTCAAAGAGAATGATAGAATATTAGTAAAGATATAAATGATAAAACTAAGAGAGATGAAAGGATCAATAGAAATAATTTACGAAAAATACATCTAGATTCCGTAGATTTACGAAAAATAATTTATCTGAAAAATAGTTTTTAGATTTTCTAATATGGAATATTTAAAGAAAATTATTTAATGAAATTATTTTTTGTTAAGAAGAAAATAATATGAAATGAATAGAAAATAAGTTTTTCTTTCTTGAAAATAATATCTGGCTAAAGAAAATTATGAACCTAACAACAATCAATCACTTATAACCATCACTATTAGTAACTATTATGGATAATCCATGTGTTCTAATTCTGCCTAATATATACCAAATCAATATTTCTATCACTTCATATCCAATTGGTCCTAAAATAATAATTATTGCCAAAAAGAAATGAGATGGCAATCTCAAGTTCGTCACTTCTGAATGATGTGATAATCTAATTCCAGACTCTTCACCATACTCTAAGTCAGAAAATTGCATTGGAGTAAGAATTTCAACAATGTAAAATTCACCTTCTCTAATATTAAAAAAAAATTATAAAAAATGAAGTTAAACATGAAAGTATATTCATATTTTTGTGAATCTATTTACTAATGGATAAATAGAAAATATATTTCATTCATTTATTTTAATATTATAATGAGCCATTTTAATTAATTTTTTACATAAAAAAAATATTTTAAAAAAATTTTGAATCAATCTTGAACTCCTGCACCATATTTGAAACAATCTCATCTTTAAAGGACAAATTTAACGAAGAAGTAAAAGTGGAAAATCTCGAATTCGAGTATTTCGACCACAAATATTTCCATCATTTAGTAAGTACAAGTGAGAATTACTTCTGTTATATAATCCGCAGTGTTATTTCGGCCATCGAGCCTGACGGTAAATCAAAACATTTAATGAAGAAACAATGTTGACGTCAGTACAAGTTGATTTGCACATGAAGTGATGCGTCCCACATTGGCCGCAGAGTACATCTTGGACTAGTATATAAGACTGGGTTCAGTCCTTCCTCTATGAGCTAACTTTTGGAGCGAAGTTAGGGGTCCAGTCTCTTGCAAGGTACTCTTGTGTACCTTGCAAGAGTCCCTTATCATTTGGTATCAAAGCTCTGGTTCCGTAGGGTCGGTGTCTCATGGGGTTCGTCAGAACGATGACTGAGGCAGTCAGGTCTTATGGGGGTAGAGATGATGCGTCCCACAATGCAGTATATAAGATTGGGTTCAGTCTTTCCTTTACGAGCTAACTTTTTGGGGGAAGTTAGGGATCCAGTCTCTTACAAGAAGTGCAGTCTCTTGCAAGAGTCCCTTATCATGAAGAGTCCATCACTTTCCCATGTTATTAGCCGCTAGCCATTAGCGACTAGCCAAATTGGGTTACACCAATTTCCCAACTTTAGGTGTTCCCTTTTCTTGTCTCACCATACATTCTTTGACACACTGCAATGTGCAAATGCCCACTTATCCTCTCAATTGGCTCTCTTTTAATACTAACAATTAGTAGGGCTGGCCACTGTCTGGGTCCAGGAAAACCGATTGGTTGAGTTTAATTTAATTTTTCATTTTTGTACACAAATTTGTCCAAAAACTTTTTGTTTGATTTGATTTTTAAACATTTTTAAAAACTGAAAAATTTTAAAAACCGATTACAAAGAATGGATCACGAGATGTTACTCCCCTCTAACGTTTGATGAAATGATAGCAAAATAATTGACAACTATCAAATCAATTAATTTTACCAAACAAAATATTAATTGAATTGACATTATATCTTCATCTTAGTTCAAATTAGGCATGGCCGGTTCAGTGAACCGCCGGTTCGAGATGTTTAAAATTTTGAACCGGAACCGACCCTTGAACCTCCGGTTTCGGTTCCAGCACGGTTCAGCACAGTTCTGGCGAACCGACGGTTCAGATTACGGTTCCGATTCGGTTCCGGCATTACACAAATTTTTAAAAAAATAATAAAATTTTGATTCCGAATTCATGAATAAATCCAGCACAAGTTCTGGCGAACCGACGGTTCAGATTACGGTTCCGATTCGGTTCCGGGCATTACACAAAATTTTTAAAAAAAATATAAAATTTTTGATTCCGAATTCATGAAATAATAATAAATTTTAAAATGTTTAATTTTTATTAACTAAAATGAAATTATTATAAATTTTTAAAAGAAAAACATCTTTAACTAACTTAGAACTATTATTACATTAAATTTTCAAATTTTGCTAATTTACTAATATAAAAACTAATAAATGGAAACTATAAAATAATGGAATGAGTTGGAAAATTTTATTTTCAAATACTAAGAATTATTTAAAAAATCAAATGAAAGTAAAATTTATGATGGAAAAAATTTGAGATTAGAGAAAGAATTTGGAAATTGGATGTAAGAAAATAAAAAAATAAACAATAGATATTCCAACATTAGGAAAATAAAGCATAGAAAATTAATGAACTATGGAAATTTTGAAAGAGAATTTTGATTGAGAATATAGAGAAGAGTTAGGATATAATTGATTGTGAAATAAAAAAAATCATCAACTCATCAATAGTTTATACATGTGGTCTCATTGTAATTAGTTGACCGATTTATCGGCACCGCATCCAAAATAAAAATATTTCATCAAAAATACAAATGATGTTTTCGGGTCCTCCGGGGGGATTTTCGACGAAAACACTATCATATCAAAAAACTAAGCGTTGCACTATTTGAATTGAATGTAACTCTTTCTTTATACACTTTAAAAGTTTTTTTTTTTTTACAAATCAACTATTCATGTAGGCACGGAACCGAAACCGAACCATACTGTAAATGACCAGAATCGAACCGAAATTGCTGGTTCAAAGTTTTGAACCAGAATCGACAGTTCAAGGGCCGGTTAAGGTTCATGTGAATGTTAAAATTTGAACCTGAACCGGCGGTTAACCGACAGTTTCGATCTACTTCAAACCGAAAATTTTCTATTTTTATTTTCCGGTTTTCGATTCATATTTTAAACAAATCCACATGAACCTTTAACCGGCCCTTGAACGCCGCCGGTTGTTTTGGTTCAAAATTATGAACGTTCGGTTTCGGTCGCCTTAACCGGCCCTTGAACCGCCGGTTTTGGTTCAAAATTATGAACCGTCGGTTTCGGTCCGGTTCCAGTTCGTCTACAGTACGGTTCGATTTCGGTTCGGTTCCGGTTAGAACCGAACCGGTGGCCATGCCTAGTTCAAATCGAACCGAATGAATACCCACTCCTAGTAATAAGTAAATAATGAAAAGCAACTCCTAAAAAAAAGTAATAGTAGAAAAAGATTAAATAAAAATCCTTAATTAACAACAACAAGAGCAATTAGTGATGTAGTTAATTAGCGAAATGAACACTATAGAAGCTATGTGACATGGACACGGTGACAATAATTGAAGTCCTACGACATTCAATTCTGCTTCCTCAATTTTAGTTCGTACGTTTTGCTTCCAGCTGAGCTTGATTGGTATGATGAAGAAACAACTTTGATTTGAAATTATTCTTCTTCTTATTTTTTTTTTTTATTTTGAGTGATAAAAATCACAAACTTTAATTCAAAATGATTTAAAATTTTTTTATTCAAATCAAACTGGAGCCTCTTCTTTTCTTTTTATAAAATTAATTTAGGTGTTTTTTTAATTAGTCGTGTAATATTTACACTAGAGATATATTTAATTATGTTAAATTATATTTTGTTAGGATTGAATAAACCTAGCCTTTGGAGGGATATTCTAATGAATCTAATCCAACCTCGTAGAATCTGGACAGACCATACTAACTAGATGGAGTTCGTTAGAAATTAGGACTTGGGCTAACGTAAACAATGAGACACATGCGAGACGGTCCCACAGTTCACGTGTAGTTGGGCAGCGATTCCGTGGGGCCAAGCCGAAACGTGAGAATCATCTGCATAAATTGCGGATTTCTCGTGATTGAATGCGCTGATGCCACGTAACATCTTGGTTCCTCGAGTCAACGGTTGCTATTTTCCTGCCGACAAAATTCTACGCATGGAATACAACCGTATCCAATAGAAGGAGCCGTAAGGCGTTCCGTGACCAGCGACCATATCATATATGGAAGTGGAAGCCATTTTCCAATATGCATCAGCGGCGCTAATTGCAACAATTAAGAAAGAAAAATAAAATTCTAATGTATATACCGGAAAAAAAACATCACGAAAAAAACATCACGACCGATATATTAGTTGAAACGGTAAGTAATTTTAATTTTCATAAAAATTAAAATATAAATTCAATCAACTTCAATTTTTCATGAGAATTAAAATATAAATTTAATTTTCTAAAAAATGCATTTTATTGAAAACACAACTGTCATTTCAACTTTCTACTGGATTGCAATTTTTTACTGACAATTCTCTGTGCATCAAATGCTTGGGTTGATAGCAGAATGTATATATATCTCTGTTCTTTCCTTCCATTTATTTTGCTTTCCTTCCTTGTCGGTGTTTTGATATTAATTTACTTTTACCTCTTCTTTTTGGTTCAGTCATTATCACAGTCTTAAATAGGGCAAACACAGGAACATGTTCTTGTTTTTCCCACACCTAAAACACGCAACTTCTTTGATAGGGACGTCTAATTGCAAATTGCTAATGATTTTGGATTTACTACTTAGATTGTTATAAGATATAACTAGCCTAATGGGTTAGACCAATTGATAAGAATTTAAAATTTTATTTCTTATTTAAATTATTGGAGATTATTTTAGAAATAGTAATTTTAAATTTATTAGATTGATGTACGGAAATGCCAGATCATTAAAGTTATTCCAAAAAAAAAAAAATTAATTAATTTCAATGTGCATACACTGCACAAAAATATATTCCACGTATCAAAAAGAATTTATAATAGCATAACATCAACCAAACATGACTTAATAATGTACAAATGCTTATCTTCTCCCTCCACAAGTTATCATAGTAAAATTTCTTTTTGAAAAAAACATTATCACAGTAAAATTAAGGGCAGCGAAAAGGGCAAATTTGTAACAAATTTTGACCCTTTAATTACAAGATTAATGACCATAAACATATATATATATTAATATATGCTTTTCGAAACTACACTCTCTATATATAAAATAGTTATTTAATCCATATTATAGATAAAATAAAATTAATATTGCATCTTAAATGTACCAACCATATAATTATTGGTTAATACCGAAATTGCCTTCCAGTGTATGTTTGGCCAAAGGACCAACCAGCAGGGGCAACATTGTAAGAAAGCACACTACGTCCATCACTTGCAGTAACTAGAAAAGAGAGACTTTGTCCATTTAGGTAAGAGTTGCTTTGCCAATTTTGCCCCCAGTTTCTTGACATTGGTTGCCATCTTGTTCTTGAACCCTTTATTGACACTGAATGCACATCACCAGCTCCTCCCACATTTGTAATTAGCACTAAATTGAAGTAGGAATGTCCATTAATTGTGAACCTAATCCCTCCACTTCTCCTGCACCTTACCCTGCAATTTTTACCACATAAATAAAATTATAATCGAGGGTCTGTCTTATAACGCAAGTAATTAAAAATTCGAATCTCGATAATTCAATGTACATTACCTTCTGTAAATTACTGGGACAATGCCTGCTCGATACTGCGCAATGTGTTGGAAAATAGGTTGAGAGAGATCGAAGTGATGGTTAGGAGGGTCGCACCATCCTCCTGGTGGGCAGAAATTAGTGGCAGTAACTACAATGGAGCCAGGGAGACACCATTGTCGATCATTTACACACCTTAGCTCAAAACAAGCTCCGCAACTCAATCCATTGTCAAATAATGCAGTGCTTAGAGCTGCTGTGTTTATTCCATATCCTTGACTGTATAAGTTCCCATAGCCACAAGCTCCACCTAAAACGCAAAAGAAAGATACACATGTTAGGAGTTTTTGACTCAGTTTAATAGTAAAAATCTTAGATGGATAGTGTTTTTACATACCCATTGTGCCAGAAGCATCACCACCTCCGTAGAAAGTAGCATGAGCATTAATCCAATTACCTCCATAATAGGCATGAACAGATGAGAGAATTGAGAGAAACCAACCCACTAGAAGAAAACAAAATGGAGCCATTTTTAATTTCCTGCACAAACCATGTAGATTCTTGAGCATATAATACACATTAAGCTACCTAAAAATGCAAAAAGTGGTGAAGAGAACAAGAAGAAAAAGGAAGTGATAGACAGAGTTTTACATTTAAAATAATATATGAAGCTTTAGCGCTTGAATGAAAGAAAGAAAATGTTGTCTGTTTGGTTTGTGGGAAATGAAGAGGGGGTGCTTCAAGGGAATAAATAGAAGTCAGTCAACATCAAAACCTGATCGACAATTTGACAATCTTTAGGCTGTTGTTGGGACCATGCAGCTGTTATTACTTATTAAGCAATAAGTAGTTTTTTACTTTTGAAAGACTGAAATTAAATTTTATAGAAATAAATTTTCCATGCTTATTTTAACACAGCAGTAAAGTTATTAAACTAATGACTTAAACCTATAAGTTCTTTCTTTATAAAAAATAAGAGGAAGACAGCGTACCTAATCCTAATTCCCTTTTAATAGTATAATACTTCATTTCTTCACTAGAATCATTTCAAATGGTGAACTTGCACGTTTGAATTTGATAAAATGAAAATTAATTAATAAAATGTTACATTTTTTTTGAATTTTTTTTATTGGCAAAGTGGGTTTTCTTGGTTTAAAAACCTAAAACCGTGTGGAATTTTGAAGTTGTAGCTGTTTCATTGCATCATGCCAAGAACTTTAAAGTGTCCTTGGTTGTATCTTTGAAATGTCTTTGTAACTAGTCTTTAAAAGCTTTTAACAGTTCTAGAAAACGCTTCCTCACAAGAACAAGTTAAACGTTAGTACTGGTTCCAAGATGAAGACAAAAAGTAGTAGTAGGTCTACGACAATACTCTTAATTCGTGAGTACTACATATAGCCATAACTTTTACTTCCAATTTTTTTACCTTCACAATTACTGCTTATTTCAGTGAACCATTTACCTTAATTTACCTTTGATTAGTTTAGAATAGTAATCAATTCAACATGATGTATAAAATTATTGACATTTCTCATAAATAATAGGTGAACACATCATTTTAAAATCAGTAATGCAATTAAATGAGAAAAGATATTCGAAATTCGATTCGAAAAACTTATTTGAGCTTGCTTACCGAACTCATTGATAAATGATTAGAATTCGATTAAGAAAAGTAATTTTTTTTAAGTATAGATTATAAACTGAGTTGAGCAGAGTTTAATTTTTTAAGCTGTATAGGCAGCTAACTAGATAGATTTTGTAAGCATCCAAGTGGTTTTTGGAATTAAACGCCATCCATTAAAGTTGACATATGGTGGGATATAACAGCACATGGATATTGTTCTTGTGAAAAGCTTATAGTTCGAGGGAAAAGGCATCTCATATTTATTATGGGCTATGCATGCCTTTCAATTATTAATATACTTTTATACGTATATATAAGCTGTCCCTTCTATATGGACATATTATTATTTTTTTTTCTAGATTTTTGTACAAGTGTTGAGGTTTTGGGTCCTTTTGATAGTGACGATCCATGGAGTCTAACTTCTGAAAATCCTTTTCACAAGAGATAAAATCAAAAGAAAAAAAATTGAAAAAAGAACATATATAACACAAAAAACAATAATGCCATTAATTTTAAAAAAATATAATAAAAATATCCAAAAGTTGCTCACCCACGCAATAATTGAAAAAAATTTCGACTTATATAGATTCGATCCATAGTTTCACCATAAATTAAATTAATGAAAATATAAGTTTTTTAAATATCTTTTCTATTCCGTCTTTTTTTCCCTAATTGATGGACTCATAGATCCAATTTAGATAAGTAAATTATGTAATTAATATATTTCAAGCAGTATATATAAATGTAACTATCATTTAGACTAATGTTTAATATTCAAATAAAATTTTTCCAACGGTAATAATAATAAATTTTGAAATTTTATATTTTTGACAGAGAACAAAAATTGAAATATCTAACAACAATCAATAATCGTTATTGTTAGTTTCGTGGGTTAGTGTGTTTTCCATTTCCAAATAAAATATTATTTTTTTATGAACATGAATATTTCTAGTCTATAAATTAAAAATATTATATCTTCCGACAAATTTTTAATATTGCAATCAAATACAAAAAGTTTACAGAAAATAATTTTTGACAAAGCAAAATTCTAATAACATATCATAAGACCACGTGTGTTGCCTAGATTTCTTAAAACTGCATAAAGATATATTATAGAACTGGAGACTTCTCTTTAAGTGGGGCTCAATAAAATTATAATACCATCTCCATTATTGCGACGTATAATTATTCTGTCTCTATATTTTATGAAATAAGTTAAAATGTTTTCATTGTTTACTTTAGCATGACTATAAGATTTTTCGTTCAATTTTATATCTTTTTCATTAAATATATTATGTAATGACGAAAATATCCATTTTATTTTTAAAAATACAGGGCCCGATTAATTATATTTTTCAAACCATATGGATGACATTGTAATTTTCTGGTGTAATATTTTAGTATCTTTATTTTGACATTTGTATTTTTTTGTTGACATAATGAAAAAGATGTAAAAATCGTATAAAATGACCTAATAGTATAACGGAAGCAAAATATAAAAACAAATTAATATATTTAAAAAAGAAAATAGGGACGAACTACTTGTAATTTTTTTCATTTTTTAAATATACTTTTCTGATTACTGAGCTAATTTTATGCAAAATTATCAATGCAGTAAAAGCCCTCTCTTTATGCAATTTTTTTTTTTTAAATATTTGATGCATTGAAGTGCTTAGAAGGAAAATAAAATTGTCAGAGTTTTAACCTTGTAACTTCTATCTGAGGCATTCAAGCACTAGGCTTATTAGTTCAATCCTAGTATTAAAGATCTTTGGTTGTAGGATTGTTCTTTTTAACAAATACCCACATAAAGAGTTGGTCTGCTGAACTCAAGTTTATGAATAGGATTTTGAAACCTAAAGCAGAAGAATCTAGCTTAGATTAGGGTTTGTTGATTAATTATGATGAGTGTCTTTCATGCCAGTTATTCATAGGAAATGAATTAATAGAACATAGAAAATTGTACAAATAGATATGCTATAGCCAAGTAGGAGACAGTACCCATCTAAAAATCTAGCACAGAGCACCCCTCTGGCGGGTTCTAATGTTCACTTACCATGGAGTCCAGAAGCAGAAATGACAAATTAAAAGGGGAAAAAAAAAAAAAAAACCTTTGACTATGTCCGATTCAAGTATTGCAAAAGCTATACATATTATGACAATTTTTATTTTTAAAGTTTAAATTCGAAACATTTAGTTAAGAAAAAATAATCACTTTATCACAGTTAACGTTAGTACAATTAATGCTATTTGAAAGCTATATTCACTATAACCTTCCGCATAAATACAATCAATTACAATTACTCGTTCTATTTTATAAATCGGAAACATCAGCCATTTAAATTAAGTAAAAACAAAAAACAAAAATATGAAAAATACCCATTTCAGCAATTAATCTACTTTCCCAATTTGAATTTGATTAAAACGTAACAATTACTTTGATGCATACATTCAACCAATGGTCTCAAAGAGGCAACCCACAGGGAGCATGGACAGTGACAAATGTATTCTAAGTATACTTCAAGTACTCACACATGGGAACACAAGAAAGAACCTGATTTGGACATTCATGGTATTTGTACCTAACTTGAGATACATACTGTATAAATAAAATTAAAATTATATGTACGATTAACTGATTATGTAATTAGGTATGAAGAGGCATGTGAAAAAGGCTTATATGAAACAAAATTTATTAGCCAATGTAAAGCTTCTATCAAGAGATAATAAAAGATATCACAAACTCTAAATTAATACCTCAGAACCCTAAATTGACTACACAGAGATCAACCATATATAAATGCTTCCTGAATACAGCTAATGCTTGATTAAGAAATACCACAAGCCAACACATCACATGTATCTCAGTATCAAAATTGAGTGATGGAACAAGTTTGTTCCCTTACTGTTCACTCACTCTTTTATAGTTTTAATACAATCACACCAATCAATTAAATGCCAACCCCACCTACTATAACCAGCCTGATATGGAGATACTGAAATTTTCCCTTCTTCAAATGCTATTGCATCGTACATATCCAAGTTGAACTCGAGTCTCAAGCCTAACCTTTTATCGTTCTGAGTTCGAGTCTAAAATTTTTAGACTCATTAAATTTCAAACACAGCTCAAGCCTGACAGATTCGAACTTGGCTTCACTCGTTTACGCCTCTAATCATGCATATTCACTGTAAACAGATATGATATGTAAGTTTGTAGTTAGTAATCAACTAGCTAGTACTAAAGACATGCAGGCTAACATTACTAGATCTGCATTGTGGAATTGAGGGTATTAAGGGTCATGCGCCCATTCCTTATGGTCTGGTCACCAGCAAACATTAGTGAAGCATACCCACTTCGTGAGTGAAACCAGCAACAAATTATATAAGCGTTACAGAGTTAATTCAATTAATGAGCGCACGAAGTAACTTCTCAAGGACTTCAGATGTAAAGGTGACAATTACCTAAGAAACAAGCATACAATTTTTTTGACCACAAAACAAAAATAAAAATTTACTATGCTAGAGTAGAAGGATATATATATGACACATATTTTAAAGGAGTCGAGTAAAAGAATACAACAAACTTATATGTACTTGTTAAGTAAGATTTATTCTAAGTCGGATAAATATTTTTCTTTTTTATGAATTTTTCAAATTGACATAAGAAAATAAAATTTAATATGATATGCTAAAACGGGTATGTAATATTATTATCATCAAATCACTCGTTTTTAAATAGCAGTATATATATATATATATACATAATAGAACATAAGAAGAATGCTTTGAAGAAAAAGAAATTTCAAATTTGATTAGAGCGACAAAAAAATAAGGAAGAGTACAGTATCTCCTGTTTTCAAAATATACCAGCTTTACTCCACTTTCTATCGTATATCTTACAAAAATCAAATCACATCAGATATATGTCTAAGGACAAGAATGCAAGAAAAGAAAAGCAGAGAGGAGAGACAACACAAATCACATAAGATCCTGTAAAAATCGGATAACTTTGGCCTCTTCATTGGTGAAGATATATTAAGGATTTGGCAGTACGTTGGATCATTTTGTTGATTGGGACACATCAACCCCCTTGAATATGTAGCATTACACAGTAATGATGATAATTAATCATTGAACTGATTCTAACTTTCCAAGTGTAAGAAGGAAAATATGCAAAGAGATCAAATACAACAATTGAGCCACGTAGTAATCCATTGACAGACTGCTGTCTTATGACACACGAGGTTAAAATTTCAAGGCTTATTTTTCCCTCCCATGAATGTAAACCAAGCTAAAATGCTTCATCTGTATATAAATTTTTATCGACCTCATATATATATATATATATATATATATAACGTGAGGGATTTTGTTAGGTCTAATAGAGGTTTGATTAACGGTTTTAGATTCATGGGTAGAGATTGAATTTTCATGATTTTTGACTGAATTTGACGAATTATCTTGCGTTGCTGTTAAGGTTGAAAATGCAAGCAGAGTAATACAAAACATAAAACAAGAATCATCAACATAGGTTGATCGCTGCAGAAATTTCTGATATCTTTCTAATATACAATTCTCGCGTATGAAAAATTTTTGAATGTACAGACCAAGACAGCAAAATTTTGTCCCTTGCTATTTGCTATGACAAACTAGCTAGGTTCACCGACTACAGCACATTTTACTTTGTTCCAAAAATTTGCTCCTTTCTACAAAACAGTTTTTTCTAGCATCAGCTGCTCACCGCACATCTACAGAACATGGAGCACAGACTCCCATAGCAGCAAAGTGACATAGTTGAAGGAGATTAGTGAAAAAGGAAGACGACAAAACAAATAGATTCATCTTCCATATAAATATCATCTGTAAGCGGAGATGATAAAGAAAAACAAATCTTTTGATTTTTTTTTTTATTTTTAAATTGATTGATGTCATAAATTCACAAGATCTGTGAAACCCTGACATTTTAAAAGGTTTATCATCTTTACCAAAAACAAATGCTTGAACGCCAAAAAAAAAATGTTCAAAGAGAAACATACAACATCATCGACTATAATAATGAGGCTGACCTGGAGGTGGAACACCACCAGGTCGCACATTAACCCCTGGCTGATTCATTGGCATGGAAGCCACTCCAGGAGAAATCGGACTGCCTTGTGAAAGTGGAGAGGATCCAACAGGCATTGCTGCAGAGGCATATGCCAGTACCGGTGGTGATGAATATGTTTGACCAGGGTATGTGCCTGGAACTGATGCATAAGCTGGTCCACTGGCCCGAACCGTTGGATCCCAAGCTGGCACCTGCCCTACAGGAACTTGAGGGGGAGCGGCATAGTTGTTTGGAGGGTAAATTGGAGCAGCCTGAGGATTCTGCCACGCTGTCGGAGCAGCAGGGACACCAGAAATCTGTCCTGCTGCAAGCAAACTTGCATCCGGGATGGTGTAATCTCTACTTTTCTCACTGTAGGCCTGTAAAAGAGAGAAATTAAAAAAGAAAAAGGAAAGAAGAAAGAGAGGTCAACTGATTATATTCTGCAACAGATTTACTAAAAGATGTGATCAAGATTATACGCATAACAAGGGGCAATCGAGTGTCAGGAAGCATACATTTTAAAGGACCCAAATCTTTTTTCGACCAAGAACGGATGCACATTTCCCCTCTAACAGCATCTTTTATTTTTCTTCTCATTTTTATTCTCATGAACATTAACTCAAAAGCACATTTTTATACCTTTACATTGAGATCAGTATGACGAGAGTATGATAGATGAAGCTTACAATAGCCACCATCATAAATGCAATGTCCTTCTAGTGTCTCTTTGGCTACTGCAGCAGTTGCAATATCTGCAAAAGAATTCAAATGAGAACACAACTCAAAACCCTCTAGAAGAGAGTGTGCATTGTTGACAAATGTCGGTTGCATACAAACAGAATAGAGTAACTATCTTTTGACAGACAACATCACACAAAGTAACGAACAAAGCCTAAAGAAAAGAACGATGATGATTCTATCACCAGTTTAAAGAAATGCCTAGTGATCACTCATACAAACAAATGCATAATGATATAAAAGGAAACGGAGAAGGATGAGCATATAAAAGTTCAAGTTACATGCACTATATGAAACCAAGTAAACAGTCAAATGAATAACAAAAACACACTGTCCAAATGAAAACAATGTAGAAGCCACATCTTTTTAGAAATAGTGGATTCCACAAAAGGGGGTTCATGTGGTCAAACCCCCACTTTGGAGTTTATCGTCTTAAGTTGGAAGGAAGGATTCAGGGTTCAATTAAAGTTGCTATCATGTGAAGCCAAAAACAATAGAGGAGGACAAACAGATTTCTCAAAGAATCAACAACAATTACTAAAACTCAAATGTAGTTGTAGTCTCACTAGCATAATGTGTATAATTGGTGCAAACCATAAGGTAAATAAATCAAGAATGGTTGGTAAAGTAGGAACATCAAATAATCTTAAAAACTAAAAAACTACACAGATTGATTGATTTTCTGTACGGAAGTGAATATGGACATGTATACATCATGCTGAATTCATTAACAATAAGTCATCCTAGATGAAGGCATACCAGGGTATTGAATTAGCGCCTGCGTTCCACCATTTTTCTCAAATATCGCAATCTTCTGGACAGTACCAAATGCAGAAAATACCTATAACACGTAAACAACTAAAGTTATACGAATATAATTCATAAAATAAATAGAACTTTATGCAAGATGCAAAGGGAGCATGGATAGGCTCACTGTGTGAAGAACATCAACTGTAACAGCATACTGCATATTCTCTATTGATGCAAGAAGCACATTACTCTCAGGTTCTTTCTTCTTTCCATCAGGACCTACAGCAGGCTGAAGAAGGCAGCTAGCTTATCAGTGGACACCAAGTGCTAAAATCTAGATACAAACTATAAATGATCTACTCAGGAACAAACCTGTACAGGTCCCTCAATTGCAGTAGGATTCACGGGCAGATACGGGTTTGTATAGTCCCTGCAATATTGACGAATAAAATTCAAAACTCATTGGAAATGCAAAAGATTGTTTTCACAATGCATGCATAAACATGCAGCAAAAATTTGAAGGCAATATATTGGCACTGTAATACCATCAGATGAACTGTCAACTCTATATTCTTCAGCTAGATCCAAGCACCAATCGTAATAAGCAAACAGAAAGAAGAGTTTCTCAAATCACTCAGTAAATGAAACTTCAAGAGGTAAAAGAAAAATTCAGGGAAATGCTTTCATTGCTTTCGTTGAGTAGTCCTACTTTTTCAACTGGAACCATGTTTAACAGGCATTGGTCAAAAGACCTCAATTAGACAATAGTTTAACCTCTTATGCATGTGGAAACTCCATGATAAAGGAGGGAATAAAAAGGAAGGATTCAAGGAAGCAACTACTGATTTATGGAATTTTCAAATCACATAATCATCCACCAAATCTGAAAATTGCACAAACCATCCCTACAATGAATTCTGTAATGATAAAATCACTTAAGAAAAGCAAACACTATAGCCCACTCTGTTGTTTTAGTAGTTGCAACTAGCTATTCTCTCATAAAAATAGCACACATCCAGCTTTACGTTCACTATAAAATTTATTTCAGAGGTGGTCTCTATAATCCTGAAAGTTGGGCATAGTTATTAAGGGCAAAAGAAACTACAAATCGGGAGCCTAGGCCAGAAAAAGAAGAAGAAAAAGCTCAAGGGATGTTAGGCGCAGAAGAAATGAAATATGCTTAAAAGAACTTAATTAAGAATACATATCCATATCATGTCCAAATACTAACATAAAAAAATATTAAAAATAGTAAGAACGAATAACGTCCAAATATAGATCAAATGAAAACATTATTAAAGATTCAAAATTATGTTACAAGTACAACAATCTGAAGTCGTAAAAAACTGCCACTTTCGTAGTATGGAAAAATGAAACCAATCCATTTGATCACAACTTATTTCCTTCAAATTTAGTTGTTAACCACCAGAAGCTCTAACATCTTCCCCATTTCTAAAGGATTTATTATGTTCTTTGAAGCCCATTCTATGTCAGTTGGACGAAGATTTCAGAACTGTTAGTCTAGAGAGGGAAGCGAAGAAAAAGTAAAGAGAGTCTGGGACAAGAGAGAGAACCACAATAAGGAAGGGAGAGAATTGGATGTTCGATTGAAAAGAGTATCAATGACAGGCAAATTCAGTGGTGTTGTGGTTGGATATCAGTGACCTTCCAGCAACAGCATTTTCAGGAAGTCAACAAAGGATTCTGCATATCAGGAAGCTCCAAATCTAGTTCTGTTTGCCTTTTGGGCAATGGCATGGATCTAGACAACAGTTAACGCTTGTGAGGTGAGCTTTCTCACACCTAGCATCTTGGAACAGGTGCACACCTCTATAATGTTTGCTACTCTCATTTATGCTGAGGCATTGGTTCCAGGGACTGGTTCACCATGCACCTCAAGAGCACCTTCAACTACTGTAAACTCAAGAGGTAGTATCTGTAACTTATGAATGCTGCAATCTATCAAAGTGACCTGTCCTATTTAAAATACCAGCAAAGGGTCATTTCACATGTCTCTCTTTACAATCACATATCAAGCAAATTCATCAAAGCTTTTTCCACAAAAACAATATCTGAAGAATTTTATGATGATTAAATGTAAGCCATTCCAAAATTATTCAGCCAGCAACAACAATATTTAAGTTGACATTGGCATCTTCAAATAGAAAAAGAATCAAAGTGACTGTTAACATGTTTGCATATTAAACAAACATAGAACTTGAATATCAAAAACTACTTCAGTAAATGCGAAGACAAAACATTTGGATTTTCTACCAACGGCAAGTAATTGTCTGTACTAAGGCACAGTGCTTCATTCAACACAATTCAACAATAGGTGCATGAAGAACTCTGACCACAGCATGTGCAAATGAAATGAAACTATTGTCAAAAGATTAAGGAAATTACTAAGCGGCCATGACAACACATCTGTGTTCTGGCTACCAGGCTTCACTAACTCCCTAGATGACAAAAGCACACATACCAATTAGCAAGATAGTAATGCCAGCATTAGAACATACAGAATTAAAGATTCGAGCAACAAGCATGGTTACATAGAACCATCAGAAAGCATATAGATGATGACGTCAAGGCCCCTTTCTGTACCTGCTCCTATGAGACTGGAACTTGATATTGAGGTCAGTGTGTGCAGAATATGAGATGCGCAAATGGCACGAACCAACATGCTCTGGAAGCAAGTACCTGAAATATTTTCAACATAATAGAAATTTAAAGTAGTCAATTCCCGATCACTGATAGCCAACTAAATCTAGAAGAGAGATGTGCAAAAATGTGGGGAGTCAGTCCAGGTGGAGGCCTAGGGAACAGAAAGAAGAAGGCATACTTCGGTATACTTCTCCCATCCAAGGCATTTCTTGCAGCAGATGCAGTGTCCGAATCAGTGAATTGAATAAGAGCCTGCCCGGATATTCATAAATTGACCATGTTAAAAAAAAAATCCAATCTCAAAAATACTAAGCAATTTTAACAACTCACCTGGAAACCAGCAGCCTTTTCAAAAGTGGCAATTTTGTGCACAAAACCAAAAGCAGAAAATACCTGAAACATGGTTTAACCATATATAAGCATACACCAGAATGATACAGAATCAAATCACATTATATATAATTCAAGGCCATGGCAAGCATCTAAAAAAAGCAAGTTTAAAAACCTAAATATTCGAGTTATAAGTGCAGAATAACACCTGTACATGCATGCGTCAAGATAGACCTTAGAAAGGAGTATGACGTACATGATAATATTTCCAAACTGTCTCCAACAAAAGAATCTAAATAAGAGGCATCACCATCTGTATTCAACTAATATGAATTAAAATTGACTCATAATTAATACATAATCCAATCAGGATGCCAACTCTGTATAAAATAAGAAAAGAATAAAATTATCTTGGTCCCAAAGATACCAAGAAAAAAAAAATTAAAAAAAATAAAAAAAAAATTCAATCAACAGTTTTAGGAAGATATTTGAAGTAAAGAATGTAGAAAACCAACTATGAGAGACACACAGTTTTTGAAGGAAACAAAAGCAAAAGTTTTGGACAGGTTACTATCATATGCACATGAAGCATGCCACTTCACAAAGCAAGCATTATAGCAATGACACCATCAAAGTCAAACTCCTCCAACAACTCCTTGTACAAGAACAAGGGCATATAGATAGATAGATAGATAAATATGTATGTGTGTGTGTATATATATATATATATATATATGTATAGAGAGAGAGAGAGAGAGAGAGAGAGAGAGAGAGAAAGAAAGAGAGATCTGTTATACAACTAACATTATCTCCAGTGAAGTTTTTTGAAGGAAAATTTTCATTTTCAGATGTGATCTCAATTCAAAGGCTATATGCAGAATTCACAGTGAGTTCATGGCTAAAAGCATTCATAGAACAAGAATGAGTCACAAGAGGTACATGAAGGTGAAAAGATAGATTGAGGGTTCCCAAAAATTGTTTTTCTATTCGGAAAAGAACACACGACTTGGATAAATATGCCTTTTACACTATCTTAAACCCTAAGAGGGACACGTCCCTAAGTGACTGAATATCCATTCTCTCCATATAACATCACCAATTAACTAAACATCATGCTTGTTTTACATGTTTTACAGCATGGAGTGTACCTAAAAAAGACCAGAACATATTCCAGCCAATGATTCTCTTTTATGGTGGTCAATTCAATCCAACTCAACTATATCTCAACCCTAAGACTAATTGTCATTGAATAAATAAATCCTTCAGTTACCGCTCAGCCTGGCTTGTAGCTATATCTTTTATGCTCTTTCTTTATGATAACACGCACATAATTATTCATTCATGTATTTATCAGGTTCACATACAAACTTGAATAATCCCCAAAAAAATAAGAGAAATTCCGGATAGAAAGCACTTACCAAATGGATGACATCAATGCTCACATCACCAGCTTCGACACCCTCAATTGTTACCAGCAATACATTTCCAGGAACATCACCTGGACTCTTGTTGTTGACAATTTCATGTCTATTAGAGTATTGGATATACACTGTCTTACCACGAACTTGTGCAGGCTCTGAGGATGAGGCATAATATGAAACCATTTGAATTGCCTGATTTAGGTCAGCCTGTAAACAAGTCATTTCAACTCTTGTCAACATTTAATTGACACGGAATTAAAAAATACATGATTATATGAAACCAAAACGGGTACGCGAGTAGTCCAATAAAGACTCTGCATGACTAATTCATTGAACAGACGAATCACATTGAAATGAATTCTGATAAACCAAGAAATTTCCAGGTAAGTTCAGTTCTCTAAAATAATAAAGGTAAACTATTTTTAGAAACAAATACACACGGAAAATTAAGTCTACAACATTCAAGAAGATTACTCAACTACTATCGAATGTGTTTAGGACGCATAAACGAGACAATAATCAAATTAAATCGACAGCAAAAGAAATGCAACTGAACAAGTTACAATTTCCATATAATCGAAAGCCAAAGATATGCAACACTCGGTAAACCTCTCAAATTTCCAAACGATTTTTAGATAAAGAAGCAATAAAAACAAATGCGACGACAAACACAGTCCAAAAAATAAAGGCAAGATGAATAGCTTACGAATTCGACAAAGGCTTGATTCCGATTGGCGCCGACATTGCACTTGGTGTTCACGATCTTTCCGAAGGGTTTACAAAGCTCGATTAGCTCCTCTTCCGTACACTCCCACGGGAGATTCCGCAGATGCAAAACCTTCGATGGCGTCTGCGTATATCGGAATTGGGGCTGCCCTGAGGTTGACATCTACAAAGATATGGGGATTACTTTACCTCCAGAGAGAGAGAGAGAGAGAGAGAAGAGGCGTCTGGGTCTCTCGAAAGTGCTGGGATTTTCCGGGAACAAAAATTGGGGATTTATTTTTGCGATTGGACGGTATTAATGTCATCCATAAGGATATTTATACGTGGAGCGAAAGGTTTAGATCACCGTTTACACATCACGGACGCACGACGCGATACGGTAAAACACAAACATGAGACAAACATGAGACAAATACAATAGGCAATAGATGCAAGTTAGTACATTTCATTACTCTATTTTTTTTATTAAAATTAAAAGGAAAAATTATTATAATTTGTTAAAATACATGATTTTACTGTTGTACTTTTAGAAATTCGTAGCTTTGTTTTTATCTTTTCTCTCCATTATAGTTCATTTTTTATTTTCACAAATAAAAAATATAGTTAATGTACAATTTTATTTATATAATTTTTCTGAATAATTATTATATTAGAATAATAAATAAGAGTTAATGATGATGATTGGAAATATAAAATTTAAAAAGGGTATAGTAAACAATTTAAGGTTTAACTACAATGCAAAAAAAAAAAAAGTGAATTATATTTTCGAACAAACCAAAAAAAAAAATATGTATTGTCTTTTTGAGACGGAAAGAATATATTTTTATAAATACAGAAACAAATTAATTCATTTTAGCAAAATATAAAAGTAAAATAATCAGTAAATAGAAAACATATTATTTAATTTAAGCAAATATTTGATAAAGTGATATAACATTGTAATGCAGGTAAAAACATAGACAATTATGTATTGCTAACAATGCAGAGGCAATACATTTATATGTCGTAGTAAAAACACAATGATAAAATCACATCTTAATTTTATGACTATTGGAGTTTATATTGACAATAATTAATGCAACTTGCAATAAAATTATTATGCAGTTACAATTTAAATACATAATGAACGCGAGGCGGCCTCTAGTGGTATTTAACTCGGATAAATCTATTTAAAGCAAGGCTCTGTTTGTTTATATAAATTAATAATATTTTATTACGTCTAATTAATATTTTAGTTTCTTAAATTGCTTTTTGATTAACACGGTAGATATTTCTAATTAAACATCCTAGATATTATTTCAAACACCAAGTACTGTACATATTGTAATATAAGAAAACTATATATTTTTCTTATTAGATCTTTGGAACATGAATTTATAGACTAAGCACAGTCAAGCTAGGTAACAAAATATTATAACTTAAAGAACTTTCAACGAAATGTATAATTATCTTAATTTTATTTTTTACTTTTTAACCTATTTTGTATTTTATATTTATTATATAATCCGTCAATTCAATTTTTCTTTTTATATATAAAATAGTATTGATTGTATGTGTTCGTAACACAAATATTATACATGTGTATAATAGTAAATAAGAGAAAAATAAATCAATAGGTAAATAGTTGATATTAGTTCTTTAAAAAAAAATAGTTGATATTAGTTTTATTACCAAATAGTCAGTTCATCGACATTAAAATTAATTTATTATGTATGAAGTTCGAAACACCTCTCTATCTCTCTGTATATATACATTTTAGTTTGTAGTTTTTTGTTAGCAAGTTTCACTTGTAATATAATTAACTAAATATAGATTAAAATCTAATTAAAATGAAAAATATTATTATATATAAATGAATTAAATAATGAATATACGCAACGAGAAATAATAACGTGCAAAGCACGTGCCAAAGGAAATTGTCCCCTAGTTTAAAGGAAGGAAAAGAAAAGGCTAAAAAAAAAAAAAAAAATTAAAAGGGCAGCTCACGTAATCTTAGAAAACATTCGAGGCGATCGTAGAATTATCAAAATTATATAGGACGATCCATGAAATATTCGGCGAACTTAAAAATATAAAAACAAGATCCGGTCAAAACCCTAGAAATTAGAAACGACACTAATATACAGGGAAGGCCCGGCAGAAAACAAGAGATTTTTCTGCAAATCTCAAGCTCCTATCGGCATCTTTGCCTCTAATTCGCCTCTAAACCATTCTATTCAAGGTTAACGATCCGATTCTGTTCCTTATTTTTATTTTTTTGCCATCATTTATTTACAATCTTGCTCTTCAATTTCTTGTTTTGAACTCAGCTAATTTCTCTTAATGTTTGATTTTTGTGGGAATTAGGGTTTAACAAACTTTTCGCAGATCTGGGTTTTGTATAATTAGAATGCTGCATAAATTTCAGAAAATTGTTTGTTTATTTTTACCGCGGAATATGTCTAATTTGCCAAATAAAATCTTTTTCTATAATCTGATGATGTCAATAGATTCCGTACCATGTAAGCATATTTGATATGCATATTTACCCTATCACTAGATATGCATGTCGTTTGTTTTCATTTTGTATACTGGTAGTACCCAGATTCCTTTCAGTAGTGAGAAGTTTATGTCTATATCCTTCTGACCACATGCCAGGGTTTAATTTTTAGTTTCGTTCGATTTCTATTTGTGGGTCAGAATGGTTAATGCATCAACATGTGTTTTCTGTGATGAGGCTGTTGTTTTTAGTATCATCATTGCTACTGCATTTTATGTGCCGGACATATAAATGACAGGATTAAGACAATTAAGGATCTATCTGGGGAGGTTGAAGTCTAATGGTTCCATTGTTACATTAAGGTCTGGGTCGAGAGTGTTAACTTGTTATCAGGCCATCATGCATAGATTATGTAGTCAATATCTAGGTGGAGTTTCTATTTGCTGTTGTACTGGGCCATGTCACGTGATTGCTTGTAATTTTATTTCAAATGTTACTTTTATCTGTTCCAGAAACTGGTTGGTTGAATAAAATGGCGGGTCAGAAGAATAGTTATGGAAAACGGTCTCATTCCCATTCTGATTATGATAATGGGGCAAATAAAAGAAGAAATTCAGGTGATGATAGAGACAATTTCGTCATTGATTCACAAGATACTGTTTATCGTTACTTGTGTCCTGTTAAGAAGATTGGAAGTATCATTGGGAGGGGAGGGGAAATTGTTAAGCAATTAAGGATTGACACAAAGTCAAAGATTAGGATTGGTGAGACAGTTCCTGGTTGTGAAGATCGTGTTGTTACCATCTATAGTGCTAGTGATGAGACTAATGCCTATGAAGATAGTGGTAATTATATTTCTCCTGCTCAGGATGCACTTTTCAGAGTGCATGATAGAATAATTGCAGAAGATATGCATGGTGATGAGGACTCTGAAGGAGGTCATCAAGTCACTGCCAGGCTTCTTGTGCCATCTGATCAGATTGGATGCATTATTGGGAAAGGTGGCCAGATAGTTCAGAACATTCGTGGTGAAACTGGTGCACAAATTCGCATTCTCAAGGATGAACATCTGCCTCCTTGTGCATTGAGCTCTGATGAGCTTGTGCAGGTACTATGGGTGACTTTTAGATTATGCCCTTGTTTTACTATTATCTGCTCATCATACTGTGATTCTGGGGTTTTTCTTAAACAACTATAGACTCCTAGATCAATGTTATGACTTTAACAAGTGGATATTTAAGTACAGTTTGATTTAGTTACTCTAATTCGCACCATTTCATTATTTTTTCTATGGCATCTTATTGAAAAAAAAAATCTATATTCCTGGAAATTGTTTTTCTACTTTGACAAATCGGTTATGGTTACATGGTATCTGATATGACTTGCATCATGACTCTTCTCTTTTTTTTTTTGGGTTCTGTTACTTATGCATTCATAGGCCGGAAAATAAAGTTGGTAGTATCTGTGTTTAATAGACATGTTTTTTTATCTGTTATTTACCATTGTTGAATTGCAGATTTCTGGCGAAGCTGCAGTTGTCAAAAAGGCTTTGTATCAAATTGCCTCTCGCCTTCATGAGAATCCATCACGTTCTCAGCACTTGCTTTTTTCTGCTGTCCCCAGCGTGTATTCTGCTGCTGGTTCATTAATAGGTCCTACTACTGGTGCACCAATTGTTGGAATAGCACCACTGGTGAGTCCTTATGGAGGATACAAAGGTGATGCTAGTGATTGGTCACGCTCCTTGTATTCAGCTCCAAGAGATGAACTTTCTTCAAAAGAATTTTCTCTCCGTATAGTTTGCCCAATAGCAAATATTGGTGCTGTAATTGGAAAGGGTGGTGCAATCATCAATCAGATCAGACAGGATTCTGGAGCAATTATTAAAGTTGATAGTTCAACAGCTGAAGGAGATGACTGCCTGATAACTGTTTCTGCTAAGGAGGTAAAATCCATCTGTGCTTTTTTTTTCCGGGACCACCTTTTATATCCTCATATGTGACTATAGTTTCATCTTCCATAGTTCTGATAATTTTGCAATCTATTCTATTTCAGTTTTTTGATGACCAATATTCTCCAACTATAGAAGCAGCCTTGCGTTTGCAACCAAGATGTAGTGAGAAAACTGAAAGGGATTCCGGCCTTATCTCATTCACTACTCGTCTACTTGTGCCTACCTCACGAATTGGTTGCCTTCTTGGTAAAGGTGGAGCAATTATAAATGAGATGAGGAAACTTACCAAAGCCAATATCCGCATACTTGGAAAGGACAGCCTTCCCAAAGTTGCAACTGAAGATGATGAAATGGTGCAGGTAGAACTATAGTTAATTATTCCTGGATATATAATTTGATGACTGTACTGTGTTAAGTACTAAATAGGTGAACTCCACAGGTATTACTTGAGTTAAAACCAAATTTAAATTTGACACTTCTTCTTTTGATTACCAGATCTCTGGAGATCTTGATGTTGCTAAAGATGCTCTCATTCAAGTAAGTCGACGGTTAAGAGCAAATGTTTTTGATAGGGAGGCTGCTGTATCTGCTTTTGTGCCAGTTCTGCCATATCTTCCTGTCTCAGCAGATGGTTCCGAAAGCATAAATTACGATAGTAGAGATAGTAAGAGACACGGTCGTGGGCATTCATATTCTGGTGGTGCTGGCTATGGCTCTAGTGACTATGTTGCCGGTGACAGTTATGGTACTTATGGTAGTTCCCAGGTAATGCTGTAGTTTCATTTTTTAATGTACGCTTGTAATTTTATGTAGATATTGAAGTTTGCTTCTTTTTCTGTCCACTGCACATTTCTGGCTAATTATGTTCTACAATTTTTCTTCCAAAGGAGAACAGAATTTGAAGTTCTTCAAATCTGTCAATTGTTTTATGTTTGTGTATGACATTTTTCCAGTATATTATTTGGTTTTGAATAATAATTATTTTATCGTCTGTAGATTGGTGGTAATGGAGGTGCTTACGGAGCTTATGGAAGTTATTCTTCGGGTCGTACAAGTACTTCTGGGTGAGAATCATTTATTTCTTTCATGTTTGAGATATTTTTATGCTTGGTGCTGATTCAGGATATGGCTGTGTCTGCCATTTGCTTTAGGTTGACAAATTTTAACGCTATGGACCTAACATCTTAAAAATTCTGACCAGCACAGAATTTTATTGAACTATGCGTTAGACTGCTTGTTCATTCCTATTTATGTTCCTAGGAGATTTATTGTTATATGAAGGTGATGGTGCCACAGAACTTCTAAATCCTAACTAGCAACTCTGTTACCAGGTTATCTGGCCAGACCCCTGGTTCTCGACGCAAAAACTATTACTAGAATTTGGTGATGGATATGTGCAGGTAGACTCTGGTTTTCCCTTGTACTTTTCCTGTCTATGGAGTTAAGTGGCAATTTCCTCTGATATAAGCCATTAACATGCTCGTTTGTGATACTTTCATATCATAACCTATCCCATCTGCCTCATATAGGATTCTGATGCTCTAATTTTTACCATGTTGCCTTTCCCTTCCCATTAAAACAGCTGAGATCCATGAAGCCTGAAAGCAGCTTACTGCCTCTTTTGATGAAGCCTACAGCCTAAACCGGAAGACCAGATGATACCAGGGTTTGACATACTTATGGCCCACCTTGACGATCTCACCTAGAAGGACCAAATCTATTTGGAGATCCTGATATCTTTATTGAAAATTGTCATGTCCCTGACAACAAATTACCAAGCTCTACATATTGTGCTCCTAAGAACCTCTTTAGCTTGCTGCCTTTGTTGTTCTGTTTTTTAGTGGAACATTTCTTCAGTAGTACAAAACCATGTTACTTCCCTCCTTTGGCATTTGTATTAAGTGTCTACTTTTGCTACAATTCTCTGCTGTGTTTTTATTTATTGTTTCAATTTATAGCATATTTTATCACTTGAAGTTGGCCAGTTTCTCTGCAATATAGCAAAATTCTAATGCTGTCTGAATTGCAGGATTATTCTTCTCTTGCATCATCAACAAAAGGTAGTAATATTTGCTTTTGTTATACTTTTTGGCTGAGGAATTGCATCTTTGTGGATGAAAATGCAAATTGAAGATTCACTTTTAGACAAACACATATATGATTAATTGCAAATAAAGTTCTATCGTTTTAATGACCAACTTCATGTGACTATGCCAGTTCGATTGAAGTGCCAGAAACAACATTTCTCTACAGCATTGCTGTATTAATAGGGATAATGTTTCTTCTCTATTCCCTCCCTCTCCTCTCCTTTTTTTTTTTTTTTCCTTTCCTTTTTTAATGTTCTTCTCTAATTCCCTGTCCCTCTCCTCTCCTTTTTTTTTTTTTTTTCCTATCCTTTTTTTTTTTTTTTCCTATCCTTTTTGCTTTTATTTTAAAAAATTTTTGATTGACAGATTCAATTTATGAGGAGTAGATTAGAATTATATGGTGAAGAAAGATATTGGAATGCACCTACTTTTATTTTGAATTTTATGGAGATATGCATTGGAGAAATGAAAGTGGGTTCATTATAGGATGTCTTCTGTAAATTAGCAGTCTTGATCATACTCGTTATTACTCCCATATAATGGGCCCCATTAGTTAATTTTACAATTAACTCATCTGCATTGTTCAAAGAAGTAACATTAGGTTTCTTTGATGGGGTTCATTACTGAAGGCAGAAATAAGATGATGGTTTCTAGGGTCTTTTGTCTTGGAATTTTTGTGACTTATAACAGGTAACTTTGGAAGTGCTATTTGAAACCTGAAAGGTGCATTGCATATGCGGGTGGATATTCTTGAGGCTGACCCTTTTGTCGGAAAGTCGAACTTGATGCACCAATTGGTAGGTTATTTGCTTGTAATATATGGTCTGCCATGGACGGTTATAGATGACTGCTGATCTGATTGGTTGTTTGATGGTCAGGTTTTATGGTAACAAGTTACTGGGTGGAGCACAAGCAATCACTAATTAATTGCTAGAATTTGTTAGCCTTAAGCTCACTTCGCTTCTCTGTTGCTTTTGTCCGTTTTAACAACCGGTGCTATCTACTGAAGCATATGATCCTTTTGCTTGCTGATACATCAAATAGAAAGACGAACTCTCGATGATGTGCTCGCATTTCCTTGTGTCTCTGTGGTTCTTCATACTCTTGGCTATGCCTTTTTTTTTTTTTTTTTTTTTTTTTTTTTTTTTTTTTTTTTAATTTTTTTCTGATTTGTTTTTTTTTTTTTTTTTTTTTTTTTTAATTTTTTCTGATTTGTGTTTTTCTATTTTTCTTTGTTATTATTTTAAGTGGTGGAAAAGGGGTGTGTTTAATGTTAATATTATTATTTGTTGTTGTAAAATTAAAAAATGAAAAAGAAAAGTAAGAACTCTCTATTATAAATATTAAATTAATAATTAGATGTGCAAATCACTTGAACCCGAATTCAATATTTCAGTTTAAATGCTATGCACTATAGCCAAGTGGCAATATGTTGAACTTTAATATTTTTATAATTTTAGTTAATTCTTTTAATTTTAAGAATTGAGATTTTATATTTTATTTTTTGAATAGGTGTAGTACGTGTTATTAAAATAAGATTACATGACTTGTCACTGTTGATTCCATTATAGTTGGCACTGTGTCATTTATAGGGGGCTGTACTTGGACTGGATATTACTACCTACGTGTTTAATTGATAGGCATGCTTTTTATTTCACATGTGCATTTAAAATTGCTGAACTTACTAAATTTCACATTTAAATTTTTTAAAAATGATTATCAATAAATAATGATAAAATAAAGAGTAATTGTTAAAAATAAAAAAGTTATTTTTAATAAATAATATAAAATATGAATACAATGGAGATTAATATATTAACAATTCATTAGAATGGGACAAACAAAAATGGAAATGGTGCCTATTGTTATGAAAGTAAAGAATAAGGTAAGAGACTGAAAAGATAAAAAAAAATTGATAAAATTGAAAATTATGAAAGTTAAAAAAGTAAAGTTTCACTTAAAATTGAGAATTTGTTTTTTGAATTTTATACGTTAAAATCATAATAGGTACAGAATATTTCTTCTTTTTCTTTATTTAATTTTATACGTTAAAATCAAATAAGAGGCAAATAATCTTTTTTTTTTTTAGTTTTTTAATTTTTTTTATTTGGGTGGTTTACGTTTTTTTTTATTTTATTTTTTTATTATCTTAATTTTTTTTGTTTTTTTTTGGGGAGTTCCTGGCCTTCAGAAAAGGCATATGGTTAGGTAGTGAGAGGCATGTGCCTCAGTTGGATGGTAAAGGACTAAAGGCACTAATGACTACACATAATGCTCGAGCATTGAGATGGCACATTTGATTTTTAAGTGTCCTTTCACAAATTGTTTTTTTTTTTTTCCTTTCCTTCTCTTCTTCTAAATAGTGCAATTGACTATATTTGAATCAAAACACCCACTCTTATCTGTCCCAAAAAAAAAAGAAATAGAGACATAATCAAACAATCTTTTATCTGTACTTATTCCACCTCATATATCATAACTTTGATGGTTAAGTAAAGTAAAAAATCACTTTCTTTCCTGATAAAATTCAAAACCTAAACCTTAAGCTCTTGTAGGGTTCTATTGCTTATTCTAATTAGTCAACTGGTAGTTTAGTGTAGAAATTGCTTTAGAAAATAATTATAACACAGACACAAACATAACAAATACACAACCATGCCACTTGGAAAATTCTTTAGATAGCCCTATACATCTCCAATAATTGTAACTTGTAGTAAATTTAATTAATTATCCACCTACTCTCTATCTCCCTTTCAGACAAGTACTACATTGCTCAGGACAGATCTCCATTCATTTACTACAAAGTGAAAAAAAGAGTTGTAAATGTCTTAAATGACTCTTAATAATTTTTGCTTCTCAGAATTTACGTGATGGGGTTAGATCTTTTAGGGTTCCCAATATTTCATGCATTGGTCACATCCATTGCCATGAACCCTTCAAATTACTCTTCTTTTTTCTGGTACCCTATTGGGTAAGGACACTTATGGGACAGTTTTAGAGCTGCCCTCTTTGTACAATAGCTAGCACCATTAATACTTCATTTGTTACGCTTACACGATTTTTCTTTATAAAGAAACAAACCCCTAACCCTAGCCCATTGTCTGTCAAGATTTCCTTATAGTCCAATAAGCCTTCTTCTCCTCTAGCTACATTGTTTTCTTGTTAAATTAATTGCTTAACTTTCATTTTTCTAGCAAGGAATGTTGCCTTTCTTCTTGAGGAAAATTCCTGCCCCTTCCTTCTTCCAAGTCTATTTTGCACTGTTGGGCTAGCTATACTGTTATTATTGGTTGGAGTTTTGGAATGTTTCTGTTGCCCTTTTAATGTTCTTCCTTTACACCGAAAGTTTTCTTTCTGTTCATACATATTTCATCTTAGGTCTTGCATGAAAGGAGGAGGCCATTAGCGCAGCCAAGGATGACTTGCCGGTATATATGTATGCATATATATATGTATTTGAAAATCATCGAAGAACTAATTAACATAAATTAATCCATGATTATATATGCAATTAGCCGGCGAGTCATCTCTGGCTACTCAACTGCCTCCTTCTTTCATGCTGGACTTATGGTGATAATCAAAACGGATGATAATGGTGGAAATAAGATTAGGATCGTACGTTCTTCTTCCTTTTCATTTCTTGATTTTACTTCCTTCCTTTAATTCCAATATTAACTTAGCTTGCTTCTTGAAAATTTGCAGATCATCATTAAGCTAGTCACCAAGCACTTACAGATTTCTATTCTTGCTTGATCAATATGACTTTACATGCTTATAAAAATTGGTCACTCCTATACATAGAAGGGAGCTAGACTGAGCTTGAGTTTCTTCTTCACTTCCCCTTAGCAAAGACATTTAGTAAGATTTAATGAAGAACATGGTGTTGCTAAATAAAATCAAAATAGATTAGTACTATTATAGCTACTAGCTTTAATATTCTAGATCCGTATATGTTTCTATTTTCCTCTGCTGTAAGTTCATGTTATAATTGTTGCATCAATATCCACTTTTTTACCACATTGTCGTTTTTGAAATAACATATACTTACCGGTCAACTTAGTCGTATAATCGAATTGTATGATTTAATAGTACGGAGCACAAAAAAAAAAAAAAAAAAAAAAATTTAATAGTACGAGAGCACAAAAAAAAAAAACAAAAAAAAAAGACTGCCGTTATTTATTTAATCATGGAAAATAGTATCAAAAGATTGTGTGATTATAATTGAATATTGAAAATTAATTTATTTGTTCGACGTTATCTGTATAGATGGATATAAAAAAAAAAAAAAAAAAAAAAAAAACTTGCGTTATTTATTTAATCATGAAAATAGTATCAAAGATTGTGTATTATAATTGAATATTGAAAATTAATTTTATTTGTTCGACTTTATTTATAGATGATATAGTTATACTTCCTTTAATTTTGGCAGAATAGAAGTACAACAGATAATATAATTGTATATTAAATAGAGTTTGGGTGACCATAGATTTATTGTATTTGACAATACAATGGAAAAATGAAAGGGGAAATAGTACATAAAGAATCATGTCACAAAAAGTGCCAGTTTGCTTATAGTTTAATTCAGAAACTAGTTGTGCAAATAGAAATGAAAAAAAGGAAAGTAAAAAATAATAATAAAAAAAAGAAATTCAGTTTAATTTGTGGACATGGAATCAATGGCTTTACCATTTTTTTTTTTTTGAAAAAAAAATCAATATAATGGAGATATTTTCAAACTATTTATGCTATGCTCCATTGACTTTTGCAATAGGGAGGGTATTAGTAAAGAATCCTACTAACATATATGATATTACAAGAAATTTGAGTTTTTTATGATATTATTCATCTATTATTTTTTAAATATTGTATATAATTAAATTGTATTTAATTAACATATACAATTTAAAAAAAATTTAAATTTAAAAATTCTTTTTACTTTTTTAAAAAAGACGAAGTAAATTAAAATATTTTCAATTTTAGCTTATTGAGTTAGTAAATATAATTAAAATACTCAATAAAGAAAATACATGATATAAAAATAGATTTGAATATGTGTTTGGATATATATATATATATATATATATGTGTGTTCGATGATTATGAAGTCGTTGATTTCTTAAAGTTTTTTTTGCTAGATGACTTGAATTCATCCAATTTCCATCACTGCTGTCACTTCAATTTTTCTACTGTGTATATACATATTAATAATTTAAAAAATTTTATCATTATCTTTTAATTTCAACGTGATCATATTCTCCTCTAATTGAATTAGAAGAATTTGTTCAATATATAATATGTGAAAAAGCTTATTTCTTATTCTCTTCATCCATTTTTATTAATATTATTTAACGTTTTTGCGTAGTTATCAAAGAAGCAAATAACTACCTAAATTATAATAAAACATTTCTCAATTTAATCAAAATTGTTCTTTATCTTAGCTAATTACCTTAATTTAAATAATTATACAAAATAATTACTTGTGTATAGTAGAATTAAGGGTAAAATTAAAAAAAAAAAATAATTATTAATTATTAATTTCAGACAAATAATTTAGAAAAAAATTCTAAAAAGTAATAAATAGAAATGGATGAAAAGAGCATACTTTTATATAATGTCATGCAATATCATCTTGTAGGAGGGGGAAAAGAAAAGAAAAGAAAAGAGAAAGAAACATTAAAGATTATAGCAATATTAATTAAAATCTCTCAATTCAATCGTTCGTTCCATTGAAAAACAACAATAATAAAACTATGGATACCCACTGCACGTCCATAAATTCCAGGATTCCAAATTCTTCGGAGGAAAAATAGCTTAATACCAGAATAAAAAAAGATTCTAACATGAAATTAAAACAGAAAAATATTTATTGCTTAAGCAAAGTAAATAAAGAGTAGTGAATTGCTAGATAGAAATAAGACCTTCTCCAACAAGCAAGCCAAACATGAGAACAAGAAGCCCAATTGTGATGCACTGAGTTGCAGAGATGATAGTCTGTGAATAGGCACATAATGTTATGGCCGCACCAACCATTCCAATCGCTAGAGCATTCATATTCTGATTCATTGCTTCTTCCTCTTCTTCTCCTTCCTTACTAGAATTGAAGGTATTTTGATTCAAAGATTGAAGCTTTTGAAGAAATTAACTCTTGAGACCAGGCTTTGGCCAATAACTATAATAGAAAGTCAACTCTTCTGGGGATAGATCTGGGATTTTATCGTTTAAATATATATTAAGGCATATTATATAGAACTTGTTATTTTAAAGGAGCATTTTGCAATTTTTTATTATAGGGTTAATTGTTTGTATTATATTATGAAAGGTTAAAAAAATCTGTTTGACTAAGATTAAGCTTGGCTTATTTTAGGGGAAACAACTTGTCATATGGAAACTTTGAAAGATATTTAATGAGAAAAATGATTTATTTTTCATGCTTTAATTATGATATTAAAAATTTTTACAAAAAAAAATTATGGTATTAAAAATAAGTTAGGAATTATTATTGGTTTAGAGATCAATTATCACGCGTTTAAAAATATTTTTTTTTTATATATAAAAGAGAAGACAAGTTCAGTTTAGCGAACTATCAATGTAGTATTTAATATGAATCCTAATTTATATTAGATTTTTTTTTTTGAATATCATTTATATCAGCAATTAATTAATAAGATATATTCAAAAAAATTATGGAAAATATAATTCAAAGGAGTGACATCATAATAATACATTATGTATTCAATTTGTTTGATATATATATATATTTTTAATTTTTGATGTTTAAAAACATAATTAAAATAATTATTTTGGTATTTTTGAAGTTTTGTGAAAAATATTAAAATTTTCCATAATATCGGATACCCTGACACGTAGAAAACGACAGATTATTGTCTAGAACGACATTGTTTACGCCCAGTCAAACACCTTGGTCTCCGTCTATTTCGTGAACAGTCCATTCATGGAGTCATGAGCAAAACCACCACCGTTGCGACCACGACCACCGCATTTCTCCGCAATTGCATGCTCGAATTTCTCTCCCCTCTTAATCCAAGAAAGAGCTTTCTAAAGCAGGTTAGTTTTCTCTTCTTCATTAAATCCCAATTCTTAAACACTGCTTCTCATACAGACCTATCTCTATCATCACACTCTGGAGCTCACAAAGCAAACAAAACCCACATAGATTTATCTTCTATAAACCCTAATGGTATTGCAAACATTATTATATCTAAATATCGCCAGTTTCTTAATAGAAGTGAAAGCGAAAGAGAGAATCTTGCTAAGTATTCTTCTCTCAAAGAACTTCTTCTGGACATTTCTGATGTAATACCCTATGAGACACGTCGTTTTAGGAGAATTTTGAGATTGACACCTGAAGATGTGCTTGAAATGTTACTGGGTTTTCAATTTGAGTGTGAAAAAGTCGCAATCAAGAGAAAAAAGGTCGAGTCTTTGTGGGGAATTTTCAATTGGGCTAGTGACCAAGATAAGGGTTTTAAGCATCTTCCTAAGTCATGTGAGGTTATGTCCTCTTTACTTATTAGGTATGGGATGCTTAGAGAGGTTCAGTTATTGCTTTTGGCAATGGAGAGAAAAGGAATTTCGTTGGATAACAATGAAATTTTTTCTAAGTTGATTGAAGGGTATGTTGGTGTTAATGATTTAGAAAGGGCAGTGTTATTGTATGAACGAATGAGGGAGCAAGGTTTGGTACCATCACCCTTCTCTTATAACGTTCTTATTTATCTTTTGGTGAAAATGAGGAGAACCCAATTGGCATTTCGAGTTTGTTTGGATATGTTCGAAATTGGGACTAATTTGAGTGATAGGGAAATGGCTAGTATTGATAAGGCTATTAGATTACTTTCTGGGGAAGGAATGGTTCATGAAGCTAGAAACCTTATGAAGAAGGCTTTGGCTTTAGGTTTTGAGCCTAGTAGCTTGGTTATTAATGAGATTGCTTCTGGTTATTGTGAGAAGAAGGATTTTGAAGATTTGCTTAGTTTTCTTGTTGCAATGAAGTGTGCACCAAATTTACTAGTTGGCAATAAGATAGTATGTGGTTTATGTAGCAATTTTGGTGTAGACAGAGCAAATTTTTTCATGCTAGAACTGGAGAATTTAGGTTTTAGGCCTGATGAAATAACTTTTGGTATCTTGATTGGTTGGTGTTGCGGTGAGGGGAATTTGAGGAGTGCCTTTATTTTTTTGTCGGAGATGTTGTCAAGAGGCTTAAAGCCTAGTATATACTCGTACAATGCGCTTATTGGTGCAATGTTTAGGGAGGGTATGTGGAAACATGCCCAAGACATTCTTGATGACATGACGGATAGGGGAATGACCCCAAATTTAATTACTTTCAGGACTCTTTTGGCAGGATATTGCAAAGCTAGAAAATTTGATGAAGTTAAGATAATGGTTCATAAGATGGTGAACTGTGGTTTAATTGAATCCTCTTCACTGGACAATCCACTTTCCAAGGCATTTATGGTCTTGGGACTGAGTCCATTGTCTGTGCGGTTGAAAAGAGATAATGATGTTGAATTTTCTAATACAGAATTCTTTGATAATCTAGGAAATGGTCTCTATTTGGATACAGACCTGGATGAGTATGAGAAAATAGTAAATGCAGTTCTTAAAGATTCAATTGTACCTGACTTTAATTTACTTTTGAGGGAGGAATGTGATCATCGAAATTTTAAAGCTGTATTCTCATTGATAGATGAAATGATTCGATGGGGTCAAGAACTGTCTCTGCCTGTTTTCTCAGCATTACTTAAAGGGCTTTGTGCATCCAGATCCCATACTAGGGCATGCAGCCATCTTATTGACAAATTGCCAAAGTTGGCTAATCAACTTGACTTTGAAGTTCTTAATTTGCTTGTTCAAGCATACTGCAAGAGTGGATTGGTATACAAAGGAAGGACAATTTTTTATCAAATACTTCAGAGGGATATAACAATTGGAAATGAGACATACACTGCTCTAATTATGGGATTATGCAAGTTGGGAAATTTGCAGGATTTTCATTATTGTTGGGATATTGCTCGAAATAGTAAATGGTTACCAGAGTTACGGGACTGTAAATCTCTTGTAGAATGTTTATTACATCATAAGATGCTCAAGGAGGCATTGGAGCTTCTTGAAAAAATGCTGGTATCCCACCCTCACTCAAGGTCTGAAATTTGTCATGTGTTTCTTGAAAAGCTTTCTGTTACAGGCTTTACAAGTATTGCACAGAACTTAGTGGATGAACTGGTACAGCAGGGATGTTGCTTTGGTGAGACTGCTTATAGCCATCTTATAAGAGGGTTATGCAAGGAGAGAAATTACATGGGGGCCTTCACAATATTGGACACAATGTTGGCAAGGAACTTACTTCCATGCTTCGATGTTTCTCTTATTTTGATTCCTCATTTGTGCAGACCTGATAGACTTCATAGAGCTCTTGCTTTAAAGGAGATCAGCTTGAGAGAGCAATCCACGTTTTCTTTTCCTGTCCACTATGCTTTAGTTAGAGGATTTTGTATGACGGGGATGGTAGGAAAAGCAGCCAATGTAGTCCACGATATGTTGTTGGAGGGGCTATTTCCTGATGCTAGAATTTGTAACACAATGTTTCAAGGGTATTGCCAAGCTAACAACTTGAGGAAAGTCAACGAGGTACTTGGTGTTCTCGTAAGAAAATTTTCAGGCCCTTCAATATCAAGTTACCAGAATTTGATGCGCTTGTTGTGTATGCAGAGTAGTTTCAGTTATGCATTAAGCCTGAAGGAACTAATGCTAGGAGACGGTAGGCATCGTAGCCTCACCATTTACAACATTCTGGTTTTCTATCTTCTCTCGGCTGGGAACAGCTTGCTCATGGATAAAATTTTGTATGAATTGCAGGAGAAGGGTGTACCACTTGACGAAGTTACTTATAATTTTCTTGTATATGGATTTTCAAAATGTAAAGATGCGTCTACTTGTCTACACTATCTGTCTACTATGATTTCAAAGGGATTTAGGCCAAGCTATCGTAGCTTAAAAACAGCAGTAACGTGCCTGTGTGATTTTGGAGAACTTGGTAAGGTCTTGGAGTTGAGTCGAGAAATGGAAATGAGAGGTTGGGTTCATGGATCAGTTGTTCAAAATGCAATTGTTGAAGGCCTTCTCTCTCATGGGAAGATTCAAGAAGCTGAATATTTCCTGGATCGGATGGTAGAGAAAGGTCTAATTCCTGATACAATCAATTATGATAATCTAATTAAGCGGTTTTGTTTCTTTGGAAGACTGAATAAGGCAGTTGACCTTATGAATGTAATGTTGAAGAAAGGAAACATCCCTGATTCTGCCAGTTATGATTCGGTAATCCATGGTTTCTGCACAAGGAATCAACTGAATGAAGCTATGGATTTCCATGCTGAGATGTTGGACAGGGATCTTAAACCAAGTATGAAGACTTGGGACATGCTTGTTCATAAACATTGCCAACTTGGAAAAACTGCAGAAGCAGAAAACCTACTCATTTATATGGTCCAGTTTGGTGAAACTCCAACCAGAATAATGTTCTCATCTGTGATTAATAGGTATCAAAGAGAAAATAATCCAAGGAAAGCATCTCAGCTCATGCAATTGATGCAAGAGAGTGGTTATGTACCAGATTTTGACACTCATTGGTCTCTCATAAGCAATTTACAGAGTTCCAAAGACAAGAATAATAAGAACACCAATCAAGGTTTCCTGTCAAGGCTTCTTTCTGGAAGTGGACTTTCTTATAAAAAGGATTCCAAGGTCAAAGTGCGATAATACATTTTTGTAAATATAAGATTTCTCATTTTCTTTAATGAATCTTATTACATTTGTTGATAGGTTGATTCAATCTTGCATGAAAATTTTTTCAACTTTCATGTACTTAATAGCTTATGTAGTTATTTTGTTCCAAGTTTTATATAGTAAGTTTTCTATATTATGTTCTATGATGCACAGAAACTCTCGGTCATGGGCATTTCTGCAGCCTATTTCTCTGTGCGTATAAAATGTTGTTTCTCAGTATAAAATTATAATTGTTGTTTTCCCATATATCGTTTCTACGGTTCTGTTTCTGTGCAATATAGCATGACATTTATTTTATATTATTGAAGTTAGTCATGCAAATTTTGTTGGAAAATATTATCTTGGAACTCTTGAACTTATCTTGTTTTGCTTATTAAGTCTTTTTTTTTTTGTTGCTCGATAGTAACACCCTCGCATTGTTTAGATTTTATTTATTTATTAGCTAAAGTAAAATTCATAAGAAATCCATACTAGACTATTAGAAAAAGGAAAATAGTAGCTTTATGTCACCAAACTTTTAGGATATATTTGGTAAACCGTAATAAAACATAACTAGTCGTATTTCGGCACCTTTGTGCGAGTTAATATTTAATATGAATTAAATTTGATTGAAACTTTTTTTTTTTTTAAATATATAAACAAAGTGTTTAATTCTTGTGGAAATGGGGTGTTCTGTATTTTTAGATGGATTCTAATCTCATGGTCGAAAGTGGATTGGTTGTAATTGCATTTGATATGTAATTGGCATGCCACGAGAATGCGGACATGTCAGCTAGTGGTTAAAACTTAGAAGGCCAAGCCTTTAGTTTTTTAGGTCAGTTATATTATATATGAACTTCAGCAACTCCCATGTGAGGGTTGAAGGGTAAGGTGCTGAAGTGTCAAACTGGAGAAGACAACAATTTGAATTGGAAAATGCTCTTATATTTTAGTTGTTTAGAATTAGGGGAGGAGAAGTTATTAAAACCCTAAAGGCCATCATCATCCCTGATCAAACACAACAGTTCTTCAAGTGGATTGGTTCATGCATTTGTTATGTAATATCTAGTTGATTATTTTAATATTTGCTACTCCAATCATAAGCCAACTAAATCTCTACGTGTCAACTGTCCCATATTCCCGGGTCTCCCTCCATGATGAAACAAGATCTATTTCTCATTTTGAACACACTCATTTTATCAATTAAGGGAAAGCCATTTAACTCTAGTGGAGTTCGAAGATATTAACGGATTTTTTTGGCAACATAGATCAACTGAACCAGCAGTTCGGTTCAGTTTTAAGCTCAACCAATGATTTTTTTACCAAATCGACTCAAACTGAAAAATAACAGTTTAAACTTAAGCATCTAACTGAACCGAAATGGATCAGTTTAATCAGTAGTTTTGCACACTCCTTAGGAATGATCCTCTATGTGACTGAATAATTATACAAATAACCGGTAATATCACACCAGTATAATGAATTGAAATTACGATTCAATAAAAATAAAATACTTATCAAATGTGTGAGATAAGTAAATTTTAGAACTACAACTAGAAACCCAAAAATAAAATTTTTTTTTTTTCTATTTTAATGCCATTGACAACTAATAAACCACCGCTACAACTCTTTTTTGACTGTTATGCATGGTTGGACATGATAGTCATAGTTACATGCATATATATATATAAATATATAATATATTTATATATATATTATATAGAACACGACACACACAAAGTAAGTGCTCTTTACAATTGCAACTCAAACAAATTAAATTTTTATCATAATACTTAAAAAGGCAAAAAATTCATTCCTATATATATATATATAGACACACACACACAAGTAAGTGCTCTTTACAATTGCAACTCAAACAAATTAAATTTTATCATAATACTTAAAAAGGCAAAAATCATTCCCTTGCAATTCTCAACTAGCTAGCTAGAAGAAGAATGAAGACTAATCCTATTGAGCTTGGTTTATCCAAGAATTCTACTTCTTCTACACACAAACGCAAAAGGGGAGTATCCATATTAGACTCTTTCTTGAGGATAATTGCATTTATTGGTACTTTAGCAAGTGGAATTCTTATGGGAACTACTAAAGAAACACTCCCTTTCTCCACACAGTTTTTTCGGTTCAGGGCTGAGTTTGATGATCTTCCAACTTTCACGTATGTTTTTTGGTTTTTACTTCAGTTTGTTTGATTCGTTATTTTTATTGAATATGTCGAAAAATTAACAGGTTTTTTGTGGTTGCCAATGTGGTCGTGTGTGGCTATTTGCTCCTTTCTCTTCCACTTTCTATCTTCAACATTGTGAGAAGCAATGCAAAGAACAGTAGAATTATCTTCATTATATTTGATACGGTAATTTCCTTCGAGTTTAACTATAATCAAATACATTTAGAGGTATTACAATGATGAATCATACAAAGCAGCTATATATACATATATGATTCAGTTAGCAAAACTTTTCCCTAACTAAACAAAAGTCTCCTGGGTCTGGTAATATATAGGTAATGGTGACTCTTTTAACTGGTGGAGCAGCAGCAGCAGCAGCAATTGTATACTTGGCGCACAAGGGAAATACTAGGGCAAACTGGTTTGCTATCTGCCAACAATTCAACTCCTTCTGCGAACGCATATCCGGCTCCTTGATCGGGTCCTTTGTCGGAATAGCAGTGTTAATATTGCTAATCTTTCTCTCTGCTGTGGCCATTTCCCGGTGAAACTAGATCAATCATTCCATAGTTCTGCATCACAATAATGAAGTTATATTTGTATTTATGTGCTTGTTTGTCAATTATTGTCTCTGTATGCATATGATTTATGTATGTCATCTTTTCTTGTCATTTTCTCTGGTTTGGCAAGAAATGGAATATGATACCTTCTGCTTTCTTTCCTAGTTAGTATATGTAAATTGCCATATAAATTGAATGTTATGCCACTTCATCCTCAAAATTAGTTTAAATCCTACAAAATAGGTGGTTTACATACATATGGGCACAGCTACTAAAAAAGGATTAAATTCTCTATTTTGCTTAATACAAGTACAAATATCACCGCTCGTCGAAGCCAAGCTATAGATTTGACCAAATGGCACTCCATTTTATGTCAAGGTCTATGTTATGCTCATTACACCATCCTAATCATTTTTATAACAGGGGTGTGACATAATTGTCATTTTGGAGAATTGAAGACATTATTACTAAATACTCAGCGTAGTTACTAAAGTTTATACCCTGAAAGTTCATCATGGTGAACTGGTGTTATATCCAAGCTCCAATTTCAACTATTAGCAATCCACCAATTTACTATCAATCCTCAATGTTATTATTTATCAGTCTAATCAAGAAAATAAGTAGACGACTTTAATAGCTTTGACGCATGACTATTAGAAGGGAAAAGGTAAAAAATGCCTCTGAAAGATGAATAAACGCAACAGGTGATATTCTAGGGTTTGCTTATCTTCCAATAACAAATGGGACAGACATGAAAGTACATCTTACCAACTTTTAGCTCTGGATATTTGATTTCTCACATTTAACTTGTACTTTTGGATCAAACAAAAATTGCATAAGAGCTCTTTCATCTGCTTCAATCAGGCTACAGCCAGGATCTTTCTTCACATCATTATCATCCATTAACTTCCTCACTTTCTGAGCCCCATCCCACTCTCCGACTGAAGCATAGATGTTGGAAAGTAACACATAATCCCCACTCTCATCCCTTCTCATTTCAAGAAGTTTCTCATTTGCATGCCTACCCAGCTCAACATTTCCATGTATCCTACAAGCTCCCAACAGAGTCCTCCATATTACAGCATTAGGTTCAATCTTCATTTTATCAATGAAATCAAATGCATCATGCAAAAGCCCTGCACGCCCTAAAAGATCAACCATACACCCATAATGCCTTACATTTGGCTCTATATTATACCTGTCTTTCATAAGATTAAAATATTGATATCCCTCTTCTACTTTACCAGTATGACTGCAAGCAACTAGAACCCCAACAAACGTGATTTCATTTGGCTTAATATTTTTCAACCTCCGCATCTCTGTAAACAAATTGATTGACTCCTCAGCATGGCCATGAAAAGCCAACCCTACTATAACTGAATTCCATGTCGACACATCTTTCTCCATCATTCCTCTGAACACTTCAAGTGTTCTTTCAATGCTCCCACACTTGGCATACATGTATATAAGTGCATTTCCAAGTAAGAGACTCGTATGGCCTAAACTCATCTCCAAAATTGCATGATGAACCTTCCTGCCAACCTCCAAATCTCCTAAATCTGTGCAAGCTGACAAAAGACTTAACATAGTGACCTCATCTGGCTGCTCTCCCACACTTCTCATCTCCTCAAACATTTCCAAAGCCTGCTCATTCTGCCTACAAAGCACATATCCAGCAATCATCACATTCCACGACACAACATCCCTTTTAGGAACCTCATCAAAGAGTCTCCTCGCATTCTCCATCTCCCCTCTCTTCGCATATGCTGTAATCATCACATTCCAAGCAACCATATCTTTCACAGGCATTTCATCGAACAGCCGCCTTGCTGCTCTCAACTGCCCTCTCCTTGCATATCCTGCAGTTAAAGCAGACCAAGCAACAACATCCCTGCCTGCTAAATCATCAAAAATGGCTCTAGCTATGGCCAAATCCCCACAAATAGCATGATGATAGATAAGGGAATTTCTCACGCACGCATTTTCTTGAAACCCATATGTAGTAACCTTACCATGAATACAAAGACCGGTTTTTTTCCATTCCACCCTAGTACAAGCCTTGAGCAAGAACGAAAACGTGAATTTATCAGGCTTTATACCTCGATTTTCCATATGGGAATAGACTGAAATTGCTCGTAAAGGGTTTTGACTTTGAGCTGAGCCTCTCATCATGGTGTTCCACATGAAGATGTCTGGTTCGGAAATTTGAGCGAATATTTGGTGAGCATAGTCCATGGTGCCAGAAATAGCAATGGCAGTGGCGAATATGAGCTCTCTTAAGGCTGATAAGTTTGAATTGAAGCCTTTGATGATAAGGGAAGCATGGATTTGCCTTAGAGACCGAAGGTTTGTGCAGTTTTGCCATAGGCGTGGCCGCTGCCGGCAGTTGGCGCTCCTCTCGTTAGTTCTTTTCCTGAGCATTAATCACGACATTAAAAGCAACATTCTTTATACCTTCCGGGCTCTCTTCTACTGTATTTTGTAAGCGCGGGAATTACTAGTTTCCACTTTGTACCGCAATGATGGCAAACATTCTCATATCCATTTTCTTTTAATTTTAAATTTAAGTTTAAAAAATTGTGCTACTCTTTAATCTTCACTTCTTAATTGTATTAATTAATTTTTCTCATAAATTTATAACTGAAATTTTATTAATTTAACTTTTAACTAAAATTGGACATAATTGTATGAAGCATTTTCGTCAATAAACTTTGTTTAATTGCTAGAGATGATTTTGGACTCAACTTTACTACGAGGTTAAGGCATGCACAAGAGAGACATGAGAGCATTTCTTGAGAACTTGCAGCTCATGTTATTTGATTTCTCATATTTAATTTGTGTTTTGCATAAGAGGTCTTTCATCTGCTTCAATTAGGCTGTAGCCAGGCTCTTTCCACCTTATTCCACTATCATCTATTAACTTTCTTACCTTATGAGATCCATCCCATTCACCAATTGAAACATATATGTTTGAGAGTAACATATAATCCCCATTCTTGTCCTTTCTCAATTTAACTAGTTTCTCATGTGCATACTTTCCCAGCTCAACATTTCCATATACTCTACAAGCTCCTAGCAGAGTCCTCCAAATGACAGCATCAGATTCAATCTTCATTTTATCTATAAACTCCAATGCATTATTCAATAACCCTGCACGCCCTAAAAGATCGACCATACACCCATAATGCCTTGCATTTGGCTCTATATCATACCTATCTTTCATAATAGTAAAATATTCGTGCCCCTCTTTAACCTTACCGGCATGGCTGCAAGCAACTAGTACTCCAATAAAAGTTATTTCATTTGGCTTAATATTTTTCAACCTCTTCATCTCTTCGAACAGATTGATCGACTCTTCAGCATTGCCATGAAAAGCCAACCCTAAAATAATTGAATTCCAAGTGGAAACATCCTTTTCCTTCATTCCTCTAAACAATCCAAGTGCTCTCTTAATACTCCCACACCTAGCATACATGTATGTAAGTGCATTTCCGAGAATGACACTCATCTCTCCTAAATTGGTCTCCAAGATTGAGAGATGCAATTTCCTGCCAATCTCCAAATCTCCTAAATCTGTACATGCTGACAAGAGGCTCAGCATGGTAACCTCATCTGGCTGCTCGCCCACACTTCTCATCTCCTCAAACATCTCCAATGCCTGCTCATTCTGCCCACAAACCACATATCCAGCAATCATCACATTCCACGACACAACATCCCTTTTAGGAACCTCATCAAAGAGTCTCCTCGCGCTCTCCATCTCCCCTCTCTTAGCATATGCTGTAATCATCACATTCCAAGCAACCATATCTTTCACAGGCATTTCATCGAACAGCTGTCTCGCTGCTCTCAGCTGCCCTCTCCTTGCGTATCCTGCTGCTAAAGCAGACCAAGCAACAACATCCCTTTCTGCAAAATCATCAAAAATGGCTCTAGCTATCCCTATATCTCCACAGTTGGCATGATAGTAGATAAGGGAACTTCTCACAAAAATATTTTCATGAAACCCGCATTTGACAACCATGCCATGGATACACAAACCCATGTTCCTCCATTTAAGCCTAGTACAAGTCTTAAGTAAGAACGAAAACGTGGACTTATCGGGCTTTACACCGTGATTTGCCATGTGGGTATATAGTGAAATTGCATTTGAGGGAATTCGGCTTTGTGCTGAGCCTCTAATCATAGTGTTCCATATGAAAATGTCTGGTTTAGCAATTTGAGCGAACATTTGGTGGGCATATTCCATTGTGCCAGAAATTGCAATGGCACTAGTGAATATGAGCTCTCTTAAGGCTGATAAGTTAGAATTAAAGCCTTTGATGATAAGGGAAGCGTGGATTTGCTTTAGGGAACGAAGGTTTCTGCAGTGACGCCATAAGCTTGGCCGCTGCTTCTGTTTAGTACTCCTGTCATTAGTTCTCTTCCTTATCATGACGTAAAATGCAGCATTTTATAGCGCGCTCTATCTTCGCTTCTAGTAATATTTAAAGAGCTCCTGTTGTCATTTGTTCGTTGCCAGTTGCCACTATGGGATGATATGATGATTATACTTTTACTTTCAAATTTTAATTACGTTCTAGTAATCAAATTTTATAAATGTTGCAATCAGAAATTACGAGAGTTCAATGCAAACATTTGAAAATTCTCCGGAGAAGTGTAATTTCTGCCCGATAATGTTTGGCTTAATTATAAATTTGGTAACTGAACTTTCACTGAATAGTTTACAATGAGGTGTCTAAAGCCCAAAAAATTTGACGTAATTTGCCCACAAATAGAACATATGGGACCCACTAAATGTAAGAAATAAAAAACCTGCTTATGACCACTATTGGCATGACACGACAATAGATAAGTGTTTGAACAGGCAATGGATAGATATTGCCAAGCTGATAAGTATCTTGATGGGCTATTTTAGTTAAGATGGTTGATCTTTTCAAATCCAGGCTCAAGCCCTGTCCACACTCTATTACAAAATTTTTACTTTACGTGCATGTTCAATTCCTTATATTTTTGCATTTTCAAACTAGCAACAAAAATTCTATGAATACTGATCATAATATTTATCATATTGTATTGTGTGTTATTCCGGACTCCTGAACCTATCAAAAAACTAGTTTAAACAAATATTCGAGTACAATTCTAGGAAAAGAAAAAATGACTCCAACCAGCAAAGACTGTTGGACCTAATTGCTACCCCCACGACTATACAAGTAATTGTGTTTCAGCACGAGAATCCCGCAGCCCCAAGTAGGCGCCGTGGGTTGTTAACTGTACACAAAACATATATAGCAAAAAATGCAATGCAGATGGCGTGACAGAGGCTGTCCCCCGGGCCCGGCCTATGCGTGCATTTTGACCCGAAGTACAGTGGCTTAATTCAAGCCTAAAACTTTACTCCTTGTGGAGAAGCTGGATGTTACCATTTCTAGTTTTCTATGCATGCATTTGCTCCATGCATTCCCTTTCACCACTTTTGCAATATATCTTTATTTCTAAATTGAAAAATAAAAATTGAAATACAATGGTAAGAAGAATTTCAATCCATTAATAATAATATCAAGTGTTACAAATACTTAGAAGGATTAGTAGAACTTTTAACCAACCAAAAGAATTTATATTCTTCTAAGAATTAAAAGATATAATATTATATATTTCCGTTCGAAGACAAAAGATATAAATTTTCAGTTCATTAATTGATTTATACGTCAAAATAATAACTTCTTTAAATCTTCTATACTTATATTACTTTCCCAATAACTTGTAACATATAATGAATACATATGAGTTGTCGTCATTATACATTAATAACATCAATAGAAACACATACCGCCGTTATCAAACTCTATTGATCGAAAAACCACACCAGTAAATCAATATCTAAAGTCTCAAATCAAATATCATATCTTTATTTAGTAATGCACAGTCATAAAGAAGGGACCAAATCGTTATAATGAAGAGATAAAAAAACTTCAAATAAGGAGACAAAGCAACAATAAAAAAATAAAAAAAAAAAAAAGATATGTTATAGGCAAAATTAAAGTTGGAAGAAATAGTAAAGAATAGAGGCTACCACTGACGATGATCGCAACAAGTACCAAACTATAATTAAGGTTAGACGACTAGATAGAGAGAAAAAAATCCAAAAAATGTGAACATTTAGAGGTACGAAAAAATTAAAATTCAAACTAGACCATTTTTTTTTTTTTTCTAAAATGGAGATGTGGTTTTCCTTTTGAAATAAGCAGTTGAGCAACTCATTGGTAATATAAGATGACATTGTGAATTTAAATTTTAAGTTTTACATATACATACTAAAAGTAAGTTATATTTTTAATCAATAGACAGTTAAAAATTAACAGAAGTATACTACGTGTTCATATAAATTTTCACATGCAAAATAGTTAATTTCTTTTCAATATGGTTACCGAAATTGAAATTCATAAATATATCAAACGGCATAAAATAAAGTATAAATAAAAATGTTTTGCCACTTGTGTACAGAACTTCAACATCAATCAAAATTAATAGCAACACTCCAACAGCATATATATTATCAAATATTTAAAAAATAAATCCCCTTGACTATCCAAAGTTCCAGACACTATGGAATGTTATTTTGGACGGATCAGATCTTTCCATAAGTCAATTAAAATAGATTCATGCAATTCACGTTGTACCTATAATTGTTTAAATAATAATAATAATAATAATAATAATAAAAGACTAAACTGCCCAATGGGATTAGATCAATTGTCAAGAAATTAATAATTTTGAATATCTCACCGTCTGCATGTTATAATTTACTTTTTAAAATTATAGGGCTAATTGGTCAGTTGATTTTACCGAGATAAGATTCAATGGACCAGAATAACGCAATAAAAAGAATTTAAATTTCAGACCTCTCACTCTTTATATTTCTATGAGAGATAAAAAGACTAATCAAATCGATCGACTCAAGTGCTCTTATATTATCCTAAATCTGTGATATTTTTTTCTCTTGTTAAAAAAAAAAAAAAAAAAATTGGTCAGTGATTTACCGGAGATAAGATTCAATTGGACCAGAATAACGCAAATAAAAAGAATTTAAATTCAGACCTCTCACTCTTTAATATTTCTATGAGAAGATAAAAAACTAATCAAATGCGATCGACTCAAGTGCTCTATATTATCCTAAATCTGTGATAGTTTTTTTTCTTCTTGTTAAAAAAAAAATTAAAAAAAAAAAAAAAAAAGAAGAAGTCTCCATACATAAAAGTAAGTCATTATCTAAAAGAATTAGGAGGAATGTTCGTTATAAACATAAACCAACCAGAATCTACCACACCTTCCTCATATCCCCTCTCTCTCTCTCATATTATACAGTAGTTGGTTGCAACTTCCCCTTAATTAATTATATAATTATCTTTGTAAATATTGAACTAATTTAATTATCCATGACATCTTAAAGAATAATATTACTAATATTTAAATTAATTAATGAGTCACTAAGAGATAAAGTAGTAACTAATTGTATTTAAATAATTATAGATATTATCCTTCATAGATAAATAAATATATAGCTCAAGATTTCTATTGACCTACATAATATAATATTGGTTTCGATAATATTCTTTAGTACAGAGAGATCTTCAATATATAATTTTTTTTTTTTTTTTTGTTCTAATTTTTCCACTTCTTGACATAATCGAGTAGATGCTATGGTATGCCTGATTCCATCAAACACTGAAAGAAGTACAAACTTATAAAAATAACTTGAAGACATGGATTAATTAATTAATTAATTATCTCTCTCCATTTTTGGTTAGACAACCTAAATTCTATTTGCATGTAATAAGAACAAGTTCTTTTCCAATATATTCATTAGTTCTCAAAATGTCAAAGTACAATTTTTGAATAATTAATAACAAGGACCAAGTACAACTAACATTTTTCTTTTAATAATAGTTGTTTAAATGATAAATATGTTTGAGTTGAGCGAATAATTTTTTTAAAATTAAAATTCAAACCGTAAAAAAACACTTATGAAGAGATAAGTATAACCCTCAAAATAAAATGAATTTTTATATAAAATCAGGTGTAAAAATATTTGTAGGGAAAATTTTAAAAAAAATGTTAATTATCACCAAAAAAACCGTACGGTAAAGAGATGATTAGTGCTTTGTAATTTAAAATTAAAAATTAAGTAGCTAATCCATATATATATATAAAAGCAGAACAGTTTATATCACATAGAAGTTAAGTATAAGCCTCTGAAATTGCAAAGTATGAAAATGATAACAATTATTTAGCACGGTTATAAGAAAATGAGGTGTAACGATAACAAATGTAAGAAGATAAATTGTTTTATATTTTTAAATAATGTCTTTATCATGAAAATATCTATTAGTTATATCCTATCATGATAATGCATTAAATTAAATTAAAATTTAATTAAAAAATTAAAATTTAATTAAAATATAAATAATCCAAGTCATAAAATAAAAAATACTTAATTTCTTATTTTAATGATTAACTTGGTATATGTGGTAGTCACACATACCACGAGTTAGGTTGCACGGACACGAAACATGAGATACTGAACGTACGGGATATATGATAATAAATAAATAAATAATCATTTATAATAAATATAAAACATAAAATAAAAAAATTCTTAATATTTAATGATTACCTTAGTGTATGTGGTAGTCTTATATACCAGGAGTTAGATTATACAGACATGAAACACGAGATACCGAACGTACGAGATATATGATAATAAATAAATAATCATTTATAATAAATAAAAAACATAAAATAAAAAATTTTTTATTTTAATATAACTAGTTTAAATTAAAATACATATAACCCAAAGTATAAAATAAAAAATATTTCTCTTCAAAAAAAAAAAATTTAATTTTTTTTTTTATTTAAATGATTACATTGACGTGTGGGGTATTCTTACATAACCAGAAGTTAGGTTTTGCACAGACATAGAACATGAAGATACGGAACGTACGAGATATGATAATAAATAAACAATCCATTTATAATAATAAATAAACATAAAATAAAAAATCTTTATTTCTTTAATTTAATAATTAGTTAAATTCTCAAAATTATTATCATTATTTTGAAAATTTTATATCTATCTATATAATATATAAAGCAGGGTAGTTTGCTTTATATGGAAATTAAGTGTAAGTAACACAGTTTATCACTTGGTATTATTTTAGATTATAGAATGATGTATGTTAAAATTCACACAATTTAATATAATGGTACGAATTGTAAAAAGATTAGTTGTTTTATATTTTCAGATAATCCCTCTATCAAATAATATTTGTAAAAAAAGATTATCTCTAGCATTTAATATTAATATAAATTTTATTTATTTATTCTTACAAAATAATTAATAAGTTATCCACAAGCTTAAAAAGAGTATGAATAAACAATATATTACTATTATTACTATTAAAATAAACAATTATATAAAGCAATTTAAAATATAAATTGGAACGTATAGGATAAAGCAATTTAAAAATATAAATTGGAACGTATAGGATACGATAATTTTTAAAAAAATAGGACATCCACACGCTTAAGACACACTACACTAAATAA